ATAAATGCATACAGCCATGCATGCTATGCCCATACATGCATACAACCAGGCATGCTATGCCCAGACACACATACAGCCTGGCATGCTATGCCCATACATGCATACAGCCATGCATGCTGTGCCCATAAATGCATACAGCCATGCATGCTATGCCCATTCATGCATACAACTAGGTATGCTATGCCCATACACACATACAGCCAGGCATGCTATGCCCATACACGCATACAGCCAGGCATGCTATGCCCATACATGCATACAGCCAGGCATGCTGTGCCCATAAATCCATACAGCCATGCATGCTATGCCCATTCATGCATACAACTAGGTATGCTATGCCCATACACACATACAGCCAGGCATGCTATGCCCATACACACATACAGTCTGGCATGCTATGCCCATACATGCATACAGCCATGCATGCTGTGCCCATACATGCATACAGCCATGCATGCTGTGCCCATTCATGCATACAGCCATGCATGCTATGCCCATACATGCATACAACTAGGTATGCTATGCCCATACAAACATACACCCAGGCATGCTATGCCCATACACACATACAGCCTAGCATGCTATGCCCATACATGCATACAGCCATGCATGCTGTGCCCATTCATGCATACAGCCATGCATGCTATGCCCATACATGCATACAACTAGGTATGCTATGCCCATACACACATACAGCCAGGCATGCTATGCCCAGACACACATACAGCCTGGCATGCTATGCCCATACATGCATACAGCCATGCATGCTATGCCCATACACGCATACAGCCATGCATGCTCTGCCCATTCATGCATACAGACATGCATGCTTTCCCCATACATGCATACAACTAGGTATGCTATGCCCGTACACACATACAGCCAACCATGCTATGCCCATAAATGCATACAGCCATGCATGCTATGCCCATACATGCATACAACTAGGTATGCTATACCCATACACAAATACAGCCAGGCATGCTATGCCCATAAACACATACAGCCTGGCATGCTATGCCCATGCACACATACAGCCAGGCATGCTATGCCCATACACACATACAGCCTGGCATTCTATGCCCAAACATGCATACAGCCATGCTTGCTGTGCCCATACATGCATACAGCCATGCATGCTGTGCCCATTCATGCATACAGCCATGCATGCTATGCCCATACATGCATACAACTAGGTATGCTATGCCCATACACACATACAGCCAGGCATGCTATGCCCAGACACACATACAGCCTGGCATGCTATGCCCATACATGCATACAGCCACGCATGCTATGCCCATACATGCATACAGCCATGCATGCTATGCCCATACATACATACAACTAGGTATGCTATGCCCATACACACATACAGCCAGGCATGCTATGCCCAGACACACATACAGCCTGGCATGCTATGCCCATACATGCATACAGCCATGCATGCTATGCCCATACATGCATACAGCCATGCATGCTGTGCCCATTCATGCATACAGCAATGCATGCTATACCCATACATGCATACAGCCAAGCATACTATGCCCATAAATGCATACAGCCATGCATGCTATGCCCATACATGCATACAACTAGGTATGCTATGCCCATACACACATACACCCAGGCATGCTATGCCCATACACACATACAGCCTGGCATGCTATGCCCATACATGCATACAGCCATGCATGCTATGCCCATACATGCATACAGCCATGCATGCTGTGCCCATTCGTGCATACAGCCATGCATGCTATGCCCATACATGCATACAACTAGGTATGCTATGCCCATACACACATACAGCCAGGTATGCTATGCCCATACACGCATACAGCTAGGCATGCCATCCCCATACACAGATACAGCCAGGCATACCATGCCCATACACACACACAGCCAGGCATGCTATGTCCATACACACATTCAACCTGGCATTCTATGCCCATACATGGATACAGCCAGGCATGCTGTGCCCATATATGCATACAGCCGTGCATGCTATGCCCATACATGCATACAACCAGGCATGCTATGCCCAGACACACATACAGCCTGGCATGCTATGCCCATACATGCATACAGCCATGCATGCTATGCCCATACATGCATACAGCCATGCATGCTCTGCCCATTCATGCATACAACTAGGTATGCTATGCCCATACACACATACAGCCAACCATGCTATGCCCATAAATGCATACAGCCATGCATGCTATGCCCATACATGCATACAGCCATGCATGCTCTGCCCATTCATGCATACAGCCATGCATGCTATCCCCATACATGCATACAACTAGGTATGCTATGCCCATACACACATACAGCCAACCATGCTATGCCCATAAATGCATACAGCCATGCATGCTATGCCCATACATGCATACAGCCATGCATGCTCTGCCCATTCATGCATACAGCCATGCATGCTATGCCCATACATGCATACAACTAGGTATGCTTTGCCCATACACACATACAGCCAGGCATGCTATGCCCATAAACACATACAGCCTGGCATGCTATGCCCATACATGCATACAGCCATGCATGCTATGCCCATACATGCATACAGCCATGCATGCTATGCCGATACATGCATACAGCCAGGCATGCTATGCCCATACACGCATACAGCTAGGCATGCCATCCCCATACACACATACAGCGAGGCATACCATGCCCATACACACACACAGCCAGGCATGCTATGTCCATACACACATTCAACCTGGCATGCTATGCCCATACATGCATACAGCCAGGCATGCTGTGCCCATAAATGCGTACAGCCATGCATGCTATGCCCATACATGCATACAACTAGGTATGCTATGCCCATACACATATACAGCTAGGCATGCCATCCCCATACACACATACAGCCAGGTATACCATGCCCATACACACACACAGCCAGGCATGCTATGCCCATACACACACACAGCCAGGCATGCCATGCCCATACACACGCACCACTCAATGTTGATAAGGTTGCGGCACATCACGTTGCCCACTACTGCTGGGTTGAACGCATTCACCTGAGGGGTTGAGGAGAGACACGGTAGGGACAAGCTGGGTAAGGAAAGGAGGAGGGTGTGGGGCGGAGAAAAGGCAAGGCACAGAGTGTCGCACCGAATCACACTGCTGGCTGCTGCGAGGTTGAAAGCATTGACCTGAGAGGGTGAGGTGAGACGCGGTAGGGGCGGGATCGGGAAAGGAGGGAGGCGTGGGGCGGAGAGAGGAGATGGGAGAGAGGAGAGAGGAGAGAGGAGATACGAGACAGGAGATAGGAGATAGGAGAGACGAGAGAGGAGATAGGAGAGAGGAGAGAGGAGATAGGAGAGAGGAGAGAGGAGAGAGGAGAGAGGAGAGAGGAGATAGGAGAGAGGAGAGAAGAGACAGCGCACGGCACCAGCGCGCACGGCGCTGGCCGGCACGGCGGCAGCCCCGGCGCGCACGGTGGCGCACGCACGGCGCCAGCGCGCACGGCGCCAGCGCGCACGGCACCAGCGCGCACCGCGCCAGCGCGCACCGGCCCAGCGCGCACGGCGCCAGCGCGCACCGGCCTAGCGCGCACCGGCCCAGCGCGCATGGCGCCAGCGCACGGCACCACTGCGCACGTCGACCGTGCGCACGGTGCCACCGCGCACCGCGCTAGCGCGCACGGCAGCGCGCACCGGGCCAGCACGCACGGCGCCAGAGCGCACCGGACCATCGAGGACGGCGCCACCGCGGACAGCGCCAGCGCGCGCGGCGTCACCGCAAACAGCGCCAGCGCGCGCGGCGTCAGCGCGCACGGCACCAGCGCGCGCGGCACAGGGCGCCAAAGCGCACTGTGCCTCTAGCACGCCATCACGTCGCAGCGCCATAACGTGGCAGAGAGCGTGGGAGGGATGGGATGGCAACTAGCAACCAGCAATACCTTTCAGGTGGGGTGCTAAACCACGATAACGGGGAAGAATCTTGAGCCAGCAAGAAGGGAACTCTGGTAGGGTAGAAGTTCTTGGGGGAAGAATCTTGAAGTACTAGAGCAACCAGCGAGAAGGGAACTCTGGTAGGGAAGAAGTTCTTCAGGGAAGAATCTTGAAGTGCTGGAGGAACCAGTGAGAAGGGAACTCTGGTAGGAAAGGACAACTTCGGGGAAGAATCTTGATGGCAGGGAAAGTTGACTACACCTAGTTTCCTCTATTGTCTCACCCAGAACAGTCTAAATTTTAAATCCCACCAGCTAAAGTTCTCGGCATGACTCGTGTTGACACTAAACCTATTTGGCTGCAGTCAGAGCTAGGACGTCGCGCAGGCAAATAATCTAGTGCATGAGCGAGATTTTGTAACCAAATGTCATTTCTGTGGGATCTTAGTATAGGATTTCCCCTTCAAAGTCGCGTTTGCTCGTGTTTTACTATTTCCTGCTTACAGATTTTAGCCGCGTGCAAAAACCGTGAGACCAAATAGTATAAAACGTGTACAGCTAACATTCTTGCCTTCGCTTGACAGCATGCAAATAAACAGTCAAGGTCTAGCAAATTTCGACTACAGTGGACGTTCCTAGCCTGTGGTTCCGGCAAACAGCATAGTCAAACTGCGACTTGACAGTCAAGATCTAAACAAACTAATACGCAACCAATAAAAAAACTGCCCAAGTTTGCGTAGGAATTCAGCAAACGACTCTACAGTCCGCCTTCGGCTGATAGTGTACTCATGCAACTAAAAACTCAAGGTTCCAATAAAATTCGAGAAGAGATGGAGTCACACAGCAACTTGACAGTCAACTTCAAAACTAACCAATCGTCTTGACGGTGTGCCATACTGTACCATCATCCCACGTGAAACACTGCAACTAAAAAGTCAAGCTTGATTAATAAGCCACAACAGTAAATACCTTTTCCCTCTCGTCTCGGAAAAAATGCATAAGTTCTTGTTGGAAATATCTCAAGGACTTAAGCGTTTCTGAAGTGTAACACTGTACTCGAGGAAGATTACAGGGGAGCACGCGAGTCAACGGAGGTTACACGAGGGGGCGGACAAAGAAAGCGAAAGGACTCGAAAGGTCGCAACTGGAGGTTGCGACTGACCGTTACAACATCACGGATGGTAACCGAAGCGGCAATCGAGTCGCTGTGCGACTCGATAAACCGTTCCTGTAACTGTATTCTACAACTGCTTCCTTATCTTCTATATATTGCTGTATGCTTGTTTCTTTAATCAATCACTTGTTCTCACATACTAGTACAAGGGTTCAACTGCCTCAACTTCCGCTGCACTACTCCAAGTCTCAAGTCTTTACAGCTGGGACTTAATCTCTGCAAAAGATCCTAAAGGGTTTTTCTCAGCCCAACATGGTATGAGAGCTGGTCAGAGATCAAAACTCCCAGCAACTACACTCCATCAACAACCAGCAACTCAACTTGATTCAACAACTCCATTGATTACAAGACATGGACAACAAGGGCAAGAAAGTCTCTACGGGCTCACCCAGCGCCCAAGAAACTCAACACGGCAACTCTGGTCTGCACACCTCAGGACTGCAGACAGAGACCGGGACTACTCAAGAAACAACGGGAAGAGTACCAGAGATGGTGACTCCGTCTCCCTCTTCAAGTGTGGACCCGAATCTCATGGAGAGATTCTTCAGCTTCATGTCACACTTCGACCAGCAGCAGCAGACAAGGACACCTGCGCACTCAACACAGAGCAATGGAGGGAATATGGGATTAGCGCCGATGAGCCTCGACAACTCATCCTTCGGGCGACACAACCAAGCGCCTACCTTTGCGCCTTATCATTCTTCGCCGGGGACGTTCGAATTCATGCCGCCCCGTGCCCAGCCAACAGCAGCTGCTTCACAACAAACACCGAATGAAATCTTAAGTTTACAGGCGCAGTTCTCACACGTGATCAAACTTCAGACATCCTCACCGTTCAACGGACACGACTTCTTTACCTGGAGCTTCGAGTTTGAGCTGCTGATGGAGGCCGCGCATCTTCTGGGATACTTCAACGGGTCCCTGCCATTCCCAAGCAACGGCACTGGGAAGGAACAAGAGATCTTCACGTATCAGTCGCTGCTGGCGTACACGGTACTCCTGAGAAACCTGTCACCACAAGAGCAGCAGAGCATCAGAACGTATCGGAGTTATGGAAACTCCGCGGAGCTCGCATGGCACCACCTCAAATGCCTTTACCAAGCAAACGACAGCGTGACACAAAGCAGACTCATGCAACAGCTGACAACAATACAGATGAAGACCGGGGAAAAGGCGATGCAGTATATGAGTCGCTGCCAGACCCTCCGCGACCGCCTGCTTCGGTGCGGAGGAACGATCACTGAAGAAAGCTTCGTGACACTTGTCCTCGCCGGGCTCGGGCCAGAATGGAGAACCACACGATCACTTCTTCGAGCCCACGGAAGAATTTCGGAGATGCACCTCTGCGCCGAGCTTCACGCTGAACAACAGGAGATGGATCTGTTCGAGGAAAGACAACCAAGGAAGCAACAGCAGTTAGTCTTCTACACTCAAAGAAGAAATGACAACAACTACAACCGACGCAGCAAGCAAGATCAACGCGACAACCGAGGACTCACCATCGTGCCGCCGTTCTGCCACAACTGTCAGACTTCCGGGCACTCCAAGGTCAACTGCAACCGCCCTCGCGTTTACCGTGCAGCAGACCCACAAGTCGCTTCCACTCAAGCAAGTCCTCCAAGGCGCTCTTCAACATCTGCACAACAAACACCCAACATCATCAACTGCATGGTACACATCGACAACTGCGCACCCGCTTCACCACCCACTTACGCACCAGACGAAGAGGAATTCCCGCCGCCGCGCTCGCAAGGACTTCAGGTCAACCCGACATACGCTGCAGTCGCTAACGCCGAACCCACCGGGCGGAACACCTGGTTCTTGGACAGTTGCTGCGGTCAGCACATGTGCTCCTCCGGACGCTTCGTACAACACGAGCGACGCCTCAACCGCGACGTCGTCATCACCGTCGCCAACAACGAAAACCTGAAAACAAACAGGCAAGGCGTGGTTCAGTTACAATCAATGGAGACAAACGTTATTCTTCAGCTCAACAAAGTCCTCATCGTCGACAATCTGGGATACAACCTACTAAGCGTAAGCCAACTAATGGCTAAGGGGATTCACCTGGAGTGCGACTCCTTCTCCAACGAGTTCCGACTTTACCACGGGAAGGGCGGTCTCTTCATCGGTCGTGCCCTCCTGAAGTCCGGTGTCTTCGTGTTGGACTTCGTCCCCGACCGCGGAACTGCCGACAGCGATGGCATCGTATCGTTCGCCGCCTGGACTCACCCACCAGATCTTGATCCCGACTTCGACAGTGACGGCTTCTGGCACTCCAACACCATACCTGCAGCAGAGAGAACACGGGCATTAGCAGTTATCAGACAAGAAAGACAAGTACCAGCAAGCGTCCCAACAAAACCATCACCTGCAGTATCGGCAGCAGGACCCAGCCGAGTACCACCACCATCAACACGAGGACCGCCAACGGAAGCAGACCAACTTATGCCCGCCACACGAGAAGCTTGTCGAAGTCCCGCCTCGGTCGTCGCGTTCTTCTCCAACGCCGACATCTACCACCGCTCGCCCGGTCACCGCGCTCCCGACGACATCTGGCACCAACGTCTCGGACATCCTGCAAACAGCACGATACTACAAACAATACAAGCAGAGGTGTTAGAACGTAACGCCCTTCTAACGACGAGCGGCCAAGAACTTCGCCGACCAAGAGCACGATGCTTCACGTGTCCCGAAGCAGATCTTCCTCATCAACCTTTCCCAGCCCATCACAATCCAAGCGCACCCACTTACGCTCCGATGGAAAAGGTCTACAGCGATATTCTAAACATGCCTCGAGACGACACCGAAGCCGACTTCAACTACGTCATCACGTTCATCGACGCCGCAACCAGATACGTCTGGCACTTCAATCTCAAAACGCGCGATCAAGCCTTCGAGGCCTTCACCACATGGCTTCCAATCGCCGAACGAGAGTCAGGAACCAAACTCAAGAGTTTCCAGTCAGACGGTGCACTGGAATACCAGTCACAACGCTTCAGGACCTATCTCGCGGAAAGGGGAATCCGACGCCTGGTGTCTCTGCCCTATGCTCACCAGCAGCAGGGGGTAGCAGAACGCATGAACCGGACCTTGCAGACGACGATGCGAAAACTGCTTCTGGGGATGAGGCTGCCCAATACACTGTGGCCAGACGCGATGACACATGCAGTCCACCTGCACAACCTGTTGTCCTCGTCATCGCTCCCCAACAACGCATCACCGCACCTGCTGTGGACGGGAAAAAGGGGCAGCACAAAATTACTTCGAGTTTTCGGCTGCATGGTACAATACAGACCCCACACAGCTCGAGCAGGACGCTTCACTCAACGAGCTCGGTGGGGACTACACCTCGGCATCGCCAAACATTTTCACGCGTGGAAGATTCTCGACATACACGACAAAAATACGGTGGCATCACGTGATGTTATCTTCTACGAGCGACTGACGCTGCAGCATTACCTGGACAACATTGCCAACTCAGACGACCCCACCGACGGCTTCGCGGGCCTTCGCTCCTTCGCTGACCATGCTGCCGAGGCTGACGCAGCAGAAGAAGACGTCCCTGGAGCCTCGGAGGCTGCCGGACCACTCCCCTACTGCTCCGTACCTGTTCCACTCGATGAAGATAATCCTCTCGATAGCAACAACCTCGACACCTTTTACCACTTCGCTGACCAAGGCTACGCTACACCACACCCCGTCGACTCGAATATTTCCGAACGCATCGGGCCAAACTTCTTACCCGATCCTGAAGACGGTGATGAAGCAGCTTATCCCGAGAATGAAAACTCCCCTCGACACACAGCCACGGGACTGCAGATCCTAGGACTATGGGTCTCCGTCCAGCACCCGCCGCCGCCTTCTCCGCGCGAGCCGTCGACCCTGTCGCAGGCTCTGGGGGGGGAACATAAGGCACAATGGAAGGTAGCGATGGAAAAAGAGTTAAAAGCTCTGCAAGACCGAGAAACATGGAAACTGGTACCTGCAACGAGCATCAACGGGAAGAACATTCTCTCGGGGAAATGGGTGTACCGCATCAAGACCAACTCAGACGGCTCCATCGAACGATTCAAAGCTCGATGGGTCGTACGAGGCTTCGATCAACGATACGGAACCGACTACACAGAAACCTTCGCTCCAGTCTCCCGTCACACCTCTCTGCGCATCCTACTCGCCATCGCGGCCACGAAGAAACTACCACTACGGCAAATCGACGTTGCAAACGCCTTCTTGTACGCACCTGTGGACGCCGAAATCTTCGTCGAACAACCCCACGGATTCATCGACGACCCTTCAAAAGTATGCCAGCTGGAAAAATCCCTTTACGGGATCAAGCAAGCCCCACGGCTCTGGCAGCAGCACCTTCACGGCCGGCTCGTAAAAATCGGATTCCTACAGCTACCACATGACCAAGGCATGTACCGACTACAGAAGGGAAGAGATTACATTCTGCTCATCGTCTACGTCGACGACCTGCTCTACATCGGTTCTACCACCGACATCGTCACCTGGTTCGAAGGGGAGCTGAAAAGGGACCTGACGCTCACGGTGTCCGACGAGGTGACGCAGTACCTAGGACTGAACGTCGTCGAAGACGACACGGCGTTCTACCTACACGCTGGAAAGTACTCAAGCACCGTCGCGAAGAAATTCGGTCTAACACCGACTGCGGTCCCAACTCCCTACCGCTACGGGAACAACAGTAGCGCCTCCACAAAACTCCCCGCGAAACAAATCCAGGAGTATCAACAGAAGCTCGGCTGTCTACTATTCGCAACAGTAACCTGCCGACCCGACCTATCCTATAGTGCGAGCCAGCTGGCGACACATCTGAAGCAGCCGCAACAGGAAGATCTCGAAGAACTCAATCGAGCGCTACTCTACTTCGTCTCCACGCCGACGATCGGGCTCACCTACAGCAAGGCAACAACACCGTCCGTACGACTACTCGGATACGTCGACGCCGACCACGCGGGAGACAGCGAAAATCGACGGTCTAGGACGGGCTACATCTACCGACTAGAACCTATCGGAACTATCTCCTGGCAGTCGAGCAAGCAGGAGTTAATCGCACTATCCTCGGCTGAAGCAGAGTATATCGCCCTTTGTACTGCGACCAAGGAAGGACTCTACCTACGAGAGTTACTCGAAGAAGCGAAGATCGCGACCCTGCCCACCTTCTCACTCCTCTGCGACAACCAATCTGCGATAAAAATCGCGAACAAGGACGGCTTCGCCAACCGAACCAAGCACATCGCCCTGCGGTACTTCTTCGTCAAGGATGAAATCGCGAAGGGGAGACTTCAACTCAGTTACTGCCCGACGACAGAAATGGCCGCAGATTATCTGACGAAGAAATTGGCGAAAGCAAAATTCGACTACTGCATGCTCCTAACCGGGCAAACAAACGTCACCGGATCTGAACACTCCAGCACTCCAGAAACGAAGGGGAGTGTTGGAAATATCTCAAGGACTTAAGCGTTTCTGAAGTGTAACACTGTACTCGAGGAAGATTACAGGGGAGCACGCGAGTCAACGGAGGTTACACGAGGGGGCGGACAAAGAAAGCGAAAGGACTCGAAAGGTCGCAACTGGAGGTTGCGACTGACCGTTACAACATCACGGATGGTAACCGAAGCGGCAATCGAGTCGCTGTGCGACTCGATAAACCGTTCCTGTAACTGTATTCTACAACTGCTTCCTTATCTTCTATATATTGCTGTATGCTTGTTTCTTTAATCAATCACTTGTTCTCACATACTAGTACAAGGGTTCAACTGCCTCAACTTCCGCTGCACTACTCCAAGTCTCAAGTCTTTACAGCTGGGACTTAATCTCTGCAAAAGATCCTAAAGGGTTTTTCTCAGCCCAACAGTTCTAATAGCTACATAAAGTACACGCTTTGCATCCATAATAACCATTTGATGTTGTTTTTCAACCAAACCGTTTTTTTCATGTTGAGATTTGTAGAAAACCCATGGCATTGTTCTAGTTTATACATTTCTCATCAAAATCCCCTAATGGCTTCAAATCACGTTCACGCTCATATCCAATCTGAAAAACAATTGCACATATTTTACCTTACAAACAAACTCTCTTACCTATTTATTAGCATGAGAGAATTGCTCTTTCATTTCAGGATTCTATCAAGCTGCTACGCAACCCTAACGACGCATTGGCGTCGAGCCTTGTTTTCTCTACGACGGGATGGTGATTTCAATGAAGTGTAACCAGGTCGCAAAGCTGGTCGTCAAACCGTCGAGGTTTTGTGAACACATTTTGGCGGTAGCTGCAGTTCCCGCGAGAGCGAAGACAGTTTGCCTGTCGCGAACAGGCGACAGCGCGGCGAACTCTGTCGTTGCACAGCTAAAGTTTGTCGTGAAAATCGCAACGCGCGATGCACATTGCTCAACCTCCACAACACAACCCGCGCCGCTGCAGTTGGCGCTCGCGCATTGCATTTTTGCGCCTCCACATTTCGGAATTGGATTATCGGCCACTCCTACCAAGACAGCCATTCGATGCGCTATGGGTTGGGTGACTGAATTACGCACCCAGTCAAACCGTGACTGGATTTCCTCCTCGCGCCTCCCCTAGTTTCACCCTAGACTCACCTTTGCCAGGTCAGCTCGCAATTCCAGAGCCTTCGCCATCGAACAAATTGTCCAGACTAAAACCAGCAGCCAGATAGGCGAGCCGAACTATAGCAGAAGAAGCGGAACTTGTCACTTACCTAGCCAGAGGAAAGAAGCGTGACTTGAAGTCAATATGTTGCTGGGTTACCTTCTCATTCTGGCCTTGTCGTGCGGGGCGAGGGACAGCGAAGGAGCCCAAGGGCGGCGGCTTCCAGCCAAATCCGTCGATAACGATCGAGGTAAGCAGGCAACAGCAATTTATAGTGCGGCGGGGATATCGAATCGTATTCCTGTTCTCTTAACCTCCGCGCGACAGGAGTCTGGTCTTGAGGCGGCTCAAAACTAGACTCCTCAAAACGAGGCGCCAATAAAAAGCAGCAATTCATAGCGTGGCGGGGATACCCACTTGTACTCCCTCTGTCATACCCTCCGCGCGACAGGAGTCTGGTAGTCTTGAGGCGGCTCGAAAATTGCCTCCTCAAAATGAGGCGCCTGTAATACAACAGCAAGTCATAGCGTTTTGGGGATATCAACTCCGAGTCGTATTCTCGTTGTATTCCCCCCCGCGGCGCGCACGGCGCAAGGGGATCGCGTGCGGCGATTGTGGTATTCAGGCCACATCAACTTCAGGACATGCTCACGCCGCCGTCAGACTACTCTCCGTCTGTGACAACTGTGGATAAAGAACGTTTTTTGAGGCGCCTCAAAAACATTCCCCCGTGTATTGCCCTCACACAAAGCCTCGCCTCCTCCCACCCCCCATCCCCTCTCCCTCCCCCCCCCTTCTCCCCTCCCCCCCTCCCCCACTCCCATCCCCCACTTTGCTTGCTTTGCTTCTTGGCTAGACTACTAATTCAATTTTTCTTACCCACAAGAACCGTACTATCCTTCTGTGACAGCTGTGGATAAGGAACGCCCAGATGCCCCCGTAAACCGGCCTCACACAAAGCCTTCTCCCCTTCTCCCCACTTTTCGCCCCCCCTTCCGCCCCCATTCTGGTCTATGATTGCTTAGAAAATCGGTTTTTCTTAACCACTAGTACCGTACCCCCTCGAGTACTCCATTCATGTTTTTTTTTTCTCTCTCTCTCTATCTCCTCCCCCAGTCTTGGAACAAGCTTCTATCGGCCACTTTATTCCTGCATCTGACTCCCCTGAAGATTTGCAGACTATCTCGCTTTTCCGAAATGCTCACTCCCAACGGAAACTGCAGCAGCAGCAGCAGCAGCCACAGCAGCACCAGCCACAGCAACAGCAGGGGCGCCACGTACTTTGTGTGCGGCAGGAGAAAGAGTGTACAGCTGGTATGTGCAAGGACGGGCAGATATGCCAGCCCATGAACACGTGCAAGGGATACATATGCCTGGCTGACCGGTCGAACTTGTGGGCCAAGAAACCCAGGAAGAAGTACGATAAGATTACCAAGAGCCCGGCGCAGGGGACACTGGCTCCGGAGGGTGAGAAGAGGTCGATCAGTGAGCCGGTGAAGGAGAGAGATGCGGGAAAGAGGAGCAGTGCAAAAGTCATATGGCAGTCTAAGCCCTAGCGACGTTACTCATGGAAATGAACAATATATTTAATTTATTTCAATTATAAAATCTTGAAATTTAATGGTGCTCCTCAAGGTCACCGGTCCATTGGCGTGAGGAGACTTGCTGGTTCGGATGTGGAGGTTTAGGAAGTAGCTTGAGAGATAGTTGGACGAGAGGTCTAGCGGTTTTCTAACTTCTTTAAAGTTGTAAACATCATGAAGTCTTGTAAGCTTCTAAGAAGTGCTTCTTCTTACCGTATCTGCAAACTCGCCTTGTATGGTACCTTTGTTCAAGGGAGAAATAGAAGAAACTGTTACGACTAGAAAGAATGGTTAGAAGAATAGAGAACAGGGGAGATATAGCGTTTTGGGTTGTACCCACTAAGAACATACCATATCTAGCTTATAACTTCTACATAACAATATATGTATAAGTTGACACACCCCCTAGGCTAGAAAAGGGGTAGTGCTGAGCAAGAAACATGCAGCTCAGGGTGGCACTACTAGTCCAACCTCTGAGGCAGGGGTCCGAAGACCAGTCAGCAAGAGTACAAGCAAGACAGAGCAAAACCAGGGCAGCACTACTAGTCCAACCACTAAGGCAAGAGGCCACAAGGCCAGTCAGGGTGATATAGATAAAAGTCTGTACACAATCAAGGTCCTAGCAAGTGAGAGGCTACAGGAACGAGACCTAGCTGTACACAGTGCCGCTGATGATCTTTAGGCGCAAGCGCCTTAGTAAAGATATCAGCTGTGTTGGCACCAGAGGCCAAGTGTACTACGCGGACCTGGCGACACTGCTGAAGCTCGCGCAGGAGGAAGTACCGCAGCTGGATGTGCTTCGCTCTGCCCTCAGGTCGAGGCTCCTGACACAGGAGGATCATGGCTCTGTTGTCAGCGTACAGAACCGGGAAAGAGCTAGGCCGCTCACCTAAGTCGGCAAGCAAGAAGGTCAGCCAGCGGAGCTCCTGTGCCGCCATGGTACCGGCGTAGATCTCAGCCTCGCATCTAGACTGAGCAACAGACGAGGAGCGAGTGGACCTCCACGAGATGGCACCAGAACCAAGGCTGAAGCAGTAGCCCTGGGAGGACCTGAGGGTCTCAGCGTCGTCTGCCCAAGAAGCGTCTGTGTGCCCAGTAAGGACCACTGGCCTGGGTCCTCCCAGCACTAGCCCCATGCCCGATGTACTTGCAAGATAACGCAAAACCCTCTTAGCGGCTGACCAGTGCTGTGGTCAGTGTCTGCCTGTGAGGCCAGGATGGTGAGAAGGTATGCGAGATCTGGACGAGTGCAATTCATCAGGTACATGCGTAAGGACCACTAGGCTCTGCCGACTCCTTGGGAACTCGAGCTGACAGCTTGTGGTCTACCGGCAGAGGTGTGGGCTGTGCGGAGAAGAACTGAAGACCGAACCTCTAAAGGACCTGGCGCACCAAGTGTGACTGTGTAAGAGTGATGATGCACGCTGCTCTGTCCCTGGAGATCTGCAGGCCAAGGTAGCGGCGCAACTCTCCCGGGTCAGTGCAGGTGTGTCTCCTCAGCAGCTCTGCCTTCACGGAGACCAGCGCGTCTGTGTCTGCAGTAGCAAAGACCAGGTCATCTACGTAGACAAGGATGTAGAACGGAGTCTGGCCAGCACGAATGAAGAGCGAAGGGTCAGCAGAGGACGGAAAGGACTGCACGTCAGCTAGAGTAGCACGCAGCGTGTCGTGCCACTCACGGGGCGCCTATCGCAGGCCGTAGACCGGGCGCTGGAGGAGCCACTGGGTCCCAGGAGGGAAGGTACCGGTGAAGCCTTGAGGACGGCGCAGGTAGACCTGCTCGTGCAGGCTGCCCTGAAGAAAAGCAGTAGAGAAGTCGAGGGAGTGGAGCTCGTAGTCACGCTGTGCTGCTACGTGTAGCAGCGCCCGAAGAGTGGTCATCTTCAGCGTCGGGGCGAAGGTCTGAAAGAAATCCACCCCCTCACGCTGATTGAATCCTTGAGCGACGTAGCGCGCCTTGAAGACAGGCGGCTCTCCAGGAGGGCACTTCACCTTGAAGAGCCACCGGCCATCGACTATGTTCACCCCAGGTGGGGGAATTGTGTCGACGAAGGTACCGGTGGATCTGCAAGGTGCCATCTCTTGCTCCATGGCAGCTATCCACTGAGAGGCCCACGGTCCCGAAGTGGCCTTAGCGTAGGTGCGAGGGGTCTGGATGTCGAGGGCGTCTGGTTCACCCTCGGGACTAGTAGCATGGAACAGAGATGGGGAGCGGTCTAAGAAATGAAATCAAGCTCGAACAGCCTGTCCTCTAGGACGTCACTGCCAAGAGCAGCCACACCCCCGACGGACGGAGGACAGACAGGTTCAGAGACAAAAGCAATAGCGAAGTCAACGCGGCGAGTAGAGGCAAAGTCAGCGTGGGCAGTGACTTGAGCGTCAAGACTGGAGACAGGAACAGACGGGTCGGTAACGAGGAAGGCATGGTCCTGAGGAACAAGAGGACGAGCAGCACGAAGGTAGTCAGACAGAGGGGGAGGCGCGATAGTGAGCAACGACGGAGGAGGCGAAGGCAAACGGGGAGGACGAGACGCGTGGGAACGAAGCAACATAGGGCGAGAACGCTGAACAGGAGAGACAGGACAAGCACGAGAGGGACGGCGAGACCAGACGTGAGAAAGAGGTGTCGGGTCAGTAGACAGGGGAAGAGTAACAGGAGGGGAACGAGAGGGGAAACGAGCCGGGGACGAGTCCGGCGGACGAAACACAAGACCGTGAACAGGAAGAGGGGGGGACGGCGAGGGAGGCGCAGGCGAGCGGTCAGGGGAGGGAAGGCCGAGCAGGCGAAGGGCGGACACCGGCGGCGACTGCTGCTGCTCAACGCCGACACCTCGACCGCCATCTGCACCACTGCTACCTCCGGTACACTCCACGCCAGCACCCCCAGAACGAGCAACGTCTCCTGTGCCAGTGCCAACCCCCGAGCCCACCGGGACAAGCCACGACAGGAGCCCCAGGACTAGCACCCTCTCCAACTCCAGCACCCCCAGAGTCCGCGAACGGCTGCGGCTACTACGACGGCTGCGGCTGCGGCGGCGGTGACGGTGGCAGCTGCGGCGGCGACTGCGACGAGGGAGGAGGAGACCCCGGGGGAGGGACAAGCGGCGCAAACTGCGCCGCGGGGCCACCGGAGTTCGCCGACTCCTCGACCGGGACAATCGACGGGAGGGGAGTGACGTGAGACACACCGGACGGAGCAGGATGTGGAGGGAGGGGAGCAGGGGCGACCGAGGGAGTGGGAACTAGAATCAAGGGGGGGGGGAAACCGGAAGACCTTGGTGAGGAAAGCGGTGGAAAAGGGAGACAGCCTCGTCGAAAGTGACGTCACGGGAGTGAAGGAAGCGGTGAGACAACGGGTGGTAGAAGTGCCAGTCAGACGAGTCAAAGGGGAAACCGAGGAAGACGCAGCGGATGGTGCAGGCAATGAGCTTGTCCGTGCCGGAGGCACGAACGTGAGCGAGGCAGCCCCAGACGTGGAACGCAGATGCGTCACCAGGGAACCTGGTCCAAAGAAGGTTCGGCGAAACCTGCGGCCGCTGAGAGCGAGGCCATAGGTTAAGCTGGTGAGCGGCGTATCGAATGGCGAATAGCCACAGAAAATGGGATGCACCGTCATGGATCATGCAGGTACGAGCCACCTCCATGACCAAACCGATGCGTCACTCAGTGACCCCATTATGCTATGGGGAGTCTGGTAAGGTGTACGAATGGGTGATGCCCTCCGTACATCAGAACCGACCAAGCCGACTAGAGGCGAACTCGCCTCCACGGTCGGAGTGGAGGCACATCACAGGGAGACCGCGGTGGAGGTGCACAGCGATGAGCTACGGGATAAGAGCGTCAGGCACGTCGGCCTTCCTCTCCAGAGGAAACACCGTGGTGTAGGGTGTGAAGTCGTCAACGAGCACACGAAAGTGGCGCTCCTGACGCGGTCCAGGGACAGGGGCTGGGCCCCAGACGTCCAAGTGCAAGGTCTGAAGGGGTGCAGTGGTAGGGCGAAGTGAGGAGGAGTGAGGAGCACGGCGCAGCCGGCCCTCGACGCAGGGCGTGCACGGTGGCGCAGGCGAGGGAGGGAGAGCACGGAGCGACGCAGGGAGGCCGAGGACTTGACCGTGCTGAGACATGTGACACAGACGGCGGAGCGCGGGGTCACCTAGGCCGTGGTGCCACAACAGTGACGGGTGAGTGAGCGACCGACACGAGCAGGCCGCAGCTACCTGGGTGGAGGTAGGACCGGAGGAGGACTCGCCCGCCGGGGGGGGAGAAGTGTCCAGCGTAAACAGGCCAGACACAGGGTCCCGGTGGAACGTCGCAAAGGGGGCACCTGAGGGGGCCTCGGTACAGACTGCGTACCGCTCGTGACCAGGGAATGTAGTGGTGACGCCGAGGTCCTGAAGTCAGCCGACACCAACTAAGTTCCTGGAGAACGAAGGGATGTGCAGGCCTGTAAGAGAACCCGAGGGAACCGCCGAACAGGGAAGGGTAGTGTAGCTGCGAGCAACTACAGGACCAGAGAAGGGGTCCGCAAGGGCGACAATGGCAGGTGTAGCAAGCGGCGTGAGGGCGGCGTGGTCGCGGAAGAAATAGGCTGACGCACCCGAGTCTAGAGTGAAGGACACCGACGATGTAGTGGCAGATGACGGAGGAGCAAGGGTAGAGCCTAGGCTAGACAAAGCAAGCTGTCCTACGCCTGACGCAGCAGGGGAGTCTAGACTACACACAGGTGCTACGCCTAAGCTAGAGAACACAGAGTAATACGATCCGGAAACACTCGAAGCGTCAGCATACAGAGAATGCAAGGCAGAACTAATCTGATTCATGTCTAAAGCAAACACAGGCACACCGTGGCGCAGCAGTCTGGGCCAGTCAGGGAGGTCCGGGGCGGGACCAAAGCGGCGACGGAAGATGTCGTCGAGGTGGCGGAAGCAGCGGATGGTGGGGTGCGAGGGGCGACACACCGTGCCATGCAGGGGATCGGTCTGAAGCTGGTACTGGCAGCTCACAGCACCGAAGCTGCCGGTGGACGCCGAGCTGCGAGGACCACCACCACGACCACCACCGCCAGGGGCTCCTGGCCATCCGGGCGGGAGACGAGCCCACGGCTGCTGCTGCTGCTGCTGTGATGGTTGCGACTGCGGCGGCTACGACTGCGGCAACTGCTGCTGCTCCTAGGCACCAGCACCAACCCCCTCTTCAGAACCACTGTCCTGCCACCACCACCACCACTACTAGCGCCACCTCCACGTCCTCCCTTGGGGCCACGGCGGCCCCAGCTTAGGCGCTGCTGCGGGTAAGCCGCTGCTGCTGTCTCAGGTGCAGGCGCAGTCGTGACAACTGCGGCGGAGACGTCAGCGTACGTGCACTGGGAGGGAGCACAGCCCTGAAAGATAGGGACTGCTGCAACACCGCTCGACTGAGCGATAGTGCGCTGGCGAGTCTCTATCTCAGACAGAGTAGTGACAAAGGCGGTCAGGGTGAGGTCGGCAGGGTGTTGACTAAGGAAGTGGTCGTGGGCAGTGGCTAAGCGGTCAGGCACGTGCATGGCGATGAGGTACAGGGTAGACAGAAAGGTGGGGGGTAGGCAGTAAGCTGGGCGACAGAGCTAGTAGCGCGGTAGCTGGTCTCTAATGCATGGAGGTGAGTAGCGAGGTCAGCTACCGTGGGGAAAGCGAATCTTCAGCGAGGCACCATGGCTGGCGCGATGGTTACTGGCATGAGGGCGTTACAACTGGCGCCTAGGACAGGGCGCTGGCCGCAGCTGTCCGTGCGCTGGCGTGGCGAAGCCGCCACGGCAGCACGACGGCACGGCGGCACGACTTCCCAGCGGCACGGCGGCGCGGCGGCACTGTGGCACGGCGGCGTGACGGGGCTGGCTCGGAGGGACGGGGCCAGCACGGCGTGACGGGGCCAGCGCGGCGTGACGGGGCCAGTGCGGCGTGATGGGGCCAGCGCGGAATGACGGGGCCAGCGTGGGATGACGGGGCCAGCGCGGCGTGACGGGGCCAGCGCGGAGGGACGGGGCCGGCGCGGAGTGACGGGGCCAGCGCGGCGTGACGGGGCCAGCACGGTGTGACGGGGCCAGCTCGAAGTGACGGGGCCAGCGCGGCATGACGGGGCCAGCGCGGCGTGACGGGGGGGGGGGGGAGGGAGTACGATGTGGAAGCGTGAGGAGAAGGCTCGATCGAAAGGGGCCTGCTCCGATACCATATTAAACTAAGCTAGGTAGGAGGGAAGCCATGGAATGGCGTGAGGTTTAGGAAGGAGAAAGTTGACAGGGAAAGGATTTTTGAGAGGCGTGAAATCGGTCGAGGTAATCCAGGCAGCATTCCTTCTTCTCGTCCTCCCTCGAACAACGAAGGACTACTGCTTTGAAGTTCCAGACTTCGGAAATGGGTGTTAGAGACGTAGGGTTTCCCCTGTTATCAGAGGTTAAGCCGATTTTTGCGGTTCTTTCAAGGAAACAGTCGTTTCTCCGAGTCGTCAGTGACGAACGTTCCCGAGCCCCGGCGGTTGCCTGCCTTGTATGGCTTGCGGCGGCATCATAGTATGACCTCGCCAGATTTGCCCTTTATGGGACGATTTGCCCCGTACCCACTATTCTTTGTAACCGTGAACGAAAAAGAACTAGGAAGTGAGCCATCCGCCAGTATCCCACCCTCACGCAAAGCCCCCATGGGGGAGGATCCCTTCGTTCTTCCTTTTCTTTTCTTTTCCCTTTTAGCGTACTTCTGTACACCTCCTTTTTAATACCATTCTTGCCCATACCCGGGGGTTCGCTGGCTTCGCTCCATTCGCCATTACTATGCTGCTCCCTCCCTTCCCCTATTCCCGAGCTGTCCTCCGTACAGTCACAGACCAAGCTTCTTTCGGGCACTCGATTCCTGCTCCTGGTTACTCTGGCGATCTCCTCACCATCCCGCGGTTTCAAGACGTTTACCTGCGCCGTAAGATGCAGGAGCAGGACCAGCGGCAGCAGCAGCTGGAGCTGAGCCGTCTCCAGGCAGGGGCGCCAAAGAAGAGCATGCTGGAATACCAGGAGAGGAAGTGGTAAGAGGAGCTGAAGAAGAAGGAGCAGCAGAAGAAGCTGGAACGGCAAGTGCAGGAGCGGCAGGCACAGCTGAAACTGCAGCAGCAGCAGAAAGAGGAGTGGGAGAAGGCACATCTGAAATTGCAGCATAAGCAGAAGGAGCAGCAGGTTCAGGAGCAGGAACAGGCACAGCTGCAACTGCAGCAGCAGCAGCAGAAGGAGCAGCAGCAGCTGGAGCTGAACCGTCTCCAGGCAGAGGCATCCAAGAAGAGCATGCTGGAATACCATGAGAGGAAGAAACAGGAGGAGCTGCAGAAGCAGGAGCAGGTGAAGAACCAGAAGGAGCAGGAGAAGCTGGAGCAGGAGCAGCCAGAGCTGAAAGTGCAGCGGGAGCAGAAGCAGCTGGAGCTGAACCGTCTCCAGGCAGAGGCGACAAAGAAGAGCATGCTGGAACACCAGGAGACGAAGCGGCAGGAGGAGCTGAAGAAGCAGCGGCAGCAAGGATAGGGTGTATTGCTTGTTGAGAGATGTTTGGTGTTGGTGTATGAAAAAATGCGTTGTCTTCCGTATGTAGCATGAATAGGAGGTACAGCAACGTCAACACACGGTTGGAAAGGTCGTGGGAGGGCTATTTTAACCTGCTGCTCAATGGAAGAGAGTTGGAAGCAATAAAAGGTTTGAAAGTGGTCTTTACTGGAATAAGAGAGTTGAATGTTGGAATGAAGTGATGGAAAATTACTGGTTCAATATGGATCTTCAACGGAAATGCATGCAGACTCATATTCACACATTGCCACCTAAAACGTAGTACCATAAATTAATCGTCGCTTCTAGTATGGTTTCGCATGTACTGTTCAGTTTTACGCACATCTAAGAGATGAGCCGTGATGCAAAATACGCGGTTTTAGTAGCTGGAGAGACATTGGCGCTGGTGATAAACCTGACGTGACTTTGACATTTGCAGTGTGGTATTTGATAAGATAAAGCTTTTTTGCCCTAACCTGGGGCCTTGCTGTATAGGTGTGTAACATTGTCCATGGAGGCAGTGTTCGTCCTAGTTCAGTTGCCGGATTCTCGTTCGCTGGGGGCTCTCCTTCCGCCTTGCACGAGCATTCGCGAAAACAAGAAATTCTCGTATGGGAGAGACCATCGCCACTACCTCGTCGGCGAACCACGCAAAAGAAGCAGGATACCGCACTGTACCGCAGTAATAGATTCCTCGGGATTTGAGGTAGCCTTGATTTCTCCCCATTGCCGAAGGCCGAGGCTTCTAAAATCCTAAGTTCCATCTAGGTGTCTATGTGCAATGTTCTGTCTCGCATCTGGCACATCCGCTCTGCAAATAGTTCCGATTGCCGTATTTCAGCTGAAAAAACCGGAGCCGCAAAGGGTTATATTACACGGCTGATGAATTCGACCTGCGAGTGACTCTAGCGGGGACGATTACTTCTTTCTTGTCCGCATTATAGGAGGCGCCATATAACTTAACATTCTTGTCTCCGAGCAGTTATGGCGTCGAATCTGCTGCCAGTGGGCGAAGTCGTTAAGCGGCTGAGCCTGCAGCCGCACCCGGAAGGGGGGTTCTATGCTGAGACGTTCCGCGACACGCGGGTGCAGCTGGATTTGGGGAATCTGCCGGCGAATGAAGGATGTAAGCACAATAGCATTGATGTCGATGTCAGGATCAAGGTGATTTCAGCCGCACCCGGAAGGGGGGTTCTATGCTGAGACGCTCCGCGACACGCGGGTGCAACTACCCTTGGAGACTCTGCCCTCCAACCAAGGCTGTAAGTGTTGGAGCTTTTGTGAATTCTCAAAAACACACCCTGCAAAAGGATGTAAGTGCTGCTACTCTGGGCTTGATACGTGTGGCATACCAGGCGACAGACGTGATAATGTGGTAACCCGCTCGCGAGGGAGGGAGGGAGGATTTGGGGGGTAGTTTTCCCTGTAGCACCTACCTCGAACGAAGGATGAGCAGTAAATTTCATAACGCAAGTTTTGTTACAAGTATTGTGCGGAGAAATAGGGTCTTTCCTTGCTACAGTCAGGGTTCAAGGAAAAGATCCTACTCCTCTGCAGGGTGTTTTTGAGAATTCTCAAAAACACCCTACTCCTCTGCACATTACTACTGACTGACTGACTGACTGACTGACTGACTGACTGACTGACTGACTGACTGAGGAGCACCAGTTGCATTGCGTTTCCACTACTTTCCCTGCATCCTGACAGTTGCGTTGCATTGCAATGCCACGCCTCAGGACTCCACACTGCCACGCAGCCCCCCCCTCCCAACCCCCACCACCCCCACCACCCCCCACCACACCCACACCACACCCACACCCACTCTCCGCACCCCCTCACCGTTTTTCTCTCCTCTTTCCTTGTTATCCCCCCTTTTTCCTCCTATCTACCCCTTGGACAGTCAAGGTGGGCAGGCCGGTCAGCACCTGCATTTATTTTCTTCTGCCCACGGGCAGCGTCTCCCACCTCCATCGCATGCCCTCCTCGGAAATTTTCCATTTCTACGCCGGCGACCCGCTCACGGTCAGTCTTTCCTCTCGCCCCTCCAAGCCGCCGCCCCCTCCTCCCCCCTCTCTCCCCCCCCCCCCCGCACACACGCTTGCCCTCCGGAGTCTCACACGGGGGCGACCCCCTCACGGTCACTCCTTCCCCACGCCCCCCTTCCTCTCTCTCATCCTCTCACTCCTCTCTCTCTCCTCCTCTCCCCCCATACTATCGCTCCTCCAAGATGTGGAAATCGAGTACGATAGATCCATTCGTAAGACCACCGTCGGTGCAGTCCTAGCAGCAGGTCAGGTCTTCCGCAGTCCAGTCTTCCGCAGTCGAGTCTTCCGCAGTCAAGTCTTCCGCAGTCAAGTCTTCCGCAGTCAAGTCTTCCGCAGTCAAGTCTTCCGCAGTCAAGTCTTCCGCAGTCAAGTCTTCCGCGGTCAAGTCTTCCGCCACATCGGGTCAGTCAGGTCATTCTTCAAGCCTAACGCCCCCGCTTCCTTCGTGTGTGCCCCCCCTCTCCCCCCAACCTCCCTCCAACCTCCCTCCTTGCAGATTGTGGAGCTTGAGGACGACGGGTCGATTCGCAAGACCACCATAGGCCCGGACCTGGCAGCAGGCCAAGCCTTCCACCACGTCATACAGCCTACCATCTCCACTTCCCTCCCTCCCTTCCCTCTTGTGTGCTCCTTTCCGTCTCTCCTCTCCTCCCAACCACCCAACCCACCTCCTTGCAGATTGTGGAGATTGAGGACGACGGGTCGATCCGCAAGACCACCATCGGCCCAGACCTGGCAGCAGGCCAAGCCTTCCACCACGTCATCAAGCCTAATGTCTGGTGCATTCCCCCCACCCACTCCCCCTCCACCTGTGCTTGCCCCAACCTCCTTTCCCCCTTGCAGATTGTGGAGATTGAGGACGATGGGTCCTTTCGCAAGACCACCATAGGCCCGGACCTGGCAGCAGGCCATTCCTTACACCACATCATCAAGCCGAACGTCTGGTTCGGGGCGTTCCCCACCCTTGACTTCGACGCTGAGCTGAAATTGACGGCTCGAGATGCGGGCTCAGCAGCAACCCACTACAGTCTTGTTGGCTGCACTGTAGCCCCTGCGTTTGAATTTGCAGATTTCGAGTTGGCTAATAGGGCGGATTTGGTGGGTAAGTTTCCCCATTTAGCTGATGTAATCACCATTCTGACCAGTCCATAGGCTACACTGCTATTTGACAACAAACTGTATATAAGAATGATATTTGTGCGCTGTAGAATTGTTAATGCCGTACAGGTTAATGAAAGGTATTATTGGAGAGTCCTTGCCCCGTTGTGTGACAGTAGCTGCTGCACGACATCCCTGCGTGACAGTGGTGAAGGGTGGGAGTGTAACAGGGAATGCGACAATGGTGAAGGGCAGGAGTAGCGAGATGTGTGACAATGGTGAAGGGTGGGAGTAGCAAGAAGTGTGAGAATGGTGATGGTTAGGAGTAGCGCGATATGTGACAATGGTGAAGGGTAGGAGTAGCGAGATATGTGACAATGGTGACGGGTAGGAGTAGCGAGACATGTGACAATGGTGAAGGGTGAGAGTAATGGGATATGATTGGAATACAGGGAAGGCAAGGGAGATGGGGGAGGGGAAGGAAAGAAAGGAAAGGAAACAGGCCAGAATAAGGGGGGGTGGGGGGGGGGGGGGGGGAGAAAAGAGGAGAGAAGGGATGAGGGGAGAGGCAACGGGAAGGGATTAAGAGGGGGGGGTGAGAGGGGGTAGAGAAGGGGAGAAAGAAGGAGAGGGGGGAAACATGTCGTGTCGCACCTGTCGCCCATCCTCCTCCCCACCACCATCTTGTGTAACGCCAGCCTGTGACTGCACGAGCTTTGAGGTGTCTCAAAAGTTGGCGGGGAAACAGGAGGAGAGGGCAGAAACATATCGCACCTGTCGTCCATCCTCCTCCCCACCAGGGCTGAAAATAACAGGGTAATCACCCTGCCTTGACTGAAAATCCAAGGTTTTTTGCAGCATAGCCCGTATCTCGCACAGGGATAGGTTTTGAAGGGTATTTCACCCTGATTACCCTTGCCAGCAGCCACTTTTTGGAGTATACCCTGATTTTATAAGGGTAAAAATGTGTTTTGAGGCCAAATTCGCCCCTAGCACCCTTACAAATCAGGGCGAAATGTCCCAAAACCAATTCCTGTCCCTGATCTCGCATAGGCTTTTTCCCAGCCAGCCCAGACTCACACAGGGGGAAATGTCGCAGGACCCGTACTGATCCGGGGGAATTCCGGGGCGACCCGGACCTTTTTCCCCCTCTACCCCCCCCTCCCCCCTCTACCCCCACCCCCCCCTCCTCCCCAAACAACCTCCCGTCCCCCCCCCCAATTCGCCGTCCTCCCCAATTCCCTCCCCCCCCCTCCCTCTTCCAAATCTCGCCCCACACCTCTCAAAGCCCAGTACATTCGGGAGCCCCCCTTGCTGGACGCCGGGTCCCTATGTATCACTCACAGATCGAGTCACCCTCTTAGCAGGAGCGAGGCCAACCCCGATTGCCCCACCGAAGAAATGGCGTGGGTACATTATTCCCCACCCTGCGAAATTTGGTGGCGCTCAGGCCTTTTTCGGCTAGCACCCTGATTCATCCGAGCAATTTTTGGTTCGGCTCGGGTTTTACAGGGGTTTTTTCAGAGGGGCCAAATCGTCCGAGCTAGCAAAAAATCTAGCTCAGGCGCTGCTCCCCACCACCACCTCGTGTGCACTGAGAAACGCAACGCCAGCCTGTGGCTGCCTGAGGGCAGATGTGGTGGTGCCTATACCACAAGGAAAAGCCACAGACCACAAGGAAAAGCCTCTCCTCTCACCTGTAATCTGCCCTCCTCCCCACCACCATCTCGTGTGCACTGAAAAACGCAACGCCAGCCTGTGACTGCCTGAGGGTAGATGTGGTGCCTATACCATCAGCACAGACCACAAGGAAAAGCCTCTCCTCTCACCTCTCGTCCATCCATCATCCTCCTCCCCACCACCATCTCGTGTGCAGTGCACTGAGAAACGCCAGCCTGTGACTGCCCGAGTTTTGACACGCCTCAAAAGTAGACGGTGAAACAGGAGGAGGGGGCAGAAACATCTACTCTCTCACCTGTCCTTTACACTCCTTCCCACCACCATCTCGTGTCCACTGAGAAAAGCCAGCCTGTATTCCCCAGAGTGCAGTTGTGGAGCCTGTACCATCACCCCCTGGGAACAGTGGCCAGCGCACACGGTTGCCGCTGAAACCACTATCACATTCTCCTTCTCGATCGCCCTGTCCTCTCCCTCCCACGCTTGCTGATTTTCCGCCCTGTCCCCCGTTTCCAGCACCAGCAACAGCTCTACCCCATCAATACCCTCCTTGCCCCCCTTCTCTGCTTGCTTCCCCAGCCCTTGCGCGTTTTTCACACGAGCAGCAGCAGCAGCAGCAGCAGCACCAGCAGCAGCACCAGCACCAGCACCAGCAGCAGCACCAGCACCAGCAGAACCATCGGCAGCCGCAGCAGCAGAGGGAAGAGAGCAGACGTGCAGGCTGCGTAAGGAGTGTTGCAGGCTGTGCCATGCTTGCAACAACACGCGGCGATTGGTGTCCCTGTGGGTGAACGGGGCGCAGATGTGTACAGACTGAGTATGCATAAGAGGGGGGGGGATACGTGCAGGCTGCATAGTTGTGAGGCGCCTCAAAACTAGACTGAGTATGCATAAGAGGGGGGGGGATACGTGCAGGCTGCGTAGGGAGTGTTGCAGGCTGTGCCATGCTTGCAACAGCACGCGGCAATAGATGTCGCTGTGGGTCAATTAGACGGGGGCCACATGGTGAGAGTGCAAGGCAGTGCCATGCTTGCAACAGCACGCGGCAATAAGTGTCCCCTGTGACATGCCATGTCAGCCTCTGGCAATCTATTTTTGAGGCGCCTAAAGAATAGACTCAGCACACGAGAGATTTTTGAGTCGACTCAAAAATCTATCTTTGAGGCGCCTCAAGAATAGACTGAGCACACGGCAGTTCATGTCCCGTGACATGCCATGCCATCCTCCGCCGTCCGGCAATCAATTATTGGCAGGTGCAAGATGAGGGAGGTTGTATTGTGGAGGGTGCACATGCCAGTGGAGGGAGTGGAGGGAGTGGAGGGAGTGGAGGGGGTGGAGGGAGTGGTAGGAGTGGAGGGAGTGGAGGGAGTGGAGGGAGTGGTGGGAGTGGAGGGAGTGGAGGGAGTGGAGGGAGTGGAGGGAGTGGAGGGAGTGGAGGGAGTGGAGGGAATGGAGCGAGTGGAGGGAGTGGTGGGAGTGGAGGGAGTGGAGGGAGTGGTGGGAGTGGAGGGAGTGGTGGGAGTGGAGGGAGTGGAGGGAGTGGTGGGAGTGGAGGGAGTGGAGGGAGTGGTGGGAGTGGAGGGAGTGGAGGGAGTGGAGGGAGTGGAGGGAGTGGTGGGAGTGGAGGGAGTGGAGGGAGTGGTGGGAGTGGAGGGAGTGGCGGGAGTGGAGGGAGTGGTGGGAGTGGAGGGAGTGGAGGGAGTGGAGGGAGTGGAGGGAGTGGAGGGAGTGGAGGGAGTGGAGGGAGTGGAGGGAGTGGTGGGAGTGGAGGGAGTGGAGGGAGTGGAGGGAGTGGAGGGAGTGGAGGGAGTGGAGGGAGTGGAGGGAGTGGAGGGAGTGGTGGGAGTGGAGGGAGCGGAGGGAGTGGAGGGAGCGGAGGGAGTGGAGGGAGTGGAGGGAGTGGAGGGAGTGGAGGGAGTGGAGGGAGTGGTGGGAGTGGTGGGAGTGGAGGGAGTGGTGGGAGTGGAGGGAGTGGAGGGAGTGGAGGGAGTGGAGGGAGTGGAGGGAGTGGAGGGAGTGGTGGGAGTGGAGGGAGTGGGGAGTGGAGGGAGTGGTGGGAGTGGAGGGAGTGGTGGGAGTGGAGGGAGTGGAGGGAGTGGAGGGAGTGGTGGGAGTGGAGGGAGTGGTGGGAGTGGGGGAGTGGAGGGAGTGGAGGGAGTGGAGGGAGTGGTGGGAGTGGTGGGAGTGGAGGGAGTGGAGGGAGTGGTGGGAGTGGTGGGAGTGGTGGGAGTGGTGGGGGTGGAGGGAGTGGTAGGAGTTAAGGAAGTGGGGGAAATTCGAGATTGTCACTCACCAGAGAGAGCGATAGTACCCCCGTGACGTATGAATTGGCTCAAGATGTGTCGTGTGACATTGTAACGAAGTGGCTTTTGCGTGGACTCAAAATAACTTGATATTGTCACTCACCAGAGACAAACAGAGCCCCCATGCGAGCAGCCCAGCACCCATCCAGGCCGATTGTGAACAGCAGCAAGGGATATGACTCGGTGGAAGGGGTGACCCTTGTAGCAGGCTGGGGGGAGGTGGTAACTGGACAGGGGCGACCTGAAACACGGGAAGTGTAGGGTGGGCAGAGAGGGGAATGAGCATGTGTGTAGAGTGGGGGAGGAACAGCAGCAAGGGATATGACTTGGTGGAATGGGTGGCCCTTGTAGCAGGCTGGGGGGAGGTGGTAACCAGGTGAAAGCGACCTGTTACATGAAGGACACAGAACACAAGACGTACTACACAAGAACGAATGAGTGTGGGGGGGGGGGGGGAAGGGGGTAACAGCAACCTGGCACCCATCCAGCAGTAGCAAGGGAGATGTCTCAATGAAAGGGGTGGCCCTTGTAGCAGGCTGGGGGGAGGTGGTAACCAGCAGCAAGCGACCTGTTACATGGGGGGAACAAACACACTTTTGAGGCGCCTCAAAAGAGGAGTCTATTTTTGAGGCGCCTCAAAAATAGCAACCGGCAACAAGCGACCTGTTATGTTACATGGGGGGAACAAACACGTGATGAACGAGTGTGTGTGGGGGGGGGGGGAAGGGGAGGGAGGGGGGGGGGGAGAGAGGGTAACAGCAGCCAGACACCCATCCAGGCTGGTGGAGAACAGTAGCGAGCGAGATAACTCGGTGAAAGTGGTGGCCCTTGTAGCAGGCTCGGGGGAGGTGGTAACTGGGCAAGGGCAACCTGTGACAGGTGATACATGCAGGATGCGCTAGGGGATGGGTGTGTGGAGGGGGAAGAGCCTCCTCACCTCCTCGCTTGTTTGTCCATCACCCCACCCAACAACAAGCACCACCACCACCACCCCCTGCCGCCGCCAACACCAGCCACCCGTACTTGCACGGCACCCACCGCCTCCCTACTATCTACCCACTCCCTTACCTCCCCTTTCTGCCCTGTAAGTGCCCTACTCACCTCGCGCCTTTATCCATCCCCCAGCAGCAAGCAGACCCTCCATCCCCTGCCGCAGCCACGATCCACCCTCCTCCCTTCTTCAACCTGCGTCCTCCAGCTTCCCTCATCTTCCCTCCTCTTCCCTCCTCCCCCACTCTACTCCTCTCCTCCCCCACCTCCTCCCCCGACCCCTCCCCCTCCCATCTCGGCCTTTCCTCCGTTCCCGTCCACTCCTCTGCACCCATTCCCACCGCTGCCACACTCCACATCGTTGGAGCAGATGGCTTAGCTGCCGGAAGGCTTGAGAGGAAACGGAATGGCGTATGGCAGTTGGGCACAGGAGCGTGACCGGAGCAAGACGGGGGGGCCTCGGCCGAATTCGACGTGGGGGGGGGGTTGAGAAAGGTGGCTTGGACTTGAGCTAGTGGCTCCCCCCACTTCGACTCCACCAGCTGCACTAACACCACTCCAGCACCCGTGCCATTGAAAGGCGCCTCAAGAGCCGCCCCACCATTACTGCTCCCAGCTGGCTCATTAGAAGGTGCTGCCTTGGGTTGGCAGAGAGTGAAGCAGCTGGCGAGGCAGAGCGTGGTGCCACAGGGGGAGAACGCCATGGCTTGGCGCTCGGGGTCGGGGAAAGCCTGCCACGGGATGTGAAGGGGGCGAATGAGGGAGAGCAGCTAGCACGGGTGAAAGGAAGGGCTGATTCGGCCACGTTTGCATGGCTCGCAGAGGGTGAAGCAGCTGGCGAGGCAGAGCGTGGTGCTACAGGGGGAAATCGCCATGGCTTGGCGCTCAGGGAAAGGCTGCCACGGGATGTGAAGGGGGCGAATGAGGGAGAGCAGCTAGCACGGGTGAAGGGAAGGGCGGATGCGAAGCAGCTGGCGAAGCAGAGCGTGGTGCCACAGGGGGAGAACGCCATGGCTTGGCGCGCGGGGGAAGGCCTGGCAGGGGATGTGGAGAGGGAGGATTATGAGGGCAAGCACGGGTGAAGGGCTGATGCGGTCAGGTTTGCGTGGCTGGCTGGCAGAGAGTGAAGCAGCGAGCGAGGAAGAGAGCGGTTCCGCAGGGGGAAAACGCCATGGCCTGGCGCTCGGGTGACGTGTGCCAGGGGAGCGAGAGCCGGAGGAAGGGTGGGCCAGTCAGCGTGTAATGAGTCTATTTTTGAGTTGAGTCAAAAATAGACTCATTAAAACGCCATCGCCTGGCGCTCGGGTGAAGTGTGCCAGGGGTGCGAGAACCAGAGGAAGGGTGGGCCAGTCAGCAAGGTGGAGTTCGCAGCTGCAGCTGCAAGGAATGTTTGAGAATTCTCAAAAATACTCTGCTAAATCAAGGAAGGGGATAAACTGCGCTCACTGGAATTATGTCCGGAGATTCTCAAAAACACCCTGCAAAGTCAAGGAAGGGTGGGTGGGGCAGTCAGCCAGGTGGAGAGACTGCAGCTGCAGCCGCACGGCGGAAAAAAAGGACATTGCCCGGCGCTGAGGGCAACACTACGTTTTTTAGTAATGAAGGGAAGGAAGGGATATAAGTACATTTAGTAAACACCCAGGGCAACAGTACTATGTTCAAAATCATCTCTCAGGAGGAGATATGGAGGAGTTAGGTGGTTCGGGACTTTTAACGATCAATAACCCATCTCTACGCGCACCTGGCTTCACGATTGCCCTGCAGCAACAGTCTATTACACGCCAGGTACACTCACCTCATTGCCGTCCTCAGAATGCTTGAGCTTCACACCGAAGCTTCCCACAAGCCTGAACCACGGAACAGCACCCCTTGCTGCCTCGTGGGGTGAGTCCACCCCTCCTGCCCCTACCCCTACCCCTTCCCCTTCCCCTACGCTGGGAACACGCCCAGCCGTCTCTTGCTTCTCATTGCCTGTCTTTCCTCCTCCTCTTTGGTCCCCTTTGCTCTGCTTCAAGCTCTCAGCACCTTCCTTCCCCTTCATCATTTTTACACCTTCCCTCTCTCCCTTCCACACTCCCTTCCTCTCTCCCTTCCACACTCCCTTCCTCACTCCCTTCCCCTCTCCCTTCCCCTCTCCCTTCCACACTCCCTTCCTCTCTCCCTCCCCCTCTCCCTTCCTCTCTCCCTCTGCCACTCCACCGTCCATCCCAATGCACGTCATCTCATACACAACCACCTGCCGCTCCTCCTCTCCCTGCTTCCCCATACACACTGCTATGCGAGCACAGGCACAGATCCTCCGAGTTGCTACCCCTTGGCCCAATGAGGGGCAAAGCGAAGGGTTGTCCGCCACCCACACATGCACAGCCAGCACTGGCAGCGGATGACACACCTCCAGACACACCCCTCCCCCCCCTCCCCTTCTCACACCTTCCCCACTCACACCTTCCCCACTCACACCTTCCCCACTCACACCTTCCCCACTCACACCTTCCCCACTCACACCTTCCCCACTCACACCTTCCCCACTCACACCTTCCCCCCTCACACCTTCCCCCCTCACACTTTCCCCACTCACACCTTCCCCACTCACACCTTCCCCACCATCCTCAAAGGTACGAACGGCTCTAACACGCTCTTGATCCATCTTCTCATTCTGCTCTCTCACCTCGTCGCTCATCTCCCATATTCCGTCCTCCTTTCCCTCCTCTCTTCTGTTCTCTCTCATTCCCAACGCAACCGCCCTCCCCTTCCCTCCCAGCCCTCCCACTACTTCTTCTCCATGCTCTTCCCTCCCCTCCTGATTCTCTTCCTCCTCTTCCCCTCGCCCTTCCCCCTCTTCCTTATGCCCTTCCTCCTCTTCCCCTCGCCCTTCCCTCCCACCAACCTCACTCCCTCCAACTCCAACATCCCTCCCTTCAGCCCCTTCTGCTACGCGTCCTTCACCTCTCCTCCTCTCTCCCTCTTCACCTTCTGTCTCTCCCAAAAATCCCTCACCTCTCCCCTCCCCCGCTCCCTTCTCTCCTTCCTTTCCCCCAAGTATGCTTCCTTCCTCTGCCTCATGCACCCCTCTCGTTCTCTCAACTCCCGACTCCACCCTTTTCAATCCCAACCGCTCGCCCGACTCATCTGCCTCTTGCACCCCTCTTCCGCTCACCTCTTCTCCTAACTCCATCGCTCCCAGTTCAAGCTCTTTTTCTCCTCTCATCACCCCATCCACCCCATCCACCCCATCCAGTCCCCCCTGCACTGGCCCCTTCTCCACCTTTTGAGTCAACTTGCCAGTCTCCTCTAACCCTCTCTCTGCTGCACCTTCTTGCTGCTGCTGCTGCTGCTGCTGCTGCTGTTGCTGGCTTTGTTTCTCTGGCTCCTGCTGCATCCGCCTCCTTTGCTGCTGCTGCCTTCTATTTTTTGGCAGCTGCCCCCTTCCACTATTTCGCTTCTTGCCAGCTTGGGATAAAGCCACAGGGAGTGACAATGGCTGTTGTGACAATAATGCAGGCTCCTCAGCCCGTCTCTCAGAAGACTCCGGCAGTGATAGGGATGGGAGTGACAAAAACGGTGGCTCCTGATTTGATTTTACAAGAGCTGCAGGGAGTGACAACGACAGTGGTGACAATGGAAGGGGTGGTGACTGTAACGAAGGCATGGAGGGAGGGCTCATTCTGACTAGGGGCAGAGGGGAGTAGTAGCCTTTAGGCGTTTTCTTCTTTGATCTTGCACTCGGGGTGCCCTTGGCCGCTGCAACTCCTGCTGTTGCTGCTGCTGCTGTTTCTGGCGTTAATCCAACTGCTGTTGCTGCTGCTGCTGCTGCTGCACTTGCAGCTGCTGTTTCTGCCGTTGCTCCTGCTGCTGTTGCTGCTCCTCCTCCTCCTGCTGCTGCTGCTGCTGTTTCTGCCGTTGCTCCTGCTGCTGTTTCTGCTGCTCCTCCTCCTCCTCCTGCTGCTGCTGCTGCTGCTGCTGCTTCTGCCGTTGCTCCTGCTGCATCTCCTCCTGCTCCTCCCCCTGCTGTAGCCGCAGGAGAGTTAACTTTCAGCAGCTAAGACGAGGCCTTTTTGGACAATGGACTGGCCACGGGGGTACTGAGACTGGTTGGCTTGTGCTGAGAGTGGTGAGGCGAGAGGCAGTGAGCAGGGGTTGCTTCGTGTATACCAGGTGCTGCAGAAGAATCACCTCTCAGCAGCACAGACGAGGGACCTTTGGACAATGGATTCGCCATAGGGGTACTGAGAGTGGGTGGCTTGTGAGGCGAGAGGCAGTGAGCAGGAGGTGCTTCATGCCTACCAGATGCTGGAACAGGTGAAAGCAAAACCCCCTCCGCTAGAGGACTCAAACTCGAGCGCTTGCCCTTCTGCCTCTCCCCCTTCTGTGCCTCTCCCCCCTTTAGCCGTTTCGCCTGGGGATTTTTGTGAGTCGTGCGTGCTTCTGCTGCTTTACCTCCCCTCTCCCCCTCCCGTGCTTCTGCTGCTGCATCTCCCCTCTCCTCCTCCCGGGCCTCCCCCTCCCCCCTGGTCCTTCCAGCAGAACTGCCCCTTTGCCGCTTCCGAGACTCCAGAAGCCTATCAGCATCCAGAGACGCACACCCGGCTTCAGCACTCAGATTGAACCCGTCAAGAAATGCCCTCATTTCCGCACCCTCCTTACTGTCACCTTCCTCGTCTCCATCCTCCCCTTCACCATTATCACAGCCACCAATTTGCCTCGGCCCCTCCCTCTCTCCACCGATAGAACCACCATAGGTACCATGGCGCAGTGACGCTCCTCCATCTCCACCTCCAATATCCTCGCTTATAGCATCCTCATCACTGTCTGGAACTTGCACGTCACTGGCGCCGCCAATGTCGGCACACAGATCCTTTGAGACATTTGAACCGGGAAGCAACACATTTGAACCTGGAGGTAACCCAGCAGATGGTTCCTGTAACGGCTCTCGCATTAAAACCCTGGCTGCCGCACTTGACGCTCTTCGGGGTGTTGTTTTTCTGGTCCCAGGCGTGGCTCCTGCTCCTGCTCCTGCTCCTGCTGCTGCTGCTCTTGCTGCTGCTGCTGATCCAGGGGAAACGACTGCTGCTGAAAACGATACCGGGGAAGATAATACCGGGGACGAAGTCAGCTGTTGCATCCGTCTCAGTTCACCCACCGTGCGTGGCCGCCTTCGCGCGATACTGTCACCTTGCGGCATTGGAACACCACCTGATACTGTAGATAACGTGGCTGGCGAATTTGTACCCTTGCTCCTTCGTCCGCTCGGACTAGAATCACAACGGTCCACAGCAGAGCCATGAGATTTCACCTCGCGTACTGGCGGTGCTCCCTCTTTAGCGAGTTTCACGTCGCGTTTCAACTCCGAGTTCAGCTTCGAATCGCCGTTTGTTGACGGAGTTAGCGACACGTCCAAACGGCCGTCAGACGAAACCGGCGTTAACGGCGACGAGGCATTCCGTTGAGAGCTACTACTCTTTCTCGCACGCTTTTGCCTCGGCTTACGCGTCTTCCACCCTATGGCGGTTGTCTCGGCGACAGATCGAGCCATGAAGTATCACTACCACAGGCCAATGCCGGCTAGCGACGGTCGAAACGGGCTACTCCAACAGATTCTGATTACGAAGAACAAGCGACCGAGACCAAAAAGCGTTGCAGCTGTTACGAAAGACAGTAACGTAGGTTACAGATTACTTGGAAACATAACTCGAGGTCTGGAGAGGTGGCAGTCTGGCAGAGCTGTCAGGAGTATCAGGAAGAGTGACGATGACGCGACAATACCAAGAGAGAAAGTAGAAATCAATAGTGTGCTGTATTCTTGGAGTTGCCACTTCGAGTGGCATGGCAAGCTCGCCAAATTGCATCGTGAGCACACCGAAGTACTCGGAGTTTTGCAATGACGCGGATGTCGTGCAACAACACGAGCTTCACCTTTGCATTAAGCAGAAATGCGTATCAGCACATCTCTGAATATTTTTATACGAGACTCTAGACACGTTTTCAGATTTGGTGGATGAGGTGAGGTGCCTATGTTTGACATCCAGTGAATCAGTGATCCCACCATGAAGTGAGTGATGAGTAGAAAGTGGCAAATCTTAGCCCAAAGATGACAGACTATCCAGGTGCATGGCACCAGGTGCATGGCATCCTGCCCCACGGATTAGATAGTGCACTAACCAGTGTTGTGCCTCGAGGCACACTGTGTGACCAAAGAAACGAGGCAACGGGATTGAGTCACCTTTGAGGATGTAGATCAAACCAAAGAGGCTCGTTTACGGCACACCAATGCCATTGCACCAGCAAGAGAAGAGTAAAAATAAAAGGATACGGTATTCCTTGACCATCAGATCCAACAGAAGGAATGCCATGTCAGGCGTCAAACGTTTACAGGTTCAGTGCTGCAAGAAATGCTCCCATGTCTCAAGCATTGATTCATGAACGATGCTTCGGACTCACACAGCAGCCCTATAACCCTTTACAGTTGATCATCGGAAGAGACCGTCACAAGTAAAAGCCGCTACCGCTGATCAGTGGTACGGTACACGAAATCAACCCTCCTGTAAAATCCGCTTCTTCAGTTCTTGAGAGCATTCTGCCTGGAGATGGGATTCACGACGACCGGAGGACCGGCCTCCCGCGGCCACGCGTCGAGCAGCTTGTCGCTAGCCTGGATCCACTCGCGCGTCATGGTGCGCGGAGTCTCTCCGCCGAACGGCTGCGCGCGCGCGGCAAGCCAGAGCCCGTACGACAGCGCGAGAGCGGAGAAGATCGGCGGACCGACCTTGCTTAAGGGCGCGACAGTCATGGTGTGGTGTGTTTGGGAGGTGAGGAGCGCTCTAAAGCGTAAGCAGGGATGCTAGAGAAACACGAGGCTCTCTAGGGTTACAAGCTCTATGGAATGCTCTCTAGTGGAACAAAAAAAGCTGACAGGTAGAAAGCATCGCAAGGCTTCGAGGGGAGAGGCGGGGAAGGAACGGGGGAGAGCGGGGGAGAGAAGGGGGGAGGGGGGAGGGGGAGGGTGCGGGGTCGCGGGTTCCAAGTGCACGCGGAGCAACAATGAGTGGGGTCGAAATATTATTTACACAAGGCCCTTCGACTTGTCCCACCATCGACTTGTCGAATCCCCCTGAAACGGGTTACTCAAATCCAGCGGTTTGGTCTGTTGCAAAACGGTCCAAGTCATAACCGTGTGGTTTGCTCGCATCCCCCGCTGGTGGCAATTTCGACTTGCGATTATAGGAGTAACGCTTCGTGTACCCGGTCGCAAATATTCGCAACGCGAGCCAATCTAAGGGCGGGTCCCAATAGTTCATTTCACGGTACGGGACACGATTTTACGAATCCCGGTACAAATCCATGAAACGATTCGGTTTCCGTAAATCTTTGTACAGTAATTGTGTCCCTGTGCGCACGTGGCGCACAAGCGGGACGCCAATTGTCCACATGTAAAAAAACCGAGCTGCGCGCAACAGCCCCAAACGCTGTTACCAAATGTAAGCCTGCGCGAAACATAACTTTCGCACACCGCGCAAAAGTCAGCAGGCGGGGAAACCCATCCCGCTTTTGCAAACATTGGCAGCGGCGAGCCAGGGGGGCCAATCAACAAGCGGGGGAATCTTTCCTCGCGTAGGTACTTGCGAGCGCGACAAAACATCGGAGGCAGTCAATACTGCCGGGAAGCAAAGCCCCCCCCATTCCGTCGGCGTTCGCGTTGTGACAGAGCGAAACGAGAGGGCACATTTGAGCACGGGATTCCGTCACCGCCCCTCGCGGGAGCCAAAAATGCAGTCGTAAAAAAACAAAACGAAGAGCCAAAGAACCTTCCCACCGCCTCCAGACGACAACCAAGTAGGAGTATCTGTTTTGTGTGTGTATGTTTATTATTTTTTCCTGCCTTCTCGACGGACTTCTCGGCAGGGCCTCTTGTTTTCTGGGGCTTCTTGGGCGGGTGGGGGTGGGGAAACCAGAAACTCAACCCATTCTGTCGGCGCAGCGTAGGTCCAACTAGTGGCGCGTTCGGTTGCGGATGCGGTATGGCGTCGCGCGCGCAGATGCATTCGCGACGTCGCCTAGTTTTCGCCACAGCCAGCGGGGCGAAATCCAGGCGCGACACACTTGGAACCCCGTCCCCGAATCTTGCACCTTCCGGCTTTTTTACGTTTGCAATCCGAAATCTGGTACATGGCCCGACGCATGTGAAGGGTGTCCCAGGTTACGTCAATATTTCAGACGTGTCCTGGCGAAACCTTAAACAAGGTTTCGCTTGTTAAAATCGGGTTACTTTTCACGAAATGAATAGAACGTGAACTATTGGGACCCGCCCTAACCTTACCTGGTACATCATTTCAACGCACTTCCCTGCTATTTCTAGTTATCCTAATTTCTCTGTGGCTGGCACATAGCGCGCTCCGCTCTCAAGTGTCGGCTCGGCAAAAACACCAAACGGGAATTCCTCACCGTCGACTGGGCCCCTATCTGGGCCCCTATCTGGGCCATCTGCACCGCATCCACGAAAGTTGTACAATCGTGAGAGTCGCACAATCGCAAGAGTCGCACAACCGCCAGAGTCGAGAGTCGCACACCGCGAAAGCCGCGGCATTGCTAGGGTCGCACAAAATCGCACAGCGCGCTCGGCCTGATGTCACTCAGCGCTGGCGGACGCGTGGCGACAGCCGTCCTTCCGAAACTCCCCCTCTTCGCTGGGCGTTCTTGTTCCCCCGCCGCGGTGGCGTCGTCGTTAAATCGGCTGTTTTCGGCGGGACCCGCGGGATCTCCGCGGCCGCCGCGGCCCTCGTCGGACTACCCATCGCGCCCGCCGCCCCCCGAAGCCAGTAAGCTCGCAGGACCCAGTGCGGACGACTATCACAGTGTCACTCATTCGTCGCTCTCCGCGGCCGCGCGGCCCTCGTCGGACTGTCGGTCGCGCCCGCCGCCCGCCGCCTGCCGCAGCCAGTAGGGCCCCCCGTCCCCTTTCCCCCCACCCCCTTTCCCCCCCTCTCGTTCCCCCTTGCCCCCTCCCCCCCCTCCACCCCCTTAACTGCCGCCACTCCCTTTTGCTTCCCTTCCCCCTCTGCCCGTTTCCTCTCCCTGTGCCGCGCACTCCCCTCCCTTAACTGCATCCACTCCCTGTGCCGCGCACTTCCCCCCCACCCCCCCCTCGCCCAGTGCCCATCATAGAACCCGGCCAGTCTGTACCCTTTCTCCCCTTCCCCTTTCTCCCCTTCCCCTTTCTCCCCTTCCCCTTTCTCTTTTTCCTCCCCTTCTCCTTCTCCCCCACTATGTGTCCCCCCCCACCTCCTCCACTATCCCCCCTCTCCTCCTCCTCTCCCCCTCGCCCGGTGCCCATCATAGAACCCGGCCAGCCTGTACCCAGCCCTTTCCCCTCGCGCTCTCCAATTTGACCCCCGTCGTCCCGCCCACACTCCCCCCCCCCCCAGCCCAGTGCCCATCATAGAACCCGGCCAGCTTGAACCCAACCTCTCCCCTCAACTTTCCTCACCTTTTCCTTTCCTTTGGTAATTTTGAGTCGACTCAAAAGTCACCTCCTCCCCTCCCCCTTTCTCCCCCCATCCTTCACACCCCCCTCCGCTTCCTCTTTTCCCCCCGCCCAATGCCCATCATAGAGCCCGGCCAGCCTGAACCCAACCCTCTCCGCCCCCCCTTTTTCCCCTTCCCCTTCCTTGTCCCCCCCCTATCTCCCTCCCCCCACATTCTCTTCCCTGCCCCTTATCCCCCAGTGCCCATCATAGAGCCTATCTCTCTCTCCCCTCCCATCCCTCATCCCCCAGTGCCCATGATAGAGCCCGGCCAACCAATACCCAAGCATGGGGAGCGAGTTTTGAGGCGCCTCAAAAGTCGTGCCCATGATAGAGCCCGGCCAACCAATACCCAAGCATGGGGAGCGGGCGTTGGAGGGCAGATTCAGGGGTGGCGAATGCCGCTTCCGAGGCGCCTCAAAACCGCGGATAAGGAGACGACTTTTGAGGCGCCTCAAAACCGCGGATAAGGAGACGACTTTTGAGGCGCCTCAAAACCGCGGATAAGGAGACGACTTTTGAGGCGCCTCAAAACCAATACCCAAGCATGGGGAGCGTCGGAGCGAGCATTGGAGGGCAGATTCAGGGGTGGCGAATGCCGCTTCCCATACTCTCTCCTCCCCTTCCCCCCCCCTTCCCCAACTCGATATCCCCCAGTGCCCATCATAGAACCCGGACAGCCTATACCCGGACAGACTATACCTGGGGAGGGGGAAGGAGCAGCGGATGACGGAAGCAGGGAGGGGGATATGCGGGAGTGGGCGCGGGACGCTGGGCGAATGCAGGAGGTGTTTGGGGGGATAAGGGAGCACCGGGTTGACACTGTGGGGAGAGTGCAGGTGAGCTGTTTGCGTAGGGGGGGACACTATAGGGGGGAATGCACGGAGGGGGATATGGGGGAGTGGCGAGGGAAGGGGCACTTGATAGGGAATGCAGGGAGGGGGATATGGGGTAGTGGGCACGGGATGCAGGGCGAATGCAGGAGGTGTTTGCGGGAACCAGAGAGCACCGGGTTGACACCGTGGGGAGAGTGGTGCAGGTGGGTGGGTTGATGGTGTAAGGGAGGGGAACAAGAGTGGAGCCAGACTCGCACTTACGGGCATTGGGATGCAGCAGGGCGTATGCAGACTGGGTGCAAGAGGTGTTTGCAGGAACCAGAGAGCACCGGGTTGACACCGTGGGGAGAGTGGTGCAGGTGGGTGGGTTGATGGTGTAAGGGAGGGGCACAAGAGTCGAGCTGGACTGGCACTTCCGTGCATTGGGATGCAGCAAGGCGGGTGCGGGAGGTGTTTGGGAGGGACAGTGAGAACAGGGTTGACACTGTGGGGAGACTGCAGGTGGGTTGGGTGGGTGGGGAAGGATCACTAGATAAGGACTGCAGGGAGGGGGATATGGGGTAGTGGGCACGGGATGCAGGGAGGAGTGCAGGAGGTGTTTGCGGGGATCAGAGAGCAACGGGTTGACACTGTGGGGAGAGTGCAGGTGGGCTGGGTGGGTAGGGAATGCAGGGGGGGGGGGATATGCGGGAGTGGCGCGGGGGGTGCAGGGAGGAGTGCAGGGAGGAGTGCAGGGAGGAGTGCAGGGAGGAGTGCAGGGAGGAGTGCAGGGAGGAGTGCAGGGAGGAGTGCAGGAGGTATTTGGGGGATAAGGGACCACCGAGTGACTCTGTGGGGAGAGCGCAGGTGGGTTGAGATATGCCAGTGTGGGTGGTGCGGGACGGTGGGAAAGAAGTGGGGACCATTCTCATTCCAAACCATTACTCACCTCCCCTCCCTCATTATTCCCCTTATTCACCTGCTCCCCTTGCTCCGCTCCTCCAGCCTAGCAATGGCTTTGAAGCCAACAAGGCCCTTTCAGGCAGACTCTCTCTTGCACAGCTGAAGGAGCTGCTCGCCCTGCACGTACAGGGTGGGCCGGCAAGCTCTGGCAGTGCTGCTGCTGCTGCTGGTGTGAGTGCTGCTGGCGCTTCTGCTACTGTGGATGCATTTGCTAGTCATTTTTCTGTAGATGCTGCTTTACTGGCTAGGGTGCTCGTGCATGTTCGCATGCCCACCTCTGAAGAGGCCCTATAGTAGCTTTTGTACAGTACAGCTTCTTACAGCTTCCCAGGTCATAAGGCAGTAAGGTATGGTGGGCATATGGTTAATAAGGTTCAAGTAGAAAGGGTAAAACAAATTGCATCAGGAAAAGATGCAGTTAGCTTTTTGTTCATGCATCGTTTTGTTATATGGTGCAAGTTCCTCAATGGGATACACAGGAGGACTGGATGGACACAAGTCGAAGTGAGGGTCTAGTGAAAGTGAACAGGAAACTTGCTGGTGGGAAGTAGTTAATTTTCCAATATATGCGTGTGTTTTCAGTAGGATAACACATTCAGTGTACCGGAACGTTCTCAGCCGATTTCCTGGTCGAGAGGGAACGAATGACGTGGTAACGCACAAGCGCGTTGCAGAGTCACATGACATCCACATCTAGCGAGCCCCGTCAGGTATTAGATTTTCCGCAGTTTACGTGGCTCCAGCTGGCTGTCCCTCGTTCATCAAGCCCGAATCCGACCAAGCAGCTCGATAAAATATGCGGCCAGAGATGACTGCGTTCTGTTCCACTATGTCACCTCCGATGTGGGTTCTTGGAGGCCTAGCTGGTTCAAGTTTCCCAAATTCTGGGAGGAGTGGACTCCGTCTAGAGTGCTGTGAAAACGAGGAATGGACACATTACACATTCACCGACTGACTTTTAGCTTCCAAAAAGCCAGGACTCTGGGGAAGTGACGCTGTTTTCTGTTCTCGTTCCAAACTGGGGTTTTTAAAACATGGTGCCCGTGTCCCGAGTTCCCGACACGACTATCCGCATTCGGTACTGGGTAACCGATCCCTACTTAGAATTACCACATGGGGCAGGGATACGAATAATACTTATGTGTTTGGTTAGCTTCTCCTAGAAACACCTTGGGAAGCTCCTCAAGCCACAACAACAAAACAGCCCTCGAGTTACTGCCAAATTGTGCCTCTGGATCATGCTTCCTGTCTTTATTCCTAAAGCCCTCTCCTCAGTGTAGCTTGGCTTTTGTTCGGAGGTTGCTCGGGCCGCCCAACAATCTGCTGCTACAAGCTCCAAACTGCTTAGTTCGGATCAACATGGCCATCCAGATCTGCGCGACGGAGTTCTGTACCGTACACGTGTGGTTCTAGCAGCTGGGTCTACAGTGTTTACCCTCGGCGCTTATATCAAATCTGTTCTCTCCTCAAGCCGCGACAGGACTCACGGCTGAGCTCATCACGAAAATCACCCCCTACGCCGGCAATGTGGGCCAGGGAGAATGATAAGGTAGAATCAAGGACAGACGATTAGGTCTGATCCGTCGATCAGGTGAGGACTCCCTCCTTCCCTTAGGATCCCCTGCTGGGAGGGCCTTCCAGTTTTTTCACAGGAAGATGAGTACTGTACTGAACTGAATTTCCAGAATTTGCAGAGCAAAAGGAGGATGAGTACAGAACTACAGAACTACAGTATGCAAAAGATGACGAGTCACAGCTTCGACAGGCGGCGGATGAGCCCTTGCCAAGGGCAGATGGCTCGAAAGGAGGCTTCAGTGACAGGTTGTAATGTTTTTTTTTTCCGAGAGTTAATTGGACGGGACACGCAGCCTCGAAGTTAGGATCATCCTAACTTGAGCTAGTGGTCCCACTTGAGCTAATAGGCATACAGCTGTACGCAAGTGCGCGTAAATTCCAGCTGGAAGGCGACACCATCACTGGCTGAGCTCATCTTCCTCGGAGCTTGTTCGGTCGGTATGCAATATGCAAGCTTAGTACAGTACTCTACCGGGAATATCGGCTGATGCGGATCATTGGCTGATGCGGCTTACTGCACGCGCCACCGAGCCCAACAACTTCCCAACACAGCTAGCCTGGCTAATGCTTTGGAATCTATTACTAAAGCATGGGACTCTCAAAACCTTGACTTTGAGCTGGTCATTCTTCCCCTTCTGTTGAGCTAGTGCTACTAGTACCTGCGCATTCTGTCAATAATTTTCCGCGACCTCATAGCGCTGCGAGGGTCCAAGAGGCGCAGAGATCATTCCTTACCGGAGGCATCCGAGCTCTGTTGAATAGAGTGAGTGATATCAGTAAGAAGAGATTTTTCTGCACACCGGAGTTATGGATCCTGGAGCAACCGTGATTGCTGCTGACTCAGAGAGGTCCCGGTTTTCCAACGTGAATCGCCGTCTTGAGGCGTGGAACCGCGCGACCAGATCCGTCAAACCCGCCATTCAACAATCACCTCCACCTCCAGCCGTAACGCCGTGGCTTATAACGAGGGTGCACAGCTACAAAGCTTCACCCGCCAGCACCCAGCCCCAGCCAAGGGATCTGGGCAAAACGAGCCAACACTCCAGCATAGAAAGGCGCAGCATGGACAAGCCCTCCTACTTCCCCCGCAGAAAGTCGCTTCCGGATTTTGCAGCTGCTGGTAGGGATCCCTGGTCTCCCTGCTCCCCACTGGACCGATGTGCTACCCCAAACCCCCCTTCGGAAAGCTCGCAGACCGATGCTCCTGCTGCCGAAGTGAGTGAATCAGCAGAGCCGCTACAGAGCAACAGAGATCAGGCGGAGATTTGTCGGTTGGCGACGGGACACGTCCCTGCCTGTCAGGGTGGCACGTGTGACGCAGCAGAAGAAGCAGCAGACGCGGCGAGTGTGAAATATCCCGAGGCGGGTGCAAGATGTTCTGAGGCATCGTCTCAGTGCAGAGCCGATGGTGATGGGGGGGGTGAAGCGGCAAGCGGGCAGCAACAGACGCTGCAGAAGCAGGGGAACATTGCTCACCGACGTGGGTTCTCTGTTACGTGCCTGGAGAACTCCGCAGAAGCAAGAGGAGCGGACAATCAGCGGGGCAGGAGAGGAGGTAGCGGCAGCGACCTTGACAGTATGATGAGAAGGGAGTGCATCTGTTTTTCCAGCAGGGAATGTGGCTGTATGGCACGTCCGAGTGGTGGAAGTAGCAATGTCAGGTCCCCATTGTGTGAAGTAATGGCGACAGCTCCTCCCGTCTTCGTATGGGCTGCCAGAAGGCGGATGGAGACAAGGGCTGCACAAAAAGGCCCTGTCACTTCATGTGTGTCGGTGTAAAATCATTTTTGTGGCCATGATCATGACATTTTATACAATGCACATAACTTAAGTCACAGTTTATTACAGCGCATACTTCGATGTATGCTCAGAGCAAATTCTATGTTGCAGTAGCTACTGCAGCATTGGTCTTCAGGTTTCAGGAATGGCTTTCAGTTTTCAGGGCTGTAGGCTCTGCCAGCACGCGAATTCCTTCCCAGTGTCTGCTGATAGGCTCGCATACAGCCCGTGGGGACTTCCTAGATGCTTGATTTCGTTTGAAACGGCGTTAATTCCTCTGTTCGGCTCTTAACAGAGTTACTTTCGTCTCCTATTCGACCGCGCCTATCTCTCTCGTAGATTTATCGCGTTGGATTCTGTACGGGTTTCTTGATCTAGCCATGTCGATCAATTGCCGCTGCGGCAGCGATACGCGCCCGGCGTGGCCAGTGCTCAGCAGCATCGTCATCCCTCGCTGCAATCGCACCTCGTGTCACATCTTCCTCGCTACAGTCACACCCACCTCCGCGCCGCTCGCGCCGCTGCTCGTCCTGCGGTTGCGGCTGTGTTCCGCGGATGCGCAGAACGGACCACCGCAGTCAGCGCAAAGCGCTCCCGCGGAGAGTGTCGCCATCGAACGTGCTTCAAACGAGAGTGCTGCAGTGAAGACCGCGTTTGCACAGAAAGCTCCCTCCCCCCAAGGCGGGCGAGCCTATCACAATGGACGTGAAGGGAGTGGAGATGAGCGGACGGGCCTGTACCTCGATATGCAAGTGCGTATAACGGGTGGGGCTTGTAGTGAGAAGATGCGTGTTGCGAGAATGTTGGATATATGGAAGTATATGGGGGCGGACGAGCAGATCACGCTGGACATGAAGGGAGTTGAGATGTGAGGACGGCCGCTTTACCTCGATTCGCAGGTGCGTGTAACGGGAGGGTGTGTATAGCGAGGATGGTGCAGATGACGAGGTTTTCTAGGCGAACGAGTCCGTCACGCTGGACGGTGTGGAGATGAGGGGGCGGCCGCTGTGCCTTGATATGCAGGTGCGTGTAACGAGTTCTTATGTGCATTATGGAAAAAGATGTGGATGTGCGTATAACGATGTAACTGTCACGACGCGGAGGGAGTGGAAGTGGGGAGGCTGACGACCACCGTGCAGTTGCGTATAACGAAGTAAATTGCTTCCACGAAATTCTGAGAAACCCTAATGTTTTTAAATAAGTTATATGATTTTTAGGATAGAACATTCCATGCGGGGATAGCTCAGTTGGGAGAGCGTCAGACTGAAGATCTGAAGGTCGCGTGTTCGATCCACGCTCACCGCACTTTTTCAGATGCTGGCACATCGACCTGTTGCTGCTTTTATTCTCTCTCCTTCCCACCCTACCCCTTCCGTTCCCGTTTCTCGCCCCCGTTTTGGTCAGGAGAGTTTTCAAATATTTATAGCCCCCTCACATTCGTCCTTTCCCAAATTTCGTTTCCCCCCTTCTCCCCCCCCCCTCTCTTTTCCCTATATATCCCAATCCCAATGTGTCCCCTGCTGTCTTGACAGGGTATCTCCTTCACACCTTCCCCCTCCTGCAATGTTCCTCCCTAATCCCTCAGTGCCCATCATATAACCCAGCCAGCCTGCACCCAAACCCTTCCCCTCTCCTCTTCTCCCCTTCCTCTTACTCCCCCTTTCTCCCCCTCCTCTTCCCCACCCTTCCCCCCTCTCCGTCTCCTCCTCCCCCTCGCCCGGTGCCCATCATAGAACCCGGCCAGCCTTTACCCAGCCCTTTCCCCTCGACCTCTCCAATTTGACCCCTTCGTCCCGCTCCCACACTCTCCCCCCCCCCCCCCCCCCGCCTAGTGCCCATCATAGAACCCAGCCAGCCTGTACCCTGGAGACGTGGAGACTAGTTTTGAGGCGCCTCAAAACTAGACTCCCATCATAGAACCCCGCCAGCCTGTACCCGAGAGACGTGGAGACGCGCGAAGATCGACGGAAAGAAAACTAATTCTTCTCACCTCCCTTCCCTCTCCCCCCTCTCCCACCCACCCCCCTTCCTTTTCCTCCCCGCTCAGTGCCCATCGTAGATGCTGGCCAGCCCGTACCCAGGGGAACTGAGGAAGAGCAATGATCAACGGAAAGAAAACTACTCCTTACCTCCCTCACGTCTCCCATCTCTTCCTCCTCACCCCACACCCCCCTCCCTCCACCCTCCCTCCTCCTTCCGGCCCAGTGCCCATTGTAGAAGCTGGCCAACCTGTACCGGGGAGACCTGGGGATGTGGAGAAGGAAGGGGTGGTGGAGGGGGGAAGCGGGGAGGGAGGAGGATATGCGGGAGTGGGCGTGGGACACTAGGGGGATGCAGAGCAGATGCAGGGTGGGTGCGGGACGGATGCGGGGCGGATGCAGGGCGGGTGCAGGAGACGTTCAGGGAGATAAGGGAGCATCGCGTTGACACCATGGGGAGAGTGCAGGTGGGTTGAATGAGACGTGAGGGTGGGTGGGCCGAGGGTCGCTGCACGCATGGGATGAGAGCATCAGGCAGCAGGGAGGGGGATATGCGGGAGGGCGCGCGGGATACTGGGGGAGGATGCAGAAGGTGTTGGGGGGGGGTAAGAGAGCGCACTGTGAAGGGGAATGCAGCGAGGGGGATAGCGGGAGTGGGCGCGGGGCACTGGGAGGATGCAGGACGTGTTGGGGGGATAAGAGGGCACAGAGTTGACACCGTGGGGAGAATACAGGTAAGCTGAGAGTGCTGGGGGGACCACTGTCAAGGAATGCAGGGAGGGGGATAGCGGGAGTGGGCGCAGGACGTTGGGAGGATGCAGGAGGTGAATGAGGGGATAAGGGAGCGCAGAGTTGACACCGTGGGGAGAAAACAGTAAGCTGAGAGTGCTGGGGATGGCACTGTCAAGGGGAATGTAGGGAGGGGGATATGCAAGCATGGGTGTGGGATACTTGGAGAATCCAGGAGGTGTTTGGGGGGATGAGTGAGCGCAGAGTTGGCACCGTGGGGAGATATAGATAAGTTGACAGTGCTGGGGAGGGCACTGTGAAGGGGAATGCAGGGAGGGGGATATGCCAGCATGGGTGTGGGATACTGGAAAAATGGGCAGCAGGTGTTTGGTTTGGGGGGATAAGAGACCACCGGGTTGACATGGCACTGTGAAAAGAGAGGCATTCAATCACGGAACAGAATTGACTTTTGAGTCGACTCAAAAGGTCTTTGGTTTGGGGGGATAAGAGACCACCGGGTTGACAAGACACTGTGAAAAGAGTGGTCACTTTCACGCACGTGTCTAGTGGAACGTCTATTCCTGTTTATTCGTTGCCGAGCCGTTTCTCTTCCATGGCTTTTCCTTACAAGCACATGGCTTTTTCTTACAAGCACATGGCTTTTCCTTACAAGCACATGACTTTTCTTTAAGCACATGGCTTTTCTTTACAAGCACATGGCTTTTCCTTACAAGCACATGGCTTTTCCTTACAAGCACATGGCTTTTCTTTACTAGCACATGGCTTTTCCTTACAAGCACATGGCTTTTCCTTACAAGCACATGGCTTTTCTTTACAAGCATATGGCCTTTCCTTACGAGCACATGGCTTTTCCTTACAAGCACATGGCTTTTCCTTACAAGCACATGGCTTTTCCTTACACTCACATGGCTTTTCCTTACAAGCACATGGCTTTTCCTTACAAGCATATGGCTTTTCCTTACAAGCACATGCCTTGGCATCCAGTCCAGCAGAGAGTCTCAAGCCCAGACTCATCCTTCAGGCAGACTTACGCTAGCACAGCTGAATGAGCTTTTACCTTACAAGCACATGGCTTTTCCTTACAAGCACAAGCCCAGACTCATCCCTCAGGCAGACTCATGCTTTCACAACTGAAGGAGCTTTTTACCCTACAAGCACATGGCTTTTCCTCTTCCAATCCTCCCCTCTCCTTCTCTTCCTCTCCCCCATCCATGCCCTTTCCTCCATACTGGCAGACGCTCTGAAGCCCACACGTCTCTTTCAAGGCGGATTTTGTTGGCACCTCTAAACCCATCTCCTCCATCCATGCGCTTTCCTCCAGACCGGCAAAGGCTCTGACGCCCAGACGTCTCTTTCAGGCAGACTCACTCTTGCACAATTGAAGGAGCTTCTTGAATTCCTATTGCAGCGTGATGCTGGTTCTAGTGGCACGCCTGCTTCTGTTGATTCGCTGCCGAGTTGCTTCTCTGTTGATGCCTCTGTGTTCGCTAAGGTGCTTGCCCTCTGCGCATGCGAATCACTGCAGGCAAAAGGCGTACTGTAGCTTTTGCATAGTTCATTCTTCTTACAAGTTGACTCGTGTTGCTCACAACTCGCATCTTCAGGCGTGTCAGTCGGTCGATCAACTAAGATAGGAGAAAGAAAACGATACATGAGTATTGTTATGCAAATGGGTCGGTTGCACGGTGCAAAGCCTTTGTAGACAAGGAGGTGGGTTAAGAGTTGGTACTTGAAGCAAAGCCATAGAAAATCTTGCTAACATGCTGCACATTTCATTGGAGAGAGATTAGTACATTGCATAGTTCTTTGTTTAGGGTGTATTTCTTTGTAGAAAAGCATATTTTTGTGTGGGGTGAAATGATAATATCGCCCCAGCCCACCTAGAACTTCAGTGTGCACAGTTGTCCAGCTGGTCAAATGGCCGAACCGGAATACAGACTGTAACAGGCTAACAGACTCCTGCTCCGAGTTGTACAGTCACAAATCTTCATCCAACGCGGCACAATCGAGCAGGTGCTTTCAATAGATCGTCCCCCGTTGACGTGGCTCTAGCTGAATGGCTGGGTGCCGAACTGATCATCTCTCAAGTGGCATCAGTTCGGCATTCGGGTATTTGTCCCCCTCCAACTCCCGAAGATGGGTCAAACCAAGAAGCTTACAGAACTGAGCTGTACGCAGTTGTTTCTCCAGCCATCGCAACAAAGGAGCCCAGAGGGGAAATGGTGCCTGTTGGATCATGGCTGCTGGGCTGGTGTCGCTCGCAAAGCTCCTCCCTTCACATCACGATTCACACCCCTCACAGCAGACGAAGGTTTCAGTTCAGCTCCTCCCTTCTCCTCTTTCACAGCTTGGCCTTCCAGAGGTTATTTGGGGCCGTCCGTTACACCGCGGGGAAACACAAACTCCGTGCTGCCCAGTTGGGATCGGCATTGCCACCCAAATCTGGGTATCGTACTGTAAATCGTACACGTGTGCAACGGACAGCTGGATCTACAGAAGTTACTGTCGGCATTTCTATCGAATCTTCTCGCCCCCAAGCCCGCACCCTTGCGACTGCGTGGTGGGTGGGTGGGTGACTCGGAGGGAGATTAAGGCGCATTTCTGGCCGCTAGTCAGTCCTCTAGTCTAGTCAAGTGGGCAACTTCCAGAGCAGTTCAGAACTCTGCGCGCGCCCGACTAGAGCGGTTTAGAGCACTGAGTGCCCCACTTGACTAGACTAGATCCTTGACTAGCGGCCAGAAACGCGCCCTTCTAAGGCAGAGAGAAATTATAAGGGAGATCAGCACAGATGATACACCACCTGGGAAGTTGTGCTGGTATGGGGAGCCTGACTTACGGGACTTTCGGAGGAGGCGGGGGAGCCACAGTACAGTATCGTCGCGTGTGTCAAGGAACCGCCACAAGGCACCGCCTTTGGTAACAAGTAAAAATAATTTTCCCGAGAGGTCCCTTGGGTGAGTCATAGTACTGTAGCTCCCCCTGAGCTATCGGGCATACAGCTGGACCCTACGCGAAATGCGCGTTAGATATCTCCAGCTTGGAATGCGCATCAATTGGCAGATTATTTTTTTCCCCAAGCTTGCTCCAGTGGCGATACGCTTGCATGTTTTGTACTGTACCGCAGCTGCCAGCTGCTGCGGTATCCCTGATGCAGTGCTTTCGCCTGATGCGCGGGAAGTTCCCAACCAACACAGCTAGCCTGGCGAAAGCTTTGGAATCTTTTTTTGAGTTACAGCCGGACAGTCTTCCTTCCTCTTCACTCGTTGAACTAGTACCAGAACTACCTGCGGGTTCTACACTACGGATTCTTCCTCCTCTTCGTCTTCACTCCTAATCTGTGCTCCGTCACGGTGATTCGACTCTCACACTCTCGAAATCGTAGCCAGCCGCCGCCGCGGAAGTATTTTCTAGCGCTTTGGGGTGTCTACTAGCATGCAAACCGGAGTTATGGATTCCGGAGCAGTGAAGGCTTCTGAGAAATCCCGGTTTTTCAACGTGAATCGGCGGCTTGAGGCATGGAACCGTGCGACGGGCTCACTCAAACCCGCCGCCCCTCAGCTATCACCTCAAGCTGTAACGCCGCGGCTTGTACAGAGGATGCGCAGCTACGAAGTTCTACCCAATATCAAGGAACAGCCAAGAGATCTGGAAAAACCAGGCCAAGATTCCAGCTTGAGGAGGGACAGCGTCAACAATCCGCCTCACTACTTCCCCCGCAGAAAGTCACTTCCGGACTTCGCAGCTGCTGGTAGGGATCCCTGGTCTCCCTGCTCCCCTCTGGACCGATGTGCTACACCCAACCCCTCTTCAGAATGCTCTCCGGTCATTGCTCCTCTTCCCAAAATGGATGTTGCTGCAGCAGAGCCGCAGTGTAACAGAGAGCCGACGGCTGTGCAGGCTCAGACGAGTGGTTTGGCGACGGGACATGCCGACCCTGTCTGTCAGGGTGTCATCCAGGACACTACAAAGGAGGGTGAAGCAGAAGAAGGTGGCGTAAGGTGTCCCGAGGCGGTCGCGAGATTTTCGCTACGCAGACTCAATGGAGATGTAGGGGGGGCGGTGGGAATCAAGCAGAACCAGATGCTGCAGAAGCAGGGGAGCATTGCTCACCGTCGCGGGTTTTCTGTTACGCGTCTGGAGAACTCTGCAGAAACAAGAGGAGCGGGCAAGGGGGCCAGGAGAGGAGGCAGTGGTGGTGACATTGACAGTATGATGAGAGGAGAGGGTAGCTATTTTTCCAGCGAGCGTGGTTGTTTGGTAAGTGGGAGTGGTGGAAGGAGATGTGTCAGGTCTCCATTGTGTGAAATAATGGCAACAGCTCCTCCTGTGTTTGTATGGGCTGCCAAAAGGCGGATGGAGCAAAGGGCTTCACAAAGTGATCCCTTACTTGCATGCGCAACGTCTGTGTGATATAGCGTGATGTTTACATCGTCGTGAAGTTTAATAAGATGCGCAAATACTGAAATTTGAGGGCAAATCTCCACACAATGACGAATGAAATCCATGTTTTGGGTTGTATCTAAAAAGGTTTTGCTGCCATTCTTGCTAACGTGTAACTTGTTACAGAACGAGCTTTCGCGTAACCCCTCTCCTTGCCAGCCTTGAGGTTCATTGCGTGCATGTACCTTTCGTCAGTGTCAAGTCATGTCAGATTCACCTGCCACGTCACCGCAAGTAACATCCCCGCCAATTGCAAACATATCCCTCACCTCTCGTTCATTCCTGCTGCCGTAGATTCTACAGCTTGTTCGAAAGACAGTCGCTTTCCAACGGTTGACATCGGTGCCTGAAGGTGCAACGCGGATCCCTCAAGAGAAACGCTGTGTACCGTTTGGCACCGTGATGTAACGCTTCTGACTCGGAGAGCATCTCACCCAACCGCAATAAAATGTTCGCGTAGGACATGCCCCAAACCATTCAGGCACCATCACTCTCCGTTCCTTCCCTCTATAAACTAGTTTCTTGGATTCCATTTCAATCTCACCACAGTGGTGAAGGCATTCTTGGAGTTCCCCCTGGTGTAGGTTCTACCAAGCGCGCCGTTTACCTGCGTCACCATTACTGCTCAAGAACCTAGCAAAACTTTCTGCTACGTCTCTAATCCCGCAGAAGCCCTTCCGAGCGGGCCACTGGTTACTTTGCTCGTCGTAGAGCCTGGTCACAATTTTCCGTTCAGCGCTTATCAGGCCCCTCACCCCTATCACCGTCTCATAGCTGGCGCTGCTGCCGTCTTCACTAATCATCTACGTCTCACAGTTGTTCCGTCAAATTCATAGAGCGAATTCCTCGATCCAGTCATGACCCGATCTATAGCCGCAGCGGCGGCCCGGTTCGCCCGGCGTGGTGCGTCCCTTATAACGAGTGCTCAGCAGCAATCCCACCTCGCGTCGCATCCGCTTCGATACAGTCACACCCCGGCGAGCACCGCACCCCTCGCGCCGTTGCTCGCCCTGCGGTCGCGGTTGTTAACCGCGGAAAGCGTTCCGGCGGAGAGTGTTACAATCGAACGTGCTTCAAACGAGAGCGCTGCCGTGAAGACCGCTTTTGCGCAGAAGGCTCCATCCTCCGAAGCCGACGAGCCGATTACGCTGGATGTGAAGGGGGTGGAGATGCGAGGACGGCCTCTGTACCTCGATATGCAGGTGCGTATAACGGGAGGTGCATTGAACGGGCCGTGCGTATAACGAGCGGTGCGTTGAACAGGAGGTGAATATAGCGAGTATGGTGACTTGTTAAAAACGGGCGAGCCGATTACGCTGGACGTTGAAGGGAGTGGATGAGTGGTCGGCCACTGTACCTCGATATGGAGGTGCGTATAAGGGGAGGTGCGTGTAACGAGATTGGGAGCTATAAGGACGTAGGATGAGACCAAGGAGCCGATTACGCTGGACGTGGTTTGGGTGGAGATGAGGGGTCTGCCACCGTACCATACCTTGCCATGCAGGTGCGTATAAGGGGAGGTGCTTTTAGCGGGGGAGTGAACGATATGCAGGTGAAGTGACCAACGACATATAAACGAGGTATGCACGTGTGGGAAAGGTGTAGTGTGTAACGAGATGGAGGGCAGTCTAGAACGGAGAAACGTGATTTCCCTCGCCCTAGGGGAAATGCAGACATTGTGATAGCTCCGCCGACTCGACTTCAACGAGTGATTATTTCAGGCGGGGATAGCTCAGTTGGGAGAGCGTCAGACTGAAGATCTGAAGGTCGCGTGTTCGATCCACGCTCACCGCACTTTTTGTTTTTTAACCACTTCCTGCTGTCCTTGCCTCTTCTTCCCTCCCTTCCCGTTTCTCGCCAGTCGTTTTTATCGAGACTGATTTTTTATATTTATAGTTTTATACCCCCCCTGACCTTATTCCACTTCCCAGCAATCCGCACTCCCCCCGTGCTGTTCCCAGGTCCTTCCGCCATGCGTCCCCGTCTGCTGGATGCACTGTTTCCTACACCCCTTCTTTTCTCCTTCCAACATCCCTCTTCCCCGGGCCACTTCCCCCATCTCCTTTCCTCCCCATCCCACTTTTCCCTGCACTTTTCTCGCCTAGCCTCTGCAGACTACCTCTCCTGGGTGGGAGAGCCAGGAGGACGCGGTGGAGACGGGTGGAGTCACTTTCAAGTTACGCCTTGCTTTTCCTCTGGATCTCTCTGAATCTCTCTGGATCTTTCTGGATCTCTCAGCATTTGCTCCCTCTCCTTCCCGATTCCCGCATTTCCCCGCCTTACCCCCTGCTGCCCCTGCAGGGGACCTCCCCCGTGGATCCCCGTGTGCTGGACGCCATGCTCCCTTATTTCACTGAGCTGTACGGCAACCCCAATTCGCGCACACCCCTGTACAGGTGGGAGAGCGGCTCAAGTCTCTCTGAACTTACTCCCCTTCTTTCCCCGCATCCCCCCTGCTCCAGGCTATCTCCCCCGTGGATCCCCGTGTGCTGGACGCCATGCTCCCTTATTTCACTGAGCTGTACGGCAACCCCGATTCGCGCACACACCTGTACGGGTGGGAGGGCGAGGACGCAGTGGAGGCAATTCAGCTTCCCCCAACCACCCACCCATACCCCCGCGTTTCGTTTGTGCTCCCCCCTTCCCCAGGCCACTTCCCCTGTCGATCCCCGCGTCTTGGACGCCATGCTGCCATATTTCACCGATTTCTACGGCAACCCGCACTCGCGCACGCACCTGTACGGGTGGGAGAGCGAGGACGCGGTCGAGACTGCTCGGCAGCAGGTGGCGTCCCTGATCGGCGCTAGTCCCAAGGAAATCATTTTCACTTCTGGAGCTACTGAGTCGAACAACATTGCCATCAAGGGCGTGGCACACTTCTACAAGTAAGTGGGTGGTGTGTGAGCTAACTCCCTGCTGAGGTGCTTCAGAAGCATTGTTGAAGGGTATTGGGCTGGCAGCAGGTGGCGCCCCTGATCGGCGCCAGTCCCAAGGAGATTATCTTCACCTCGGGGGCTCATTGTTACAAGTGAGTGCTACTTGCATAGCGGGTGGTGTGCCAGAAGGTGGCACCTGTAGTGTCGAAGGGGGTGGGAGAGCGAGGACGTGGTCGAGACGGCTCGGCAGCAGGTGGCGTCCCTGATCGGCTCCAGTCCCAAGGAGATCATTTTCACTTCTGGGGCTACTGAGTCGAACAACATTGCCATCAAGGGCGTGGCGCACTTGTACAAGTGAGTGGGTGCTTGCTTAGTCATGGGCGTCGCACGTCTACTTGTGCAACCCGTGCATCAGACGCCACACGTGCGCAGCAGGTGGCGTCTCTCTTTTTGAGGCGCCTAAAGGACAGACGCCACACGTGAGGTGGCGCGTCTCTTTTTGAGGCGCCTAAAAAACAGACGCCACACGTGCTCAGCAGGTGGCGTCTCTCATTGGCGCCAGTCCCAAGGAGATCTTCTTCACTTCTGGGGCTACAGAATCGAACAACATCGCCATCAAGGGCGTGGCACACTTCTATAAGTGACTGGGTGTGGGCTTGTATAAGGTTATGGGCTAAGCAGCAGGCAGATGCTCCAAGTAAGCAGTGGGAGTAAAAGGCTCTTCACACCCATTGATAAGAAGCGCCCATTGATAAGAAGCGCCCATTGATAAGAAGCGCCCATTGATAAGAAGCGCCCATTGATAAGAAGCGCCCATTGATAAGAAGCGCCCATTGATAAGAAGCGCCCATTGATAAGAAGCGCCCATTGATAAGAAGCGCCCATTAAGAAGCGCCCACTGCCTCCCACCCCAGTGGCTCTTCACACCCCATTTCCTTTCAGGGATAAGAAGCGCCACGCGATCACCACCCAAACGGAGCACAAGTGCGTGCTGGACTCGTGCCGGCACCTCCAGCAGGAGAGCTTCAACGTCACTTATCTGCCGTCCCTTAAGCAGGCCTCTAAATGTTTTCGAAAATGGTTTCGAGTCGACTCAAAAATCGACTCATTACAAACGTCACTTATCTGCCCTCCCTTAACCCCCTATGCTCCCCCTTGCACTTTCAGGGACAAGAAGCGCCACGTCATCACAACTCAAACCGAGCACATGTGCGTGCTGGACTCGTGCCGGCACCTGCAGCAGGAAGGCTTCGACGTCACTTACCTGCCAGTCAACTCCGACGGTCTGGTCGACGTCGTAACCCTAAAAGCCGCGATCCGACCTGACGCCGTTCCAGTCTCAATTCCTCTTTCCCCTTTCCTCTCCCCCTTTTTTCTCCCCCTTTCCTCTCCCCCTTTTTTCTCCCCCTTTCCTCCCCTCGTTCCCCTCCCCTCCTTGCACCCAATTCCCTTCAGGGACAAGAAGCGCCATGTGATCACCACTCAAACCGAGCACAAGTGCGTGCTGGACTCGTGTCGGCACCTGCAGCAGGAAGGCTTCGACGTCACTTACCTGCCAGTCAACTCCGATGGTCTGGTGGACGTCGAAACCCTAAAAGCCGCGATCCGCCCCGACACCGTCCTGGTTTCAGTAATGACCGTCAATAACGAGATCGGGGTCATCCAGCCGTTGGCGGAAATCGGGCAGCTCTGCCGGGCAAAGAAAATATTTTTCCACACCGATGCGGCGCAGGCCGCAGGGAAGATCCCGCTAAGCGTCGACGCGCTAAACATCGATCTCCTGTCACTTAGCAGCCACAAGATCTACGGCCCAAAGGGGGTAGGCGCGCTGTATGTGCGGCGCCGGCCGAGGGTGAGACTCGAGCCCCAGATGAGCGGGGGAGGGCAGGAGAGGGGGCTCCGATCCGGAACTGTCCCCACCCCCTTAGTAGTCGGCCTAGGGGCGGCGTGTGCCATCGCCGAAGCGGAGTTGGAGCGCGATTACCGCCACGCGGAGCGCTTAAAGAAGCGGCTCTTGGAGGGGATAACATCGCAGCTGGAAGGCGTGGTGATCAACGGCAGCGATGAGCCGGGGAAGCGGTACCCGGGCAATCTGAACCTCTCGTTTGCGTATGTGGAGGGGGAGAGCCTGCTGATGGGGCTGAAGGAGATTGCAGTGAGCAGCGGCAGTGCATGCACGAGCGCGAGTCTGGAGCCCAGCTATGTGCTGAGGGCGCTGGGAGTGGAAGATGAGATGGCGCACACGTCCATAAGATTCGGGTTTGGCCGCTTTACAACCGAGGAAGAGGTTGACAGGTGAGCTGTGAGCAGTGGCAGTGTGTGCACGAGCGCAAGCCTGGAGCCCAGCTACGTGCTGAGGGCATTGGGAGTGGAGGATGAGATGGCACACACGTCTATCCGGTTCGGGTTCGGACGGTTCACCACTGAAGAGGAAGTGGACAGGTGAGCTGTGTTCCGACTGACATAAGCGACAGCATGGCAGGTTGACAGGTGAGGAATCTGTGGAGGGGGAGAGCCTGCTGATGGGTCTCAAGGAAATCGCGGGGTCCAGTGGCTGCTGAGGGGGAGAGCCTGCTGATGAAGCTCACACGTCCATCCGGCTTGGGTTTGGCCGCTTTACCACCGCAGAAGAAGTTGACAGGTGAGCTGAGTGCCTGTTGTACAGGTGAGGTGTTTACCTGGTAGCATAGCACGGCATGGCAGGTTGACAGGTGAGGACTAGGTGCGTGGGAGTAGGTGCAGTGCAGGGGGAGAATCTGCGGACGGGGCTGAAGGGGATTGCGGTGAGCAGCAGCAGCGGCAGTGGGAGCGCTGAGGAGGGGAAGTGACGGCTGCAGGTGTCTCATAGTATGGGTAGCACTACAGGGGCTGATGGCGAGAGTCTACTGATGTGGCTGAAGGAGATTGTGGTGAGCAGCGCCAGTGCGATTTTTTAGGCGCCTCAAAGATTGCGGTGAGCAGCGCCAGTGCGTGCACGAGTGCTTGTCTGGAGCCCAGCTAAGTGCTGCGGCCACTCGGGTGGTGGAGGGGTGTGCTTCCTTTCGGTTTGGGCATGTTATGGGCCCGAACCCTGGGCATAGGCATGGGCATCAGTCAGTACCCGTATGTGGATGGGCATGGGCATGCATGCACTAGGGCTTCATTGTGCTACAAGGCAAAGGATAGGAGAGTGGTATGTATGCTGAACTTATCTGTGATCTTTCTTCTCTCCTCTTCTTCCTTCTGCTCTCCATTTTTTTTTTTTTTCAAACGCAGGGCTGTGGCGCTGACAGTGCACCAAGTGAATCGGCTGAGAGAGATGAGTCCTCTGTGGGAGATGGTGCAGGAAGGAATCGACATCAAGACCATCCAGTGGGCCCAGCACTAAGCAAGCATGGCACGCAGTAGATTCATGCCTGAGGCTACATCAGAGTGAACACTTTACGGGCAGGATGAGGGTGATAAGAGCCAACTGGGAGATGGTGCAGGAGGGATTTGACGTCAACACGACGAGTGACCATTCCGTGAGCACAGCGCCAGCACGATGGCTCGTGTTGCAGCAGTCTACCTGTAGAACTTAAGAATTTTGGGGAGGAGATTGCGATTGATGCCATTAGTTTTGCTACTGCTTCAAATGGCTAGCAGCTATGGATGCGGGGCTCATGAATGCTTGATGCGTTTTGAATGCTTGATGCGTTTTGAATGCTTGATGCGTTTTGAATGCTTGATGCGTTTTGAATGCTTGATGCGTTTTGAATGCTTGATGCGTTTTGAATGCTTGATGCGTTTTGAATGCTTGATGCGTTTTGAATGCTTGATGCGTTTTGAATGCTTGATGCGTTTTGAATGCTTGATGCGTTTTGAATGCTCTTCTACCTATACACTGGAACTGGAAGATGGTTCCCAAAAAACGCTTGTAACGAATGTGCTTGGAGGAGGCTTTCTTTGACGAACAGCTGGTCGTTGCTTGGCAACTTCTAGTCGTTGACACGTCCTCGCGTGCTTCGTCAGCTGCAGCCACGTGCTCTCCTGTGCCCCCACACCTCCAGCCATGCCGAGCCTCCACGTTCTTCACCGAGCCAAGCCACCTGATACTCCCTGGTTTACGAAGCAGGCAGTTGGAGCCAAACCTGGGATTCGGGCCCGGAAGTGGTCCAGCCTCAGTGACACGTTGCGCGCTCCGGTTGGTGGTTGTTACCAAAACCTGGGGAGCGAGGTGCTGAAGAATCTTGCCTGGCTTGAGCTGTTGTGTGCTCCACCGTACAGAACAGCTGTAAACCTCTTTAACGTACACTTCGATTTGGTTGGCCTGTTGTCGCGCAAGTCCTGCCATTACTTGGCCAAACATCGGTACATAACATCTTGGAGGCTAATTGTACGGTTCTGTACAATAATGTACGGTACTCTGGGGTGGAGGCCAGACCAGGGTCAAACCTCCTCCTGCTGGAATCTGCCTCTTAGAGCTCATCTCCCTAGAAGACTTCAGTTCCTAGTCCCTAGGGCAATCCCTAGTTCCTCACGCTGGGTCAGTCGTGGGAGGAGCTGCAGGCTCAGCTTACATTTCGCCGTGGTTCACGGCTCCTAGTCTGCTTCGGGGTACCTCGTAACCCGTTGCTTCTTCACGCGTTGCGTGCGTCAGCTCCCACCCACTGCAGCCAACCAACCGCCATTGCAGTTTGCTCTCAGTTTCCCGCAACCAATCCGTCCATTCCTCCCTTCGACCAACACCCCGTCTCGTCCTCCCATCATAGTATCGCTCGCTTATCCAACACATTATATTTTTCTCTAATATCTCACGAGTGCATCGGGTCGCGGAGCTCCTAATCAATACCCCTCACCTGGCCGTAGATCCCAAGGTTGATAGAGCACGTACAGCATGTGGAAGGCAGCGGCAAGACGCCTGATCCCCGCCGCTCTTCGCGCGCAGCGTGAAGCGGCGTCGTCGTCGCACGCTAATGGCATTCGAAGCGCGCCGTTTCTCGGGCGACTGATGTCGTCGCAGGTGCGACCTCACTAGTCTTTTCTTCCATCGATTTCTCTGCGATTTCGGGTCGACTCTCAGTGGTCTGTGAGTCGACGTCGCAAGCTGATATGGATTGAATATGCCTTCCGTCTGCATTTATATCAGCCTGTCTACATTTCTTATCTCGATCTTGACGCTCGGTCTTCCGACGCTCGCTCTTGACGCTTTCGATCCGGCTTTGACTTCGCACCGACGGCGTCGCGAAGCAGACGGTTCTTACATTAGAGGATCCGATCCAGCCATGTGTCGACTGGCTATGCAGTCAGACTTTTGAGTCGACTCAAACGTCACGACGGCGTGTCGAAGTAGTTACGTTACAAGATCCGATCCAGCCATGCGTCGACTGGCTTTCCCGTCAGTCGCTCATTCTCAGCCCTTCTTAGCGCCTGCTCGACGAGCCTCCGTCGCTTCAGGCTCGCTCTAGACGGCTCCGATATACGGCTAGCATCGCGCACGTAGGCGGAATAAGCCGGAATGATCTGTATATTCTCTATTTCCATAAGCTACCATGTCCGCCTACCTTTAAGGCGCCTCAAAAACTTAAGTTACCATGATATCCACCTACCACATCTGGATCTTCCCCTATTTCCAGCCCTTAGTTTTCGTTCTGGTCAATTTCCGCCTCACCTTAGCGTCCCTCTGTTTTATCCCTAATTTGTCGCTTTCATCTCGCCTCTTCAGGCATACACGGTGGTCGATCACACGTATGACGGCGACTGCGTGTGTTGCTGGTGTGGTCCCGCATCCCTCTCTGTCTCATTCCGCATTCCTCACCTCCATCCCAAATTCTCTTTCATCCCGCACTTTCATCTCACCCCTTCAGGCATACACGGTGGTCGATCACACGTATGACGGCGACTGCGTGTGTTGCTGGTGTGGTCCCGCATCCCTCTCTGTCTCATTCCGCATTCCTCACCTCCATCCCAAATTCTCTTTCATCCCGCACTTTCATCTCACCCCTTCAGGCATACACGGTGGTCGATCACACGTATGACGGCGACTGCGTGTGTTGCTGGTGTGGTCCCACATCCCCCTCTCTCCCGCATCCGCATCCTTCATCTCACCCCTTCAGGCGTATCCCGTGACCGACCACACGTGTAACGCCGTGGTGGTGGCTGGCGACTTTTGAGTCGACTCAAAAATGACCGACCACACGTATAACGCCGTGGTGGTGGCTGGCAGCAGGTGGAGCGGGGCTGCATTAGTCCTTATAGGCGACGCATATGGATAAGAGACGCATATGGATAAGAGACGCATATGGCACAAAATCTCATCGTTCTCATCTCACTCCTTCAGACGTATCCCGTGATCGACCACACGTACGATGCGGTGGTGGTGGGAGCGGGAGGAGCGGGCCTGCGCGCGGCCATAGGGCTGTCGGAGGGCGGCTTCAACACGGCGTGCATCACCAAGCTCTTCCCCACGCGCTCGCACACTGTTGCTGCACAGGTTAGTGCGTATAGCGAGATGCCCTATAGCGGGGATAGCGGCGCTGCGCGCGGCCATAGGGCTGTCGGAGGGCGGCTTCAACACGGCGTGCATCACCAAGCTCTTTCCCACGCGCTCGCACACCGTCGCCGCGCAGGTGAGATAGTTGGTCGCACACAGTCGTCTGCTGAAAGATTGTACAATCTCTCAGCAGTGGTGCTGTATGAGATAGCGGCTGCTGCTCCTCACCTTTCCTCTCTCACACGCCCTCTCTCAATCTCTTCCCCCTCCCCCCCTTTCTCCCCCACTCCCTCCCCCTTTCTCCCCTTATTCTTGTATCAGGGCCGCATCAACGCAGCGCTGGGCAATATGACAGAGTACGACTGGCGCTGGCCTCCCCTACCCTCCCCTCCCCTCTCGCACCTTCGGCTTCTCGATCTCTCACCATAACTCTCTTTCCTTCACCCCCCACCCCACCCACCCCCTCGCCCCCGGTAACCTCCTTTTCTCCCCTGCCAGGGCGGCATCAACGCGGCCCTGGGCAACATGACCGAGGACGACTGGCGCTGGCACATGTACGACACGGTCAAGGGCAGCGACTGGCTGGGTGAGTGGAGAGAGGTGTTGTGGGGTGGTGAGGGGTGGTGAGGGGTTGTGTGGGGTACGTGTAGGGGGGTTATGCGTCGGGTCTATTCAGTGCTAGGCTGGACGACTGGCGCTGGCACATGTACAACACGGTCAAGGGCAGCGACTGGCTGGCTGGCTGCGTCATGCATGGCTGGCTGCGTCATGCATGGCTGGCTGCGTCATGCATGGCTGGCTGCGTCATGCATGGCTGGCTGCGTCATGCATGGCTGGCTGCGTCATGCATGGCTGGCTGCATCATGCATGCACCCCTTCACGCGACCAGGGCGCGACGCCACTCAGTACATGTGTGAGCAGGCGCCAAAGGCAGCGACAGAGCTGGAGCACCACGGCTTACCCTCCCCAAACCCCCCTCCCCTCCCCCCCTCCCACCCTGTCTCATCCCTCTCCACCCCTGCCCTTGTGCTGCATTTCCTGCCTCATCCCTCTTCTCCCTGTGCTGCAGGCGACCAGGACGCCATCCAGTACATGTGTGAGCAGGCGCCAAAGGCAGCGACAGAGCTGGAGCACTACGGCTTACCCTCCCCATCCCCCCCTCCCCCCCCGCTCCCCCCAAACACCCTGTCCCATCCCTCTTCTCCCTGTGCTGCAGGCGACCAGGACGCCATCCAGTACATGTGCGAGCAGGCGCCAAAGGCTGTCATAGAGCTGGAGCACTACGGCCTACCTTTCTCCCGTACCGACGACGGGCGCATCTACCAGCGCGCTTTCGGTGGTCAGAGCCTGGACTTCGGCAAGGGCGGACAGGCTTACAGGTGGGTTGGGGAAGTGAGGCTTAAACGTGGGAACAGGTGGGGAGGGGAGGCTACGGGTCGTCCCACAGCATACCTCCAGACTTTTGAGTCGACTCAAAAGTCTGATGAGCACTTACTAACATGCAGAACGGAGAGGAGCACAGCACAGGTGCTTGTGCTTGAACACTCACAACATGCACTCTCCCCTCTCCTGTGCTTGAACACTCACAACATGCACTCTCCCCTCTCCTGTGCTTGAACACTCACAACATGCACTCTCCCCTCTCCTGTGCTTGAACACTCACAACATGCACTCTCCCCTCTCCTGTGCTTGAACACTCACAACATGCACTCTCCCCTCTCCTGTGCTTGAACACTCACAACATGCACTCTCCCCTCTCCTGTGCTTGAACACTCACAACATGCACTCTCCCCTCTCCTGTGCTTGAACACTCACAACATGCACTCTCCCCTCTCCTGTGCTTGAACACTCACAACATGCACTCTCCCCTCTCCTGTGCTTGTGTGCCCGCCGCCAGGTGTGCGTGCGCTGCTGACCGCACGGGGCATGCGCTGCTGCACACGCTGTACGGGCAGGCGATGAAGCACAACACACTCAACTGACATGCTCGTCTAAGTGCCCATCTGCACTCCCTCCTATTCCCCTACGCCCCCCTGTGCTCCCCCCTGCTGTGCCTTCATGTTTCCAGGTGTGCGTGTGCTGCTGACCGCACGGGGCACATGCTGCTGCACATGCTGTACGGGCAGGCGATGAAGCACAACCCCCACCCAACAGACTTGCTCATCTCAGAGCGCATCTTTACTCCCCAGAACCCCTCTATGCCCCCTTGTGCTACCCTGTGCCTTCATGTTTCCAGGTGTGCGTGTGCTGCGGATCGCACGGGGCATGCACTGCTGCACACGCTGTACGGGCAGGCGATGAAGCACAACACTCAGTTCTTTGTGGAGTACTTTGCGCTGGACCTGATTATGGACAAGGAGGGTGAGATGGGGCGATGGGAAGGGAGATGGGCGATGGGAAGGAAGATGGAGGGTGAGATGGGGCGATGGGAAGGGAGATGGGCGATGGGAAGGAAGATGGAGGGTGAGATGGGGCGTAGTGTATGGTGGGTGGGATAGGATAGGATTCGCGCTGTATGGGCAGACCTGACGAAAAGGGAAGTGCGGTAGTAAGGGTAGGATGCACGCTGTATGGGCAGGCGATGAAGCACAACACTCAGTTGTTTGTGGAGTACTTTGCGCTGGACCTGATTATGGACAAGGACGGCGTCTATTTTTTAGGCGCCTCAAAGATAGACTGATCGTGGACAAGGAGGGCGATGCATGGGATGATGGGATGATGGGGTGATGTGGTGATGGGGTGATGGGGTGATGGGGTGATGGGCAGGACTCGAGAGGGTGAGGTGGAGCATGGTGTATGGGGAGGTGGGGAGAGCGAGTGGCACACGCTGTACGGGCGGGCCGTGAAGCACAACACGCAGTTCTTTGTGCTAAGTACTTAGCACTGGGCCGCATTATGGGCAAGGAGGGTGAGAGAGGGGAGAGAGGGGACGTCTCAGAATAGGGGTTGGATGGGGCACATGGTATGGTTTGTGGTGGGATAGGAGGGCGAGTGGCACACGCTGTACGGGCGGGCTGTGAAGCACAACACGCAGGTCGTTGCTCCTCCTGTCTCCTTGGAGCATCGCTCACATAATGCTGTGCTTGGGCCTGCTTGTGCGCGTTTTCTCGTCCTAATGTGACTGTATCCTACGCGTTCCTGCATCTTGTGTGTGACTGTATCATGCGTGTGACTGTACCAGGGGCATGCCGTGGAGTGATTGCTCTTAACATGGAGGACGGCACGCTGCACCGCTTCCGATCCAACTCCACCATTCTGGCCACTGGGGTGAGTTTCGACCCCTTTATTGAGCTGTTCGGTTAGCACATTGGTCCCTCCCTCTTCCTTCTCTCAACATGGGGGGCGGCACGCTGCACCGCTTCCGATCCAACTCCACCATTCTGGCCACTGGGGTGAGTTTCTTCTACCCTCCTCCCCCTCCTAACACCTCCATCCATCCCCCACCCCAACCCCCTTTCCCCCCCCCCCTACCCCAAACCCAATCACCCCGAATATCCCCACCCCCCCTTTTTAACTCAACTTTCCCCTTCCACCTGCTTTTAACCCCTCCCCCTCCCCCCCCCCACACACACTCTCCTCCCCCTCACTTCCTCTCCTCCTATTTCCTGTCCCCATGGCGATAGCAATATGCGTCTGCTACGTTACTCTTAACAAACCTCCGCTTTACCAGCCTCCCCTTCCACTCCTCCCTTCACTTCCCCTCCCCTCCTGATGACTTTTGAGTCGACTCAAAAGTCTTCCACTCCTCCCTTCACTTCCCCTCCCCTCCTCTCAGGGCTACGGGCGCGCGTATTTCTCTGCCACGTCAGCGCACACGTGCACGGGCGACGGCAACGCCATGGTGGCGCGCGCGGGCCTCCCTCTGCAGGACCTGGAGTTCGTGCAGTTCCACCCTACTGGCATCTACGGCGCTGGCTGCCTTATTACCGAAGGTGAATCTGAGTGATAGGTACGAGTGTGAGCCTGCTGTGCCAGGCTGCCTCTGCAGGACCTCAAGTTCGTGCAGTTCCAACCCACTGGCACCTACGGCGCGGGCTGCGTCCTCACGGGGTCACCCTGTCCTTCCCTACCGCCTTGACCCCATGATTGCCTTTATCCTCACCCAGGGTCAAGGGGTGAAGGAGGCCTCTAGCGGCGAGGGCGAGAGGTTCATTTGTGGAATACTATGCACCCACCGCCGCCAAGGACCTGGCGTCACCCTTTCTCTGCCCTCTTGTCCGCCCCCCGTCCCATACCATGCCCCTCCTGCCGTCCCCCCTCCAGGATCGCGAGGAGAGGGCAGCATTCTGCGCAACAGCGAGGGCGAGAGGTTCATGTAGCGCCACGCCCCCACCACAAAGGACCTGGCGTCAACCTGACTCCTGCCCTCCCCCTCTCATCCCCTGCACGGGCTCTAGAGGAGAAGGTGGCATCCTGCGCAACAGCGAGGGCGAGAGGTTCATGGAGCGCCACGCCCCCACCACAAAGGACCTGGCGTCAACCTGACTCCTGGCCTCCCCCTCTTATCCCCTGCACAGGCTCTAGAGGAGAAGGTGGCATCCTGCGCAACAGCGAGGGCGAGAGGTTCATGGAGCGCTACGCCCCCACCGCCAAGGACCTGGCGTCACGGGACGTGGTGTCTCGCAGCATGACCATGGAGATCCGCGAGGGGCGCGGGTGCGGCCCCCTCAAGGACCACATCTACCTGCACCTGAACCACCTCCCCCCCGAAGTGCTCAAGGAACGGCTGCCTGGGATCAGCGAAACCGCGGCGATCTTCGCTGGGGTGGATGTGACCAAGGAGCCGATCCCCGTGCTGCCGACTGTGCATTACAACATGGGTGGCATCCCCACCAACTACCATGGCGAGGTGCGTTTCTTGGTATTGAGAGAAGGGTGAAAGGGAGGTTGAAATTGAGAGTCTGAGCCGAAGGGTGCGGCCCCCTCAAGGACCACATCTACCTGCACCTGAACCACCTCCCCCCCGAAGTGCTCAAGGAACGGCTGCCTGGGATCAGCGAAACAGCGGCGATCTTCGCTGGGGTTGATGTCACCAAGGAGCCGATCCCCGTGCTGCCGACCCGACCGTGCATTACAACATGGGAGGCATCCCCACCAACTACCATTTAGAGGTGCGTTTGTTTGAGGCAGGAGGAAGCACGGGAGGTTGAGGTTGCGGCCCCCTCAAGGACCACACCTACCTGCACCTGAACCACCTGCCCCCAGAAGTGCTCAAGGTAACAGCTGCCAGGCGCGGTGGTGCCCAGGCTGATGGCAACAGGCGAGGCAGCATGTGCATCGGTATGCCAGTTTTGAGGCACCTCAAAACAAGATGGCAACAGGCGAGGCAGCATGTGCATCGCATCGGTAAGCAGGGCCAGTCGGCTGGGCCTTTCTTCTCCCCCTCTTCCCCCATGCAGCCAAGCACTCAAAAGCACCACCACTTGTTTCATGCACTTGCGTCAGGTGGTTCCACCCAAGGGGGACAACCCTGGAGTGGTGCTTGGACTCATGGCAGCAGGAGAAGCCACGTGTGCGTCGGTGCATGGGGCCAATCCAATCGCCTGAGCGCCAGCAGCCTCATTCTGAGGCGCCTCAAAAGCAGCCCCTCATTCTGAGGCGCCTCAAAAGCAGCCCCTCATTCTGAGGCGCCTCAAAAGCAGCCCCTCATTCTCTCCCATCCCCTTCCCTTCCCCCGCCTTGCCCCTCCTTCCCTTCCCCCCATCCCCGCCCCCTCCCCCTGCAATTCAGGTGGTCGCACCCAAGGACGGTAACCCCGACGTGGTGGTGCCTGGGCTCATGGCAGCAGGCGAGGCTGCGTGTGCGTCGGTGCACGGGGCCAACCGCCTGGGCGCCAACAGCCTGCTGGATATTGTGGTCTTTGGCCGGGCGTGCGCCAACCGAGTGGCTGAGATCCACAAGCCAGGTGTGTGTATGTGTGTGTGTGGAGGGGGGAGGGGGTGTGCGCCTGTCGGTGCACGGGGCCAATCGCCTGGGCGCCAACATCCTGCTGGATATTGTGGCCTTAGGCCGTGCGTGCGCCAACCGAGTGGCTGAGATCCACAAGCAAGGTGCGAGGGTGTGGGCGTGTGTGGGTGTGTGCGTGGGGAAGGGGGGGATGTGCGCCTGTCGCTGCACGCGGCGAATCGCCTGGGCGCCAACAACCTGCTGGATATTGTGGCCTTTGGACGGGCCTGCGCCAACTGAGTGGCTGAGAAAGCCAGGTGGGAGTTTGTGAGTGAGACACAGAGAGAGTTTGTGTGTGTGTGCGCGTGTGTGTGTGTGAGAGAGAGTGTGTGTGAGTGTGTGTGTGTGTGCGTGCATGTGTGTGCGCATGTGTGTGCGCATGTGTGTGTGTGTGTGTGTGAGTGTGTGTGTGTGTGAGTGTGTGTGTGAGTGTGTGTGTGTGTATGCGCATGTGTGTGTGTGTGCGCATGTGTGTGTGTGTGTGAGTGAGTGTGTGTGTGTGTGTGCATGTGTGTGTGTGTGAGTGTGTGTGTGTGTGCGCATGTGTGTGTGTGAGAGTGTGTGCGTGTGTGTGTGAGTGTGTGTGTGTGAGAGTGTGTGCGTGTGTGTGTGAGTGTGTGTGTGTGAGTGTGTGTGTGTGAGTGTGTGTGTGTGTGTGTGTGAGTGTGTGTGTGTGTGTGTGTGAGTGTGTGTGTGTGTGTGTGAGTGTGTGTGTGTCCGTTTGGGACACAGCCCCCCCACCCCCCCCCCATTTCCCCCTCCCCCTCTCATAGCCCTGTGTGTAGGTGCACCACAGCCCCCTCTCCCAGCGGATGCGGGGCAGAAGACGATCAAGTGGATGCACAAGCTGCGGCATGCCAGTGGCGAGCTGAGCACAGCTAAGATCCGAGGCCCCCCCCGCACCCTCTCCCGCTCCTCCCCCACTCCCCCTCCCCCCCCCCCTTTGCCCTGAGTGCAGGTGCACCGCAGCCCCCCCTGCCTGCAGATGACGATTGAGTGAATGGAGAAGCTGCGGTACACCAGCAGTCCCTTACTCCTCTTGCTCCTTCCCTTCCCCCATCCTACCCCACCCTACCCCACCCTACCCCACCCCCTTTCTCCTGTGCAGGTGCACCGCAGCCCCCCTCTCCCTGCGGACGCGGGCCAGAAGACCATTGAGTGGATGTACAAGCTGCGGTATGCCAGTGGTGTCTTACTCCACCACTTCCCACTTACCCTCTCACCCACATGCACTCGCAACTACAGGTGCTGCCCAGGCCCCTCTCCCAGCGGACGCGGGGCAGAAGACGATCGAGTGGATGGACCAGCTGCGGTGTGCTACTGGCTCCTTACTCGTCTTGCTCCTTCCCTTACCCCCACGTTTTCTTCCCCTCAGGTGCACCACAGCCCCCTCTCCCTGCAGACGCGGGGCAGAAGACCATCGAGTGGATGGACAAGCTGCGGTATGCCAATGGCGAGCTGAGCACAGCCAAGATCCGAGGCAACATGCAGCGCGTGATGCAGAACAACGCGGCTGTGTTCAGGACCCAGGAGACTCTTGAGGAAGGTACGTGGTTGGTCTTGGGGATTACAGTGCGGTTGTGAGGGGTGAACAGGCACAGGGAGCAGACAGCGAGCTGAGCACAGCCAAGATCCGAGGCAACATGCAGCGTGTGATACAGAACAACGCGGCTGTGTTCCGGACGCAGGAGACCCTGGAGGAAGGTGGGTGGTTATGAGATATGCAGAGCGGTTGTGAGGGGTGAGCAGGCAGATGCGGCGAGCTGAGCACGGCTAAGATCAGGGGCAACATGCAGCGGGTGATGCAGAACAACGCGGATGTGTTCCGGACCCAGGAGACCCTGGAGGAAGGTGGGTGGTTGGCCATGAGGGTTTACTGTGCGGTTGTGAGGGGTGAACGGACACAGGGAGCACGGCTAAGATCCGAGGCAACATGCAGCGCGTGATGCAGAACAACGCGGCTGTGTTCCGCGTATAACCACTTGGAAGCTTCTGTCGAAGTTCATTGGTTTGGGTTGGTATATCAGTCAAGTCTTTTAAAGTGTGAGGTTCCCACGAACTACACCTTTGATTAGGGTTGCGTTGAAAAAGAGGTGTTGTATCAGGCTGGATGTCCAAACTTCGGATGTCTAGTTTTGAGGCGCCTCAAAACTGGATGTCCAAACTTCGGATGGTGTCCCAACCAGCTCCACGTCCAACCTGGAAAGGCGGCCTGAGGCTAGAGCTGGATGTGGAGCTGGAGATGGAGCTGGAGTCTTTTCTCGCCCCACATCCCCTTCCTTTGTCCCTTTTGAGGCGCCTCAAAAATGGAGTCTTTTCTCGCCCCACATCCCCTTCCGTAGTCCCTCGTGCACGCTCTCCCATAGGCTGCCAGCTGATCGACGAGATGAGGAGGTCGTTTGAGCTGGTCGGGTTCCTGGACCGCGGCCTCATGTGGAACACAGGCCTGACCTGATTGACTTGATCGAGCTGCAGAAGCGTTGATTGCCCCCTCCCCCCCCCTTCCCCCCCCCCCCAACCCTCTTCCCCCCCCCCCCCAACCACCTTCCCTCCCCCCTCACCCCCTTCCCTCCCCCCTCACCCCCCGCTCCCCCCCCTCTTGTCCTTTTAAACGCACGCCTGTTCACAGGCTGCGAGCGGATCGACGAGACATGGAAGTCGTTTGAGCAGGTCGAGGTCACGGACCGCAGTCTGGTGTGGAACACCGACCTGGTCAAGGCGATGGAGTTGGAGAATGAGTGATCCGTCCCCCCCCTTCCCCCTGTCCCTTGTTTATGCACACGCGCATGCCCACGCCCACTGCTCGCCCTCCCACAGGGTGCCAGCTGATTGACGAGACATGGAAGTCGTTCGAGCAGGTCGGAGTGACGGACCGCAGCCTCGTGTGGAACACGGACCTGGTTGAAACCATCGAGCTGGAGAACCTGCTGACCAACGCGCTCATCACCATGCACTCGGCTGAGGCCAGGAAGGAGAGCAGAGGCGCTCATGCCAGGGAGGACTTTCCTGTGAGTAGAGAGTGATTTTCGTGTTCCCATTCCCACTTCTCGTTGACCGCCCATTTCCCTTGGAATTGCCGCTTCCATTTGACCACCCACCTCTTTGTTTGCATGACATCTAGACTAGATACTCAATGTCTGCTGTCCCCTCAACTGGCTCATAACACCCCTTCTCTTCTCTCCCTCATTCTCACTCACCCACTCACTCACGTGTGTAACTCCCTCCCTTCCCTTTACCCTAACTGTTCTTCGCCTCAGGCCCATGACAACAACTGCATCACTTCCTACTTTGACTGCTGAACGCGTGTTCCTCCCTCCCTCCCACTTCCCCTTTTCCCTTCCCCTCCCCTCCCTGTTCTGCCCCTCAGAACCGTGACGACGTCAACTGGATGAAGCACACCGTCGGGTACAGTCACATCTCTTTGCATCACCCCCTTTTTCCCCCCATTTGACCATTGCTGCTTCAAGTGTTGCTGGTGCTCCGGTTGCTCATCGCCCTTTATCCTAATCTATTCATGCGTCCGATTTTTTTTCCTCATGCAATTTTTCTCTTTCTCCCCTAGTGTTCTCATATATTTTCCCTGGTCTTCTGTGAGATGCGACCAGGTATTGGGACAACGGCAAGGTGACCCTGGACTATCGTCCCGTGCACATGAACACGTTGGACGACCAAGTTCAGCCCTTCCCGCCCAAGGCCCGAGTGTACTAGACCAATATTTTGTTGTGAAACCTGTTTTGGACGAATGAACGTTGTTATACCTTCACCAAGTAGCTCTGCCGTGAATCGTGACGATCTTTGCCCGTACTGCCGGTTATGCCATGCTGTTGTCGTTCAACTAGTGGATTTAATGATTGGTTGGGGAATTGTTTTGCTACAACATAGATTCGATCAACGTGATAACGAGATTGGTGTGAGTCACAAATGTAGTTTCACCGGTTGCACTCCCAATTTCACCTAATCGGAGCTGCAATTTTGCAGGGGCGCAACCGAATCGCGGCCGCTTCCATCCACACCGTCCAAACTTCGAGGGGGCGGTTCTGGAATCGCCGCCCCTCATGCCTCACGCATCTTCGAACTCCGACCGTTCGATCGCTCTATAAATGGCCCCTTTCCGAATCCCCCTTCCCCGCAAGCGGCTCGCTGTCCGCCTGCCTCCCTCCCTCTCCCTCTTGTTCCCCACACCACCCTTGATCGAACGGCCCCAGCCCAGAGCATTCCACACCCCACCACCCACATTCAAGTACTTGGTGGGCTCGAAATGAAATCCGAGATTTCAGCCGCCATATATCGAAGACTGGTAAGGAAAGGCATGTCTTACATCGCAAACTTGCTGGGATTCCGCAGATTCAACGAGTTGTAGAAGCCTTTATCACTTGGAGAGGACTCTTGCAGCCAATTGTGGAAAGCGGCAGTAGTAGTTCCAGGCATCAACTTTCTCCATGGCACCCAACTCATGGCAACAATTTGGGTCAGCCGACGAAGCTGCGGGCGATGCTATGTTCGCTTGTTGTGACACTGGCGCTGAAATGTTTCGGGACCAGGCAGCAGATTCTGCGGAATTCCATAGCCCGAATCACGCGCCGAGGTCCGAGAACGGCGCCGCCGAACTGCCTTTTGAGTCGACCTCACCTTTTTTTGACACGGAAGCTGAAATGCCTCGGGACCGCCCAACAGATTCTGCACAAAACGGCGCTGACGAAACATGCCACGAAAATCTCTGCTTGCACGACGACAGTTACCACGCGTCGAGCTCTCCGCGAATGTCGCGCATCTTTCCCTGGCGTTTCGCGACTGTAGATCCGGGCCTTCCCACTCAGCCATCCTCCCATAGCGTTTCACATCCCACCATCCCCGTTAAAATCCTCGACCTTTCACAGATGCCGCTCTTTCCCAGGTCGGCGCATTCTCTGACGCCGCATTGGCGCGCAGTGGAAGCAATTACCGCTGGTAGTGCCCCCAAAAATCCAAGAAAAGAGCTTGCTAGCGGCTATACTGGAGGCGTTTTCCCGCTGCTGCTGTTGCTAGCGGTGCTGCTCCTGGCGGTGCTTCTGGCGGCTGTTGCGTTTTGGGTGAGCCAGCCTCGGGGCATCCTCGCGTTAGGCAGGTTCGGTACTTCACGTGAAGCAGCTGTATGGCTCCAGGCGACTGATGGCGCTCGCATGGGGTATACCGTTCGTAGTAATGCGGGTAGCTGTGGTAACCAGCGAAATCAAGGCGAAGACGCTCCACCGTCAATGGCCGTCCCCCTGCCGCCTTCCGCCCGTCCCGTTCCCTCCCTCCCCCCTCCGCTCATCCCCGGCTCTCGCGTCCGCTCCCCTGCACACCTGGCGCAGCTGCAGCGGCGCTGGCGGTGCTTGAGCGCGCGCGGGGAGTGGGTTCTTCCGCCCGCCCCGCGCCTGCTCCCCTGGTCGCGGAAGCAGAGCCGGCGGAGCGAGTGGGAGTGCGACGACCGTTGGATCGACACGCCCAGCCACGTGGCGTTCCGTGAGGCGGATGTGATTGCAGCGAATGCGATCTCAGGAAAATCGGGGGAGATGGCTGCGGGGAAGGGGGAAGCTGGGGGGGAAAACGGGGGAAATAGAGGAGAAAAAGCGGGGGAGGAGGCGGAAAGAACAGAAAAACGGGAACTGGCGGAAGGGGTTGGCTCAACGGAGGAAGTGGGGGGGGAACAAGAGGGAGGAGTATGGATGGGGGAAGGCGTTGGGGAAGGGGGGGGGAGAGCGGCAGTGGCGGGGGCAAGAGGCCAGAGAAGGGGAAAGGGGGGAGGCAAAAGCAAGGGGAGAGGAAAAGGGATAAGGGGAAGAAGAGCAGAGAGAGCAACAGAGGCAGCCTCAGGAGAGACGACGGCAGGAGGGGAGGTTGAGAGGCAGTGGAATGTTCGGCGTGCGGCTAAGTACCGGTGGGAAGTCAAGAGGGTGGACCAGAGTGTGGATGGCAGTGTGGATCGCAAAGTGGATAGCAGTGTGAATAACAGTGATGAGTGTGGAGTATGGCGGGATGTGGATGCAGTGAAGCTTGCTGAGAAGCTGCCAGGAACGAAGGTGCTTATAGTGGGGGATTCGATGAATCACATCCTGTATTCCTCCCTGCGGAATCACTTCCGCATGGTTACCACAAGAGCAGAGCTTGGGCTGTTGAGTGAATCAGCATCCACACCATCTTCATCAGCAGAAGCAGAAGCAGCAGCAGAAGCAGCAGCAGCAGCAGCGGAGGTGACCGGCGTCGTGCCTCCTTTCTGTCACGCCCGAACTGGCTTGTTCCCCGAGTTGCACAAGCCGCGGTTTCCCCGGGCCTGCGAGGGGTTTGTATTCCAGTATCCCTCCTCCTCCACCATCCCTGTTGCGATCACCACCTCAGTCAACGCCTCAGGCAACAAAGAAGTCAACGCCTCAGGCAACAAAGAAGTCAACGCCTCAGGCAACAATGAAGGCAACAATGAAGGCAACGCCTCAGTCAACAAAGAAGTCAACGCCTCAGTCAACAAAGAAGTCAACGCCGCAGTCAACGTTTCAGTGCTCTTTATACGGAACGATGGGCTGAGCACGAGCCTGGAACCAGCGATGAACAGCACTTCCAAATCAGCCTACATTCCCTGGGTGGACTTGCTGCATGGGTTCCCTGATCTGGTAGCAGCAGCAGCAGCACCGCCAGCAGCAGCAGCACCACCACCACCACCGGTAGCAGCAGGAGCGGCAGAAGCAGCAGGAGTAGCAGCAGCAGCAGCAGCAGCAGCAGCAGCAGGAGCGGCAGGAGCGGCAGAAGCAGCAGGAGTAGCAGCAGCAGCAGCAGCAGCAGCAGCAACATTTCCTCCCAGCTTAATTGCGCCTACTATCGCTGAGCAACTCCTGATAGAATCGCCGGTGTCGGTGCTTGTGCTAAACCGGGGTGCTCACTTTGTGGAGACTTCACGTTTCGTATCAGAGCTCAACCACACGCTCACTACAGTGCGGGAAGCCGCTCCGAATCTCCTTATAATATATCGAAGCACGCCTCCAGGCCATGATAAGTGTGACCTGTATCAAGAACCACTTGGGCAGCCACAGGAGGGGAGTACCTTGCCCTTTGGGTGGGGAGAGTTTGCCAAGCAGAATGAGGAGGCAAGAAGGCTCGTGGAAGGAAAAGGTGGTGTATTTTTTGATGTGGATGCAATGACTGCGTTACGGGCGGATGGGCATTATAATCCGCCCAAAGACTGCTTGCACTACTGCTTGCCTGGTCCACCGGATGAATGGGTGAGGCTGCTGTACAACATGCTACTTGATCTGTTGTGAAACGTGTACCTGCATGGTCCCTAGCCCATGGAGGTCCTAGCTTACCGGTTTCGGGTTATACTTCGTGTAACATAATGAAAGTGCCACTACTAGGCTATTTATACCAACTGTGAGCAAGGGTACCAAAACTCCCCCACCCATGGCGTTTTGCCCGCAAAGGGAACGATATGCACGGCAGAAACAGGTTGAAGTCGAATACATAGCCAACTTATATCACCACCATAAAGGAGTCATTGCAACTAGTCGTTAATTTTTTCGGATGACTGCTGCGCGATTGAAGTGGTAAGATTCTAACGAAACGTTTTCGCGCTGCAAGAGGCAAGACAAACCCAAGGTCCCACGGCAAGCCCCGAGGAGAGCCAAACCAGCTGCGGCCCAATATCGTGGTTTCCCGCCTGTCATCTGGTCAGGCTCATGGATGCTTGGCGACCATTGCGAAGGTGCCGGAGTTGCAGTACCCCGGCTTTTACGAACCTCGCCAGCGTGACGACATGGGAAATCTCTTCGCCAATGCGTTTTTGAGGTGGATCATGCACATGGGGTTTCATGATTCATCCACCCCAGTACAGTAGTTGGTGACCATGGGGGAACGGCCAGCACACTGGAGCCATGGGATAGGACGAAGCAATTGAAGCAATGAAAGCAGACATTAGATTCCAAGCTTTTGTTTTTCCGAAACTAGGCCCTTTTGCTTCCCCTCCCCTATACCCCCACCCCTTCGAATGGAGATCTAGGGCTCTAGATAGAGCCTGCTTAGGGACATGCGAGGAAGCTGCGATCAGCTGATTTAGATCTTAACGAACAAAGCTTATTCCTTTTTTTAACCCTGCGGTTTTTTAAGTCCGCCATCAGAACCCTAGAAAACCAGTGGTCGGAACCCAATTAGCCATGGCGGGCCCTTCGCCCAGCGCGACGCAAGACGGACCAGGTATCTCTCATCTGGACAAGGAATATCTGTGGAGCCTATTTCCGGAACCTATTTTTACCGCTCTTTCGTTCTCCCTCCCTAGGTCCTTCGCCGTTCGCCCTTGTTCTTACAGACCAACCTTTCATGCTCCTGATTCCAGCTCTTTGTAGCTGCAAACCGCTTAGCCTTGACATTCACCAATCGCCATCATAAATGCTTATTATCATCTCCCGGATATCCCCGTGTCGTCCGACTGACAGCTTCCAACAAGCCTGAGGGATCTAGTGACTCTAATGCAGCAGCTCCTACTGCCTCGGCTCCATCAGCAGAGGTACATTCAGCCCCGTACATGCGTTTAGGAAATAAAAGCTTGCACATTTCTTCGAATTGCACCCTATTTTTTTGGAAATTTATATCTGTGCGAAGATATGTCCCTTCAGTTGCTGCTGAAATGCAATCTTTAAATCTTAAAAGCGGGAGCGTGCTCAGGGTGCGGATTCCCGTGCGACGCTTTCATTCACCGAGATAAGCTAATTATTTCGACATTTCACCGTTAATGCGCTCGTTTTTGCGGCAAATGAGTCCGTTCATGATCCGCCAAGAAACTGGCTTCCGCCACTCCGCATACCACCTCTCGTCGGCGAGATCCTCGATACACACTTTATTCCGAAAAGCGTAGCAAACTTTCTCTCCAGTAATCAGTGCGGTAGACGGACCTGGCCAGGCTTTACCAGGAGGCGAACTTTTTCAAACACTATGATTTCCCCTTTCCCCGTTCAATTTCCCCTAAAACGACACTAGCAGATTACGGTAGCAGATTCCAACGTGGAGCCCTCGAAAGCCCGTTTTCTCCACCATTATTCCCTGACCCTCCTCTTTCTCCTGCAGGCGCCAGTGACAGCAGGGGTTCCGCATGGAGCGCAAGGCGCCGTCTCCGCAGGCCCCGCAGGTCCCGTAATCGCAGGCCCGCCTGGAACCCTCCCCCCAAGCGCGGGGATACCGGGCGCAGGGGGGGCAGTGGGCGCAGGGGGGGGAGTGGCGGGCGCGTCTCCTGTGATGCAGCCGATGGCGGGGGGGATGCAGCACCTGCAGCCGTACATGGTTCCGCCCATGGGCCCGGACATGCACGGCATGTACTACCCTGGTAACGGCTACATCCACCACTACTACTACGACTACTCCATGTCAGGTGAGCCCGCTTCAGACATCCCGAACCAGGGGGGATGCAGCACATGCAGGCGATGGCAGGGGGAATGCAGCACGTGCAGCACATGCAGCCGTACATGGTTCCGCCTATGGGGCCGGACATGCATGGCATGTACTACCCTGGCAACGGGTACATCCACCACTACTACTACAACTACTCCACGCCAAGTGGTCATTTTGCCCCACTTAAAAGATTCCCGGCTCCCCCCTGGCCCCCAGTTTCCCGCCCCCAGTTTCCCGCCCCCACCCCCAACCCCCCACCCCCCACCCCATCCCGTTTTTTAAATCGCCGCTGCGTTCGCTCTTGACCCGTCACCAGGCTACGCGGATCCGCCGTGCGTTTCTGATTAAAGAACGTCTTAAAATTCTCTCTTTGAAACTGCCCGTGTGTTCACCCTTGATTTTTCTCTGCCCAGGCTATGCGGATCCCCCGCGTATGGCCCCGGAGCAGTGGGAGGAGTACATGCGCATGGCCGCGCGGATGGACGGGGGAGCGAGCATGATGGACGGCCAGCAGCCGCCGGTAAGATCCGTGGGTACACTGGGGTTTCTGTGGCCATGCGGGCGGAGTTGGATACACGCCAATCTGTATGCAAGGGTTTAGGGAGCAGTGGGAGGAGTACATGCGCATGGCCGCGCGGACGGATGGGGGAGCGGGCATGGTGGACGGCCAGCAGCCACCGGTAAGATTTGAAGGTAGCCTGTAACAGTTTGTAGGGTCTCCTGTGCTCAGTTATTTCGAGTCGTTTAGGGGGAATGAATGAAGGGTCGTTTGAAGCTCGCTTCCAGCTCGCGTTTGTCTTCAAAGAGTGGCTCTTGTTCAAGTGCATGCGCATGGCCACGCGGGGTGGATGAGGGAGCAGCCGTTTCATTCTAGAGTGTTATCATTGAACGTTGAAATCTTACTGGTAGCGTTTACAACCTCTGCGCATCTCAAACCTCGCGAAATATCTTATTGTTAGAAGTATGACCATGAGCCTCCTGAGGGCGTCCCCTTTAGCTTTAAGGGAAGTCAAGCATGGCTTTAACCTCCTTTAGAAGCTCCTGAGCGCGATTGAGAAAAGTCGTTTAAAAGAAAAAGAAGTTTGCATATCAGCAGTTGAAATTTTGCATTTCCCTCCCCTCCCCCCCCCCCCCCCCCCCTCCCCCCTCCCCCCTCTCTCCCCTCTTTCTTTGCTTTACTCCTCTGCGTTGCCTACAGCCAGGGTTTGGGTATCACATCCCGCACTATCCGCACCCGCACATGCCCCCCGGCCTCATGCCTCCCCAAGTGCCCGGTCAGCCGCCCCAGCCGCACATGATGCACCCTCCCCAACCCGGGCAACAGCAACCCCCGCCACCGTTAACAGCGCAGCAACAGCAGCAGCAGCAAGGGCAACAGCAAGGACAGCAGCAGCAGGATGAGCAGCAAACGCAAAGCGCGCAGCAGCAAGATCAGAATCAAGCGCAGGGTAGCAACCAGCAGCCAGGGCAGCAGCAGCAACCGGGCCAGCAGCAGGTGCAGCAGCAAGGACAGCAACCCAACCAGCAGCAGCAGCAACCCCAGCAGCAGCAGCAGCAGCAGCCGCCACCGCACCCATCCCAGCAGCAGCAGCAGCAGCAGCAGAACATGGCTCTTCATCACCCCCCTCCCGGCTTCATGCCTTTCATGCCCCCGGGCCCGCACCCCTCTATGATGGGCGGTCAAATGTTCGGCGCCCCCCCTCCTGGGTACCCCTTCCAAGGCCCCATGTTCCAGCCGCCCCTGCTCCGACCCCCTTCGCCTGGAGGTAGGTGCTCCGAGCCCCCCCCCCCTTCTCCTCCCCCTCTCCCTCCCTCCCTCCGCCCTCCCTACTCCCCGCCAGCCACTGCCTTTCATGCCCCCGGGCCCACATCCCTCTATAATGGGCGGACAGATGTTCGGCTTCCCCCCTCATGGTTACCCCCTCCGACGACCCAAGTTCCAGCCGCCCTTGCTGTGACCCTCCTCCCCTGGAGGTAGGTTCTCTCCACCCCCCTTGGTGCAACCCAGCCACCCTTGCTGCGACCCCCTTCCCTGGAGGCTGGTTCTCCCTCCCCCCCCTTGGTGCACCTTTAGCCACATCCGCCCAGGTCACATGCCCCCTGTCTTGCCCCTCTCCTACTCTCACGGACGCTGTGTTCCCCAATTTCCCCCTCCCCCATCCCCCCACTCCCCCCCACCCCCCCCTCCTTCAACGCTCCTCCCCCTACCCCATCCCTTCCCCCTCCCCCAGACCCAGCTCAACCGGGCGATTCCCCCAGCCAGGCGCAGCTTCAGCCCACATGCCCCACTCCCCCCCCCTCTTGTGCTGTCATATCCCTTCCTGTTCTCCCCCATTCCCCCCAGCCAGGCGCAGCTTCAGCCTACATCCGCCCGGGTCACATGCCCCCTCTACCGCCCCCACTGACGCTGTGTTTCCCCCCTCCCATCCCCCCTTACCTTCCCCCCTTCCCCCAGACCCAGCGCAACCAGGTGATTCCGCTCAGCCAGGCGCAGCTTCAGCCCACATCCGCCCGGGTCACATGCCCCCTGGTGTTGGCCCCCCCCCGCACATGCCCCACATGCCCATGCACGCCTACCCCCGCCCCTCCCCCATGTCTTCCGCATCTCCCCCCGTAAACCCCCTCCCCATGGGACGGGGGGGGTACAATCTCCTCCCCCGAGGGGGGCAGCAGCCTATGGGCGGGCGTGGGGGGGGCGGACGCGGGGGGGAGGGTGGCGGAGGAGGAGGAAGGGGAGGTGGGCGCGGATGGGGGGGGAACAAGCGGGGAGCAGGCCCTGGGAGTGGGGGGCAGGGAAGCGGAGGGGGAAGTGGGGCGGGCGCGAGTTCAGCTGGGACAGGAGGGGGAGCGGTTTCTGCAGCAGGGGGGGGAGGAGCGGGGGCAGGGTCAGGGGCAGGGGGAGCAGCTGGGGGAAACACCGGAGGGGCAGGGTCACCTGCAAATAGAGGGGCTGGTCTTTTAGGAGGCATGGGGGGACAGCAGCAGCAGCAGGGGCAGCAGCAGGGGCAACTAAACGGAATCTTTGATGGGTCTAACGAGCAGAACAGAGGCCCGCGAACGGGTAGAAGTAGGGGGCAAGGTCTAATAACCCCCCCCGCCCCTGGCGCTTCCATTACCCCCCTGGTGGGCGGTCCTGCGCCCATGCCTATTGGCGCAGTGGCTGGCCCTATAGGGGAACCCATAGGTGCTGCTGCTGCTGCTGCCGCCGCAGCAGCGGGGGGAGGAGGCGGAGTGGGGACAGGGGCAGGAGCAGGAGCAGGAGCAGGGGCAGGGGGAGCGGTGGGGGCAGGGGGAACAGGGGCAGGAGCAGGAGCAGCAGGAGCAGGGGGGCGGGGCGGAATAACGCTGCGTCCAGACGAGTACAACCGGGCGGATTTCAAGACGTCGTACGACTCGGCGCGGTTCTTTGTGATCAAGAGCTACAGCGAGGACGATGTGCACAAGAGCATCAAGTACGGCGTGTGGGCTTCCACTCCGAATGGGAACAAGAGGCTTGATGCTGCCTTCAAGGATGCGTCTGGGAAGACCGGAGGCCCCTGCCCCGTCTTCCTCTTCTTCTCGGTACGTGTGACTTTTGAGTCGACTCAAAAGTCTTCTCGGTACGTGTGTGTTTTCTAGGCCGATACAGGGCTGCTTTCCAGCCTGGAGCTGCCCCTCTTGGGGTGCCCTCGTCCCAGGTCCCCCCCTCGTTCCTGCTCCTTTTGTGGTGAAGAGTTACAGCGAGGGCGATGTGCACAAGAGCATCAAGTACGTCCTACGTGCGCATCGCTCGTTGCCGTACGGCGATCTGTTCCTCGGTTTCCACCTCTATGTTCCCACCTCTATGCTGGCGGAGATGGCGTGGCGGAGATGCGAGATGCTGACAGCGGTGGACTTCTCTCGCAGCGTGGACTACTGGAAGCAGGACAAGTGGAGTGGGCCTTTCCAAGTCAACTCGCTCCTTCGTGCTGTGTTTCCTCCCGCGATTTCACCCACCTGTTCCTCTGGTTCCCACCCCCCTGTTTCCTCTCCCCTGATTCCTCTCCCCTGATTCCTCTCACCCACTCTCCCTCTCTCCAGGTGAACGCGAGTGGGCAGTTCTGTGGCGTGGCGGAGATGCTGACAGCGGTGGACTTCTCTCGCAGTGTCGACTATTGGCAGCAGGACAAGTGGAATGGCCACTTCCAAGTGAAGTGGCATGTGATCAAGGACGTCCCCAACTCGCAGTTCCGGCATATCATCATTGCATCGAACGATGGGAAACCCGTCACCAACAGCAGGGATACTCAAGAGGTGAGGGCGGTTGTTTGACAGGGGGAGAGGGGAGTGGGGGAAGGGAGACAAGTGGAATGGCCACTTCCAAGTGAAGTGGCATGTGATCAAGGACGTCCCCAACTCGCAAATCAGGCATATTGTCATTGCGTCGAATGATGGGAAGCCGGTCACCAACAGCAGGGATACCCAAGAGGTGAGGGGTGCAAATGTGTCTGTTCTAAGGGTGGACAAGTAGAAAAGGGTGGGGGGAGTGGGGCAGGCCACTTCCAAGTGAAGTGTCATGTGATCAAGGGCGTCCCCAACTCGCAGTTCAGGCAAATCATCATTGCATCGAACGATGGGAAACCCGTCACTAACAGCAGGGAGACTCAAGAGGTGAGGGCAGTTGCTTGACAGGGGGTGAGATGTATCCTTGCATCATCATTGCATCATCATTGCATCATCATTGCATCGAAAGATGGAAAACCCATCACCAACAGCAGGGATACATAGGAGGTGAGGGAGGGAGATGTATGGGAAGAACAGGGGTCAAGTGCATGGCCCCAACTCTCAGTTCCGACACATCGTCCTTGCACCCAATGATGGGAAACCGGTTACTAAGAGCAGGGATACACAGGAGGTGAGGGAGGGAGATATATGGGGGGGAAAGGGGTCAAGTGCATGGCCCCAACTCTCAGTTCCGACACATCGTCCTTGCACCCAATGATGGATACACAGGAGGTGAGGGAGGGAGATATATGGGGGGGAAAGGGGTCAAGTTCATGGCCCAACTCGCAGTTCCGACATATGATCATTGCGCATCGAATGATGGGAAGCCGGTTACTAAGAGTAGGGATACACAGGAAGTGAGGGAAGGAGAGATATGGGGGGAAAGGAGAGGAAGACGCGGCATCACCACCCTCACCTGCACCCGCACCACCCGCACCAGCTAATGCAGCAGCGCCACCAGTAGCCGGTTTTCTCCCCTCTTTTCACTCTCCCTTCCTCCCCCTCCCTCCCCCCCCCCACCTCCCCCCCACGCCCCCTCTCTCCCCTCTCTGTGTTCCCCGCCCCCCTTCCCCCATCAGATTCCTCTGAACCAGGGCCAGGAGATGCTGCGCATATTCAAGTCCCGCACCCGCATCCCCAGCCACACCACCAGTAGGCCGTTTCCTCCCCACTTTTCACTCCCCACCAGTAGGCCGTTTCCACCGACCCTACCCCTCCCCCTCTATCCCCTCTCTCTTGTCTCTCTCCCCCCCCCTTTCCCCCTTCCCCACCACCAGGTGCCGTTGAACCAGGGCCAGGAGATGCTGCGCATATTCAAGTCGTACTCGTCGCGCACTTCCATTCTGGATGACTTCACCTTCTATGACAGCCGCCAGCGCGCCATGCAGGAGAGAAAGACGCGGCAGCCCCACCCGATGCAGCAGCATCCCCAGCAGCACCCGCAGCAGCAGCAGCAGCAGCAGCACTACCAGCACCAGCAGCAGCACTTGCAGCAGCAGCACCATCAGCAGCAGCTGCAGCAGCAGAGGCGGATTGTAGTGGGTCGGAATCCGGGACCTGTGCTGCTGCCTCAGGTATATATACCGCTGTGTGTTTGTAATTTCGTTTTGAGGCGTCTCAAAAAGAAATATATACCGCTGTGCTGCTGCCTCAGGTATATTTATCACTCCTTATTTCTCTACCCTTTCACTTCGCCCCGCAGCCTCGACTGGACTCTCGTCCCCTTGACTTCCCCTTCCTGCCTCTGATGCCTCTCGGCCCCATCAACCCTGCTTTCAACCCTGCCGGCATGCCGCTTCCCTCCGCGGCTGCTCCTGGGACGGCTGCTGGTGCTGCTGCTGGGTTTGGTGGGCATGCTAGGATGATGTACCCTCACACTCACACGGGGCCTATAGGCGCTGCTCCTGGTGCCGGGAGGGGGAGAGGGGGGCGTGGAGGAGGGGGAGGGGGCGGGGGAGGAGGAGCAGGGTCAGGGCTAGGGGTGGGAGGAGCAGGGGGGGTGGGCGGAGGAGGAGTGTCTAGTAGTGCGAGCGCGCTTGCTAGTATGCTGCCTGCTTCTGTGCTTCCTAGCCCAACGCCTGCCGGCGCTGCTGCTGCTGCGCTAGCTAAAGGGGAGAAACCAGGAGCCGCACTGGCTGCTGGTGATGGGGCAGCAGCAGGGGCGAAACAGGAGGGGGTTGGAGGAGGGAATGCAGGGGGGAAGGGAGGGGAGCAGACAGCAGCAGTGATTGCGGAAGGCGTGGCAGCTCTGTCTCTTGGGGAGGGGAAGTGAGGGAGGGGAAGGGAGGCAGTGCTGGGGCTGGTGGTGATGGGGCATTGGCAGGGGCGGAGCAGGCGGGGTTAGAGGAGGGAATGCAGGGGGGAAGGGAGGGTAGCAGACAGCAGCAGCAGTTGCAGAAGGCGTGGCTGCTCTGTCTCTTGGGGAGGGGAAGTGAGGGGAGGGGAAGTGAAGGGAGGGGAAGGGAGGCAGTGGTGGTGCTGCTGGTGATTGGGCAGCGGCAGGGGCGAAACAGGAGGGGGTTGGAGGAGGGAGTGCAGGGGGAAAGGGAGGGGAGCAGACAGCAGCAGCGATTGCGGAAGGCGTGGCAGCTATGTCTCTTGGGGAGGGGAAGTAAGGGGAGGGGAAGGGAAGCGAGCAGCGGCAGGGAGGAACCAGGAGGCAGTGGGAGGAGGGAGTGCAGGGGGGAATGGAGGGGAGCGGACAGCAGCAGCGATTGCGGAGGGCGTGGCAGCTCTGTCTCTTGGGGAGGGAAAGTGGGGGGGGGGGGAGGGGAAGTGGGGGAGGAGGAGTGAGGGGAGGGGGAGGGAGGGAAGGGGGAGTAAGGGGAGGGGGGAGCGAGGGAAGGGGATGAAGGCATTGAGGTGTCTTTTGAGTTGGCGCAAAGGACAGCTGAAGTGATGCATCAGGTTGTAGGCAGGAGAGATTGGAGCACTGGAGGAGAGGTTGGGAAGGACAGCAGCAAGAGAGCAGAGCAGCAGTCTGAGTTGGGAGTCCGGGTGAAGGACAGCTGAAGTGATGCATCAGGGTTTAGGCAGGGGAGGTTGGAGCACTGGAGGAGAGGTTGGGAAGGACAGCAGCAAGAGCCGCGGTAAAAGAGCGGCATTGAGAGCAGCAGCAAGAGCAGCGGGAACATGGTTTTGTTGAAGTTAACAACAGCGAGGGAGCTTGAGTAGCAGCAGCGGGAAGGATTGGGTGGGAAGGTTGGCACGCAGGAGGGAAGGGTGGGAGGCAGCTGCGGTAGTAGAAACAGCAAGGTGGCAGGAGGGGCAGCAGTAGTGAGCGCCAGCAGCGAAGGTTGGGCTTGGGGGCTAGTGTTGTCGGTGGGAGCTACAACAGAGGTGTGCAATGAGGGGAGCAGGAGTGGAGTGTGGTATTGTTTGAGTAGAAATCGGTGGTAATGGTGGCAGGAGGCAGCGGTAATGGTAGAGGTATTGATGGAAAAAACAGAAAGTGGGCGGGGGGAAGGAGATAAGGCAAGAGCGAGGGCGAAGTTTCGAAAGAAAGCAGAAAAGAGGGAGCTGAAAGGAGGGAGATGAAAAGAGGGAGGTGGAAGGAGGGAGCTGAAAAGAGGGAGGTGGAAGGAGGGAGGTGAAGAAGGGAGGGAGCTGAGAGGGAGCTGAGAGGGAGCTGAGAGGGAGCTGAGATGGCAGAAACTTCAAGCGGGTGGCTGTGGCCTTGGGGAGCATGGACATGGTAGAATGGGCGATTTACCAAAGAAGGGATGATGTGGAGGATGATCGGAACGATGTTGATGTCGCAGAAAAGGATGGAAGTTGGGAGTGAGTGACGATGAAAAAGAAGGGGTGCTGTCGAAGGGAGAAGCAGGCAGGTGGCCAAAAGTGGATGACTGCTCGAGTGGCTTTTTCGGAAGGGACAATACCAAATCTTGAACATCAGCAACGTGAAGTATGGGAGGGAGTGAAGATGAGCCTGGGGAAGGATGATAAGGGAGTCGAAAAAGGCTCTTGGTCGTTCAGTCCTTTCCCACCTTGTGCTACCATCACTTGTCCCTTCTTTCTGTCCTCCCAAGTTAGGAATTGCCGTGGGAGGCATGTAGGTTGGGCAGCATGGATACCATGTATGGTCGTGCTAGATTTTGTCATTTGGACTGAGTGAGCAAATGTTGTGCAATGCGCTGGACGAATGAATCCTCATGCATGACAAAATCAGTGATGTGGTAGCTTGGTATCAGGGTGAGTCTCGACGTATGTTTAACCTTTTCTTCACATATTCGACTGGATTTCACGTAACACCGTGTACCGACATCTCTCTCTCGGGGAACACTGCATGCATCGCGCCTGCTTGAAACGAGAACGACGCTTGGGAAGTACTGAGAGTCACTACTTGCATCCTCCCGAAAGCTCTCCTTAATTCCCCGTGGAGCAGATTTTTCCGCTGAACTCCAGCTTAGCAAAGCTCTGCATGCTAATTTTATGCAGAACACGCTGGCACCTTGCTTAGTCAGAGTGCGATAACCCGCGGCTCATGCTGCTTAGATCCAGATACGCGTATCAAATTTAGCGGCCTCCGAGTAGCTCGTGGTCGATTATGCAAGGAACAGGTTTCGGACACCGTTTAGAGAAAGGCTGACGTTTCACTTCGAAAGTGACAGCCACTGGAAAGAGCAGGCATCCTGGCTGTGACTGCCATCCACGATTTAACAGCTCGCCAGCCAACGGCTACTTTGATCCAGCGAGTTTGCAATCCGGTGTTTGGCCACCTCACGACCCTCTTGCGTTAGCATTCTCGCAGCTGTTATTCGTTCAGAATCCGCATGACGTTCCCAATAGTGGAAGTAATCACACTACCGCTCGTATCTTCGACGCTTGTCGGAAATGACACGCTATGTTCGGGAGACAGCCGCAGAATTCGCCGCCGCCTCTCTTTCCGACTACCCTCCAGTTCTGCTGACTGGGATTTTTGTATCGAACCCCCAGGATGAGAAAGAAGCTTCTGATTTTATTGCTTGCAGCGGTGGCATCAGGCTCCAAGCCTCGTTGTCACGGCGAATTTCCAGACCTGGGATAGACGATAAAGCCAGTGATGATGGGGCTAAGGTGAGGCCCTGTTGTTCTGACCTTTTCGCAGTTTCTCCCTAAGGTTCGGAGTGCGAGCTTGGTTCTGGTGTTTCCGGCGGATTCACAGAGATACCTTCTCCCTTGATCAGCTATTGATCAGCGACCGATCAGCTATTTCTTAGGCACCTGCGACGTCGAGGCATCATCCTGCTCTTTACTATCTCTCTCTTGAGAGTTTCAACGACGAATAATCTTCCTTGCGGAGCTAGGCCAAGAAGTGATTCTTGAGAAAGTTTCTACTATGCATCCTGAAGACTTCACATCTCTCGAGATTCACCGGAGTCAGTACCATTCGATTATAGCTACTTCGGTTCCTTCACCTCGATCGTGTATACTCACTCGATGTGTTCTGTAAACCTAATCTGCAGATAACGTGGCTCAAAGCCCTCCCCGCCATGTACCGAGGCGAAGATTTCAGCCAAGACTATGGGTGAAGCTGACGTTCTTTGTGGGTGCTCTGGTGCTGATCTGCTCCGGTGTTTTGGCCGTCGTTCTGTGGAGACTGTCGAAATCAACTTTGACTGGAGAAATCCGCGGGAGGCTTGACACTGTAGCGAGCCTTCGTCAAGAGCAGGTATATAACATGAAGTCTGGCGATTTGTGCAACTTTGATATATTTTTTGTTGGATTCGTTGACTGGTTTGTTCTCCATTTTTCGAAATCTGTTGCTGTTTCAGATACTCAGTTACATTACGGGAACTCAAGATACGGTGAAGCTGATTACATCCCGTGTTGTCATTTCTTCCCTGTTGCTCATGCACAAGCAAGGAAAGTTGAATCTGACGAAAAATGACTACACTATGGGCACAGTGGATCTTAACTCTGCTGTCATGAGTGCGGCTAATGTCATGGCGTTAGGAGCGTACAGCACCGAGGGCGAACTTCTGTTCGCCAGCAAGCATCCAGCTGACGTGGAGCCGCTGCCAAAGCTCTTGCACGGGCGAGCACTGATTGTCAAGAATCGAAACACGTCAGTGTGGTCTGGGATTCCATATGCAGGACGCAATAATACATTCCTGATCGACATTGCAGCTTCTGTTGACTATCAGGTATGCAATCTCCTTGAGCTGTTCTGGTAGATCCATAAAGTCACACATCTCAGGGGTAGATCCATAAGTCACCTGTCCCAGAAAATCTTGCTTTCATCTTCCTTTTCTGACATTATTTAATCTTCCAGGATACCTTTTGCGGAATTATCTTGGCAAGAGTTGATGCGGAGAAATTCAGGCAAACTGTGCATGATGGGACTGGCCTTCAGACCACAGGAGAGCTTCTTGTTGTCTATGTCAATAAAGGCGAGGACCTGGTGCATTTCATAGTTCCTCCGGTTAAGGATCCTAATGTGACAAATTCGACTCACAAGGGTGCTGCCTTCAGGGCAGGGGAAGGCCAGATTGGACATTACCAAGGTGCTGACTTTCGTGGAGTTGATGTCGTTGCTTCCTACCGTCCCATTGGCTACGATTCCTGGGGTACGCCTTGTGTTTTGTTTATTTTGTCTTCTGGTTGTTTCTCTGGAGTAATGCTCGTCTGCTCATTCGTGAGTATGGAGTATGAATAAAGAGATTGCTTTGCTTAATTGCAGGTCTGGCGGCCACAATTGACAAAGGAGAAGTATACCTTTCCATAAGGAAGTTTGAGAAGATCATTATAATTTCAATGTCCTGCATCTTTGTGCTGGGGATCCTCGCAGCCTATGCCTTGGCTACGGTATGAAATCTTTGTGTTCCACCCTTTTGAACAGTTTTTTTGTTCTGTTATCATGCGAGGAATTCTTTTACTGTGAAACGCCCCTGTTGCACAGTATTTTTCCCGTCCAATTATGGAGCTTGGGGATGCAGCGGGCAAGCTAGCACGAGGTGACTACAGTGCAAGAGCCCATGGACGGAGAGGCTGCTTGAAGGATGAAATTGACGAGCTTTGCTGTGTCTTCAATGACATGGCTGATCAGATCTCCAGTTCCTACTCGACTTTGGAACAAAAGGTGTGTCATCCTGCATCTGTTCATCCTGTTATCCTGTTTTTTTCTTGCTCTTTTTAGGCTCACGAAATATGTTTGTTGTTTCAGGTGATAGAACGGACACAAGACCTGGCACTGATGAACGAGGGTTTGTCTGCTGAGGTGGAGGAGAGGAGGAAGATTGAGTCACTGCTGAAGGATGCCAAGGAGCAGGCGGTTTCTGCAGATAAAGCGAAATCTGAGTTCCTCGCTAACATGTCCCACGAGATCAGGACACCATTGAATGGCATTATCAACTGTACGGAGCTCTGTTTGGATACACCTCTCAGCTCTGAACAGATCGAGTATCTTGAGCTTGTAAGTTCCGTGCATTCTGATGCGGTATATCTTTTCCTGCATATCATAGCTGACTGAATATGCTGACGGTGATTCTTTTGTGCAGTCACTGTATTCAGCCAAGCATCTCCTGCGCCTTATTGCTGACATCTTGGATTTCAGCAAGATCGAGGCTGGAAAGATGGACCTAGAGAACATTGAGTTCTCACTTCATGACCAGGTAATTTTTTGCTGCCTTCATAACAAGCTGGTTTTTTCGGTGCCTTGCCCATTTTGTCACAGTTTTGGAGGAACTTGCTCATTTGGCCTTAATCTCTTTTCCCCAGATGGAGCATGCGGTATCTGTCATGGCAAATCGAGCAAGGAAGAAGGGCCTTGCACTTGTATCATGGCTGAAGTCCCCCAACATGCCAGAGAGTCTCATGGGTGACCCTGGACGACTTCTTCAGATCTTCATCAATCTTTTGGGTAGGTTTCCTTTTAGTAGATTTCCTTGTTGATTCTATGTTTGTGCAGTCTTAAAACTGTAGTGCGACCCTTGTCTTGGCAGGGAACGGGATCAAGTTCACTGAGAAGGGGGAAGTTGTGTTGACAGCAACACTTGTCGCTCTTCAGGATCAGACCGCAGAGGTTCTGTTTGCTGTTAAAGACTCAGGTATGTAAGTTTTTCAATTGTTCGTCATGTCAATCTGTTTTCGAGTATTTTGCTCGATTAACATACACACCCTCATTTCCAACAGGAATCGGCATCCCTCAGGCCAAGCAGTCACTTCTGTTTCAAGCATTCAGCCAGGTCCATGCCTCCGACGCAAGGTAAAGTAAACATCTGTCACTTCTGAGAATGTCTTGCTTCTGTTGATTTCCTCTTTGTGAGCAACATTTTAGCAACATTCCCAATATGCTTCCTGCATATTTCAGGCTTTATGGGGGGACGGGACTAGGTTTGATGATCTCGTCTCGGCTGGCAAATGCCATGGGTGGGCACATGTGGGTGGAGAGCGAGGAGGGCCGCGGATCAACGTTCTTCTTCACAGCCAAGTTCCGCATGCCTGCTGAGGCTGCAAAACCTTCAACACTGGGAAGATGCGATGCTCTGTGTCCGAAGATGAGCCATTTTCGCGGGCTTGTCGTGGATGGGAATGAATCGACAAGGAAGTCCGTCATTTCAACTCTCGAGGTAGGGACCATTTCGTAAGCCATTTTTGTGTTGTTGGTGCTGTCCTATAAAAGAAATTGACGATGTATCCAGTCCCTCCTTCCTGCAGAAGTTGAAAGTCAAGGCAGACGATACGGCTGATGCAACCTCCGCTCTGGAAATGCTCCAACGAGCAGTGTACAACGAGTCGCCATACACCCTTCTCATTCTTGACTCTCAACTCGGGGACACCAACAATGAATCCTCCCCCTCTGCCTCCACCTCCAGTAGCTGTGCTCCTTCCTCTAGTGGCTGTGCTAAACTGCTGCGCCACATTAAGGAGCAGAATCTTCTGCATCAGGACAGCTTTGGATGCCGATTCATCAAGGGAGACTGCAGCAGTGGGGCCATGCAAGAGGTGGAGGATCTTACTGCGTTTTTGGAGTCACCTGTGCCAGCTTGGCTGTTCTCTGAAGAAGGGGAGAAGGCCTCAGCGGAAAAGCCTGCTTCCAGTGTGCTCTTCTCTGGGAAAGGAAAAAAGGCCTCAACAGAAGAAACAGAGAGAAGCGGTGAGTCGCAGTCAGCTAGAGCTGGCAGTGGAGTGATGCCGCTGCAGAGATGCAGTCAGGCACAGGCTTTCTGCAGTGCGCCTGAAGCTGGCAATGAAGCGACGCAGCTGCAGCAGAGATGCAATCAGGCGCAGGCAGCATGCAGTGCAAATGAAGCTGACAGCGAAGTGGTGCCGCTGCAGAGATGCAGCCAGGCACAGACTGCCTGCAGTGCAAGTGAAGGATGTCGGCTGCAGTCCCCTGAAGAGGGCTCAGTGCTACCTGTTGTGCTGTTGACCCCTGGAAATCTGGACGACAAGTCCCTGTAAGTGGTTCAGAAAATGGGAGCCTATTAGTTGCTCTGTACATTCCATATTACTTAATACTGGTTAGGCTGATTCTCCGCAGGTGCAAGAGTTTGGGTGTGCAGCTTCATGTCCCCAAGCCTGTGAAGAGAAAGGTGTTGCTTCGAAGAGTCAAGCAGGCATTGAAACTTCCACTACAGGTGCAAGCCCTTGATCTGTTCCTGCTGTAAGCCTCCCAGCTGTCGTACTCTTATCTCTGTTTGATGCTGTTGAAGGCTTATGTTACATTGTGGTATCATTTCTGCGTTTGAGGCATCTCCAAAGCGCTCTTACGTCTGACCTATGCTGTTGGAGGGGTATCTAACATTCTGGTCCGTTTTCTACTGCTGCAGGAGGGACTTTCTGCCTCAAACTCAAGTGCGTCAGACGAGGCGTCTGCATCAGCAGCAGCTGACAGAAGTCTGAAGGTCTTGGTTGCGGAGGACAACATTGTGAACCAGCGGGTGGCAATGACTCTCCTGCGCAAGTGGGGGCATGAGACTGTTCTGGCCAGGGATGGTGAAGAAGCTGTGGAGAAGGTTCAAGGAGGAGTTTTCGATGTGATACTAATGGATGTGAGTGAAAACCGTCTTCCTTTGTCTAATTCACCAGCTATCTCTTTTTGCTGCTTCACTTCAATACCTGTGCTGTGCTAGTCTCACCAATAGTTGTTGCAATTTCAGGTTCAAATGCCAGTTTGCGATGGGCTACTAGCAACCAAACGCATTCGGGAATACGAGTCTACAACAAAGCACCATACGCCCATCATAGCTGTAATGCTCACACACTGGTGTTATGGCAGAAGCCACGTCGTGGTTCAATCCAACTGAATAACTGCTCTCTTGCCCTGCAGATGACAGCGCAAGCCCTCATAGGAGATGGAGTGAAGTGCATAGAAGCAGGGATGGACTCGTACATGAGCAAGCCTGTGAGTTTTTTCTTGCATTCATGTTATAGATTTCCGTCTATCATGACGTGTTGTCTCAAAACTAATGGGTCGACTCTTCCTTGTGCAGCTGAACGCATCAAAGTTGAAGGACCTCCTGCGGCTTGTGTGCCAATCACACGTGCTTCCAGAACCAACCAAGGACTGTGCTAGGGAATTTTGATGCCAAGGAGAGCAACTGTGCTCGGTTCACAAGTTGGCTTGTGAAAATGCACGAGTGTTGTTGGTTTTATTATAATACTCTTGCAAATAGCATTGTACATATGTAGGGCACACATCTACATTGTTTGTGAAGCACATGTATGCAATGGTGCTTGTGCACCCATTCACTTCTTTGTGGTGATGAACGGCCTGGTCATGCCGACCATCTATGTAAGGAATTCGAAATTCCTTACTGAGGCTTGCTACAAGGCGTACGACTCAGACAGTCCGAACCAGCGATAGGGTTCCAGACCTTTCAGTTCGAGCCTCCTGGGCCTTTCCGGACCTCGCTTCGACACATCGAGGCCCTTCGACACCTTTCCCGAACCTTCCGATCCTACGTCCAGGATCACCCGAGGTTCCCTATATATTGCTCTGTCTTTCATTTTATTGTCATTCACTCGTTCACAATTTCGCCATTGCCCTCCGCGCTACTCGGCAGTTCCATTCATAACAATCTACAAGATCTTCGCACTTGCACTGTAACGGTTTCAACGCATCCGTTACGTTGAGTGGCTGACGGATCATTGACCAGGTCGTTTCAGGTCGTTCAGTCCGCTTGCCTTCCATCCATCTGCCACATCCACTGAAGCCTGGGAGCAGGGAACGAAAGAAGAGACATCTCCCACCCACACCAGCATACTGAGGACGCGCTACATTGCGTCCGTTTTGCAAGATCGCGTGTTTTTTTCTCCCGATTTCAACATGTTTTTCCGAAATCGATTTCGACATTCACAACTGATCTTCGGATTCGATTTCATACCCGCTAAAAGCATGTCCCAGATTCGCAGCTTCTGATCCTCGATAACATTTTGCTGCCCTGCAAATGCTTGTCTCGCCAACAAAATTCGCCAGGACACAGCAACCAGCCTACTATTTCGTATAAACACTTGAACCACTATTTTTCACCTGTTATGGTTTCGCTTCGCGAACTCACGAAACTCTGTAGATTTCGTGACTGTTCGGGGTGGGCAATCTGGTACTTTGGCGCGCAAATCGACCGTCCGATGTAAAACCGATTTGGCGCAATTGTCGGGAAAGTGATCTTGTGAGACACTCTTGGTACCTGCCCTTTTTGGGGACTCTGTAGTAGTATGGTAACCCGTTCTATACAGAGCGAGGATCGCGAAACGATCGTCGAACCAGACGAAATGTACCGCGTCCTGAGTGGAGTGTGAAAAGTGACAACTGTACAGGTCAGTCACAGTACGTACGGAAGAACCTGGTGGGAGGAGCGTTCCACGAAGTGTTCCTTTCTGTCGTGCTGTTCGAGGGGGCAGCAGTATCCCGCCACGGCGCATGTGCGGGCACGGTCTTCACCAAACCGGATCTCGGTCCGGACCGAACCTAACAGAACAGATTGGCCTCTTATGGACCAGACCTTCACCATTCCCAGACACGCGAACGAGGGCGGGTTCGACTCCGTGTCAAGCGTGTGGTACAGCCCTACCTGACACGTGGAAGCGCATACTGCACGGGTGTCAAGGGAGTTTGACGCTGTCGGCAATATTTCCCGCTCTCACAAACCGGTGGAAATCGCGTCTACTAGTCAGTTTCAGTGTCGCATATATTAACAGACCAAAAGTCGCGAAACAAACTGATCCAATTGGAATGCACCACGACCTGGGTTTGCGACAAACGAATTGTTAACAAATCTCGCGCGACCTCGCTAGTGCTACCTGACGACACTTTCAGAGGTCCTGTCGTCAATGGTCGCGCAGTGGCTGTTAGGTCGACCTGTCCCGCGGGTCAGCTCGCCAATCCTTATACAGACAATCTGACACGCGGTATTTTCCCTGACTGCAAGTCAGCCCATCGAATCGAGGCGGGCGCAGGTTTGGAGAATGGTCGGTGGCCTCCCTTCAGCCCGCCAGCCTCCTCTCCTCCCCTCCGCTCAACATCTTGCGCCAAACTCTCCTTCACGCCCTCTCCGCCTTCAGCCTGCCCTTCCAGACTTGCCACAAGGGCACTTTCACTGCCCTACAAGACAGTACAGTATCAGCCCAACCCTGCAGCTTTTTCAGGGGAGTGAACATGTTCATTAGTTTTAGTGAACGGTGCCGTCCTTATTGTGAAAGTCTCGGATACGCCAGCCTGTCACTGCGGGAGTATGCTCGTGACGCGAATAGGCTTGTGACTATATTAGGCTTGTGACAGTAATCGACCTGGGACGGTAATTGTCCCGTGCCATCAGCACGAGAAAATCACAATAGCTCTGATATTAGGCTTCTGAGTCAACTTTCAGTACTCACCTTGACATCAGCGCGGAAAAATCGTATTTCGAGTCGACTCAAAATCGTATCCAGGGGGAATTATTCACGATTCTTCTCAGACTAGATGGATGCGTTAACTGTAGCGACTCTCCCACGTTTTCCGCATTAGAAGCGAGACGTGCTTCCAGGTGCTTCATAACGCGACTGACCGCCAACTTATCTGATGAACCGTGGGTAATGAGACTATTTTTTAGTCGACTCCAAAATGGGCGCCGTGCGTGCCGCCCTTGTCATTGTACTAACGAAGGGCAAGTGAACTAATTGTCATTTCCGTTAGTGAGTAGGCCCATAACCACTGTCGGCCTTACTTGGCTTCGCAACGAATAATACTAATCATCGCGCCTCAATCAGAGTGAGTCACTAACGGGTATCGGCAGCAGGAGGCGGTTAGAGTCCGGTGGAAGGCGGTCGGTGGAGTTCGGTAGAGACCGGTACACATGGAAGCAGAGGAGACAGAATGGGACACAGAAACAGGAACGGCGGTAGAAACTGGCGAAAAGCTGGCCCCGTTACAGGAACGGTTACTAGCGGAAGGTTCGTCCGAGCCTGCTGGCTCGGGAAGACCCGAGCCTGTTGGTTCGGTGAAGTACGGACCAGCAGGCCGTAGGCTCGGAGTGTCCGTGCCTCGGATGGTTCACTCGAGCTCGCTAAGCGCGCCGAGCCCGAAGACGCCCGTGGTACCGACTCCGGGCAGAAAGAGATTTTCACGGGCAGCTGGGGCAGGCGAAGGGGCAGAGAATGGAAAGAAAGCTTCCGCAGTATTTGCTCGTAGTACGAGCGTCAGCCTGCCCGTGAGAAATGTTTTGGTGCTTTCTGGCGGGGAAAAAGGTGGAAGGGAGAGTGGCGGGAAGGGTAAGAGCCGTGGGGAAGGGCAGCGGAGAGAAGGGGAGGGTGAGGCGGAGAAGGAGGAGGGGTACGGGGAGGGGTGGAATGAGCGGCGACAGGCGCAGGCGGAAGCTGTGACACGTGCCATGCAGAGATTGGACGTGGGGAAGGAGGGGAGGGTGGCTGAAGTCGCGGCAACTCCAAGGGTAAATTTCGATGCCCCATGAAACCTATAATCCTGATTTTGCTTTATTAGATTAGTGTCACTGCGATCTAACTGTCCCGAAGCAATCCATGTAGCGCCAAACCATGCCACACCATGCCAGACCAGAGGCGTCAGCAGCACATGCTGCAGCGAGCAGCAGCATGTGCTTCTTCCTTCTCGCGAGCAGCACATGCTGTGCTTCTTCCTTCTCGTTTTTCCACCCCTTCGCAAACATCTGCTTCTTCCTCCCTCCCCCCCAAACGCCCCGCCCCCCCCGCCCCTCCACCCCCCCCCCCCCCCCTCTTCTCCTCCCCCCACCTTCCCCCCTCCGCCCCTCCAACCACTAAAGGAGGAGCGTTCACTCCGTTTGTCGCGCCAGCAGAAGTGCCAACGCTTGCAGCGAGCAGCAACCGCCCTGTTGCAACCTTCCCATTCTCCGTGCTTCGTCCAACCCTAACCCCTCCACCCCACACCACAGGCAGAGCGATCCCTCCGCTTATCCCGCCTGCAGAAGCGCCAGCGCATGCTGCAGCGAGCAGCAACCGCATTGCCTAACTTCTCCCTCCCTCCCTCCCTACCTCCCTCCCTTCCTCCCCCTTTCCTTTGCCCCATTCCCACAGGAAGAAAGTTCTCTCCGCCTTTCCCGCAAGCAGAAGCGCCAGCGCATGCTGCAGCGAGCAGAAACCGCATTGCCACAACTGGCGCAGCGCGTGTCAGAGGCGCCTCGCTTCCGATTGGACGATTTTCTGGCGGCGCTTGACAGCCTGGCAGCGCTTCGGGGGAAGCTGAGAGGGGCGCTGGAGGAGGAACAGAGGGAGGAAGAGGAGGAGGAGGAGAGGAGGGAAGAGGAGAGGAGGGGGGAGGAGAGGAGGAGGGTCAGGGGTAGCGAAGATGACGAGTTTAGGGCAGAGGTTGGCACGCTGGAGAGTAGTGCGGGTGTAGGGAGCGAAGGAGAACGAGAAGAGAAAGGGGAGGGAGGGGAAGGGAAAGAGGAGATTTCTGGGTCAGGAAGGAGAGAGGGCGAGGGTGGTAGTCGGGAGGAGAAGGAAGGAGTGAGAGTGGGCGAGGTGGACAGAGGCGCAGGTGTAAACGCAGGAGCAAACGCAGGAGCAAATGCAGGAGTAAACGCAGGAGTAAACACAAGAGTAGCCACAGGGGATGATGATGCTGGTGCTGGTGCTGATGGTGATGGTGATGGTGGTACTGATAGTCAGAAGTATATGGCAGATCTAGAGGAGGGAGGGGAGGGGCTGGAAGCAGCTGGTGGAAGAGGGGTAGTGAGAAGGCTGCATTTGGACGGGGGGGTAGAAGAGAGGGATGCGAGGGATGCGAGGGAGGAGAGGGAGGAGAGGGAGGAGAGGGAGGAGAGGGAGGAGAGGGAGGAGAGGGAGGAGAGGGAGGAGAGGGAGGAGGAAACGGACAGGGAAACCGCCTCTCCCGTTGCTGCTATCGATCTTGCTGCTACCCCCGTGCTACAATGGGATGTGCTTGTAAGCGTGGAGGCTGTTATCGAGGATGCTCTTATGCTGCTGGAAGACGAGTTCGAGGCAACCCTCTCCAAGCACGGGTGGGTTTGCGTCTCCTCCTGTCGTCAGCCTCATTGCTGAGTTTTCCCTTGCTTGTTGTAACTTGTAAGCGTGGAGGCTATTATCGAGGATGCTCTGAGGCTCCTAGAAGTCGAGTTCGAGGCAGCTCTCTCCAAGCACGGGCGAGCTACTCTCACGCATTCGTCCTCCTTCATTTCCCCTTCCCGTTCCCCTTCCCCTTCCCCTTCCCCTTCCCCTCTCCTGTTCCCCCCTGCCCTTATTTCAGCAAGCCCCTGGGCCTTCCAACTCTCAAGTCTGCCCTCCACGCCCAGAATTTGCCTTCATTCGTCTCCGCTCCCCGCTTCCCCCTCCCCATCACCCCCCCCTCTCCCCCGTGCAGCAAGCCCCTGGACCTCCCGACCCTCAAGTCTGCCCTCCACGCCCAGAATTTCGCCACCGCTGCTTGTGGTGCCAACGCTGGTGCTGCTGGTGGTGCTGCCAATGTTGGGGCACCAGGTACAGCGCCCTCCCTTCGAGCGCGCAGGGCCACTGGCCTCACCCCCATCACCACCCGCTTCACCCGCACCTCCTCTGACTTCTCCCTCGCTGCAGTCGCATCCGCCAGAGGAACCACAAACGCGCTTATAAGCCCGCTTGCTCACCGCAGTTTGGCTGCTGGCTCTGCTGCTCCCCGCAGCCCTGCTAGTCAGAATCCCGGCCCGCGCTCCCCTGGCCTCCGCACGCCAGGACAGAACTTGCCGCCCTTTTCCCCGTCTTCTCGCCGCCTTTTTGCGGTTCAGCAGCAGCAGCAGCAGCAAGATTGGCAGCAGCAGCATCAGCACCAGAACCAGCATCAGCAGTACCAGCACCAGCACCAACATCAGTATCAGCAGCAGCAGCAGCAGCATGGGCACAGGCCGGATCAGGGCCGCTTGTGGAAATCCTCCTCTAGTTTCCTCTTTGACGACCCCATGATGATTGAGTTCAATGCCTCCCTGGCTGATGCTGCCGCTACTGCCGCTACTGCCGCCACTGCTACTGCTACTGCCACTGCCACTACTGCTGCTGCTGGTGGTGCTGCTGCTGATAGTGGAAGTGGTGGCGCTGGTGGTGCTAGTGCTGGTGGTAGTGCTGCTGCTGATGGTTCTCATGTTCCAGCAATCATTAGTCCGACAGGTGGTGCAACCGGAAACAGCAACAGCATTCACTCCCCCCATAACAGTAACACTACCCTCAAGAGCAAGTCCGGTAACCGCATAATCATCCCCGTTAGCGTAACCGGCAGCAGCACGGGCAGTGAACCCCCGTCTGAAAGCCCCACAGCGCAGTCTATGCTCTCCCCTCCTTGCTCCGACGCCTCCCCTCCCTCTAACCTCATCAAGACGATCAGCAGCAGCAGCAGCGCCAGCAGCACTGGATTCCTCTCCCAGGATCATTTGGGGCAACTAACTGCTGCTGCTGCTGCTGTTTCCGGTGCTCCTGGTGCTGCTGGTGCTGCTCCCAGTGCTCCCAGTATTCCTGGTGTCCCCAGTGCTGCTGCTGCTGCTGTTACTGGTTCTGTTATTGGTCCTGGGGGCCTTCGCCCCATGTTTTCTGGCCCTCTCCCCTCCACAGCTGGCTCGAATTCACCCTACAACCCCCCCTACACGTCTGGTTACATACCCCATAACGCGTATGCTTATAACGCAGCAGGGTCTTCGTCCTTCTCCTCTTCTGCCTCCGCCTCGCCCTACGCCCGGCCCACTCCCCCACGCATCACCATCCCCATTCACCCAGACGACGACGACGCCGAACCTGACTCCAACGATTTCCCAAACCTGACGCCAGGTTCGGCGGCCAGGGCCGGGAATGCCGCGCCTGCGGGACAGCCAGGCCAGGAGGGTCGGCTGTCTACAGTGCAGGAGGATCAACGGAAAAGCAGGCAACTTAACAGTATCAATAGCAGCAGCACCAATAGCAGAAGCACCAACAGCAGCAGCGCCAATATTAGCAGTACTCCTAGGTCCCTTGAGAACCGGTCCCCCTTAAGTTCCGATCCTCGATCGGTAAACCCCTCTCCTGCCCTGTCTCCTTCTCCATCTGCTGCTGCTGCTGCTGCTACTGCTGCTGCTGCTGCTGGTGGCAATGGTGCTTGTTCTCCTCCTACCGGTGCTGCCAATCGCACTAAACTTGTGGCCTTTTCTTCTCCATTGCGGGGAAAGGGAGCGAGGGCCAGAGGGGAGAGGGGCACAAGCATAGGCAGAGCAGCAGCAGGAGCAGCAGCAGGGGGAGCAGCAGGGGGGTTGGAGGCTGTGGATTGGCGGGTGGCGTTTAGTGAGTGGGGCGAGTGGTTGCCAGTGGCGGAGATAGGGTGGTTACGCAAGATGGCAACGCGGATCGTGGCGAACGGGGGGCTCACCCGCTGCTGTGCCCGATACTGGTGAGTGTTGGTGTGTGTGTGGGGGGGCGAAAGGGGGTGTTGGTGAGTAAGAATTACTGTTAGTGTGTTAGTCATTGTCACATTTAGCCCCCCATTCACCACGATCCGCGTTGCCATGGGCGAGTGATATGAGTAGTGGAGATAAGATTTCAAGAAACGTCTCAAGACTCGTTTAGTGAGTGGGGGGAGTGGTTACCAGTCCTAGATGCTGATCTCCCTGTGTTCCCACCACCCTTCCCACTACTGTCTTTCGCAGCGCCGCCCGCGGGCCGAGCATAGCGAGTGGCAGCGCTTGTCTGGACCTGAAGGAGCGCAGTGCTGCTGAGCTGGAGGGCATGCCGTGGGGCCAGCTGGAACCCACCATCAAGACATGGCTGCGGGATGCCAACATCCTGGTAGGTGGTAGTGGATGGAGATATGCTGGGAGGTACGTATAGTATAGGATAGGTAATGACTGCCCTTTTGCATGGGTGTCCCGCTGAGCTGGAGGGCATGCCGTGGGGCCAGCTGGTAACCCAGCATCAAGACATGGCTGAGGGATGTCAACATTCTGGTATGTGGTGGGTTACTGGATATTGCTGTGCATATGGTGTGTTTGCCCCTGTGTGCGTGCATGTCCACATGCCGTGGAGCCAGCTGGAACCCACCATCAAGACAAGACAAGACATGGCTCAGAGATGCAAGCATACTGGTAAGTGTGAGATGCTGTCTTGGTATGTGCCCATGCGTGCCTGACAACATGCCATGGGGCCAGCTGGTAACCCACCATCAAGACATGGCTGAGGGATGTCAACATTCTGGTATGTGGTGGGTTACTAGATATTGCTGTGCATATGGTGTGTTTGCCCCTGTGTGCGTGCATGTCCACATGCCGTGGAGCCAGCTGGAACCCACCATCAAGACAAGACAAGACATGGCTCAGAGATGCAAGCATACTGGTAAGTGTGAGATGCTGTCTTGGTATGTGCCATGCGTGCCTGACAACATGCCGTGGGGCCAGCTGGAACCCACCATCAAGACATGGCTGAGGGATGTAGGCAGATACACTGGTATTGACCTGGAGCCGAGTAGACTGTATTCGTTATGGGTTCCTCAGGTCTACACTAGGATGTGGATGTGGATGTGGTGGGGTGGGGTGGGGTGGGGTGGGGTGGGGTGGGGTGGGCTGCTAAAGTAGTTGACCACATGGTGTGCGTCCAGCCTAGGTATGCACGACAATGATACCATGAGGACAACTACTCAGCATGCCATGGAGCCAGAGCTATTTTGAGTCGACTCAAAATACATCCAGCCTAGGTATGCATGACAATGATACCATGACGACAACTACTCAGCATGCCATGGAGCCAGAGCTCGAGTGTAATGTGTCTGTTTCTGAGTCGACTAAAAAACAGACTCATTACACTAGGTATGCATGACAGCATGCCATGGAGCCAAAGTTCGAGTCGTAGATAGATTACAGGTGGGCTGTGGAGGCCTTATTTCCATCAAATATGTAGGTTAGTTCAGCAAAACGAACTCCATAGGGCGAGATCGCTCTATCTCCCCCCCCCCCTCCCTCTCTCCCCTCTTTCTTCATGACACCCTCCCCTTGTGACTTTTGAGTCGACTCAACAGTCGCCTCGTTGAAGTCCCCTTTTGAGTCGACTCAAAAGTCACCTCGTTCAAGTCCCCTTTCGAGTCGACTCAAAAGTCGCCTCGGTCTGCATGACACCCTCCTCCTCCCCTCGCTCTCGTCCCCCTTCATACCTGGGTGCTACTGGAAAGGGAGTGTGTAATGAGTCGATTTTTTAGTCGACTCAAAAATCGCTCTCGTCCCCCTTCAGACCCGGTTGCTACTGGAAGGGGAGCGCCTCCTCTCGTCTCTGAAGCTGCGCTAGAGGACGCCCCACCCACAGCTTGATTGCTCCTCTTCTTCCCACACTCTCTTCCCCCCCCCCCCCTCTCTCCCCTCCGTTAGATCCGGGTGCTGCTGGAAGGGGGCGCCCCCTCTGCGAGGCAGTCCTAGGGGTTGACCCAGAGCTCAATCCCTCCAACCCTTAAGCCCCTCCACACCCCCGTGACCCCGTCCCCCCACCCCTCTCCACCCCTCTCAATCCCTCTTTCAGATCCGGGTGCTGTTGGAAGGGGAGCGCCTCCTCTGCGAGGCAGTCCTGGAGGACGCACCAGAGCTGGATGCGGGCGGCGTGTATCGGCAGCTTCTGTCGGCGTCGCCGTGCGTGGAGGGCTCGGTGGGCAAGCTGGTCGGCACGGCGCGGTCTATTGCCGGGCTGTCTCGATCCCCTGAGAAGGTGTTCAGCTTCATCGAGATGTTCCGCGCTGCCACGGGGCTGCAGGAACAGGTATGTTGCTGTGAGAGAGGGCCAGGAGCAGGTGACGGGCGGGGTTGGGTATGTGTGCGAAGAGAAGCTGGTTGGCACAGCCTGGTCTATTGCTGGGCTGTCTCGATCCCTGGAGAAGGTGTTCAGCTTCATCGAGATGTTCCGTGCTGCTGCAGGAGCAGAGCAGGTATGTTGCTGTGAGGGAGAAGGGTTAGGAGCAGGTGTGGTGTTGTGAGGGAAAAGGGTTGGGGTGTGTGCTGGCCGGCCCAGGTCCCCAAGGGTGTGTGCTGGCCGGCTCAGGTCCCCAGGTCTCCTGAGAAGGTGTTCTTTTGAGTCGACTCAAAAGTCACCTACGTGTTGCCACAGGTGTATTGAGATGTTCTGCGCTGCCACGGGGCTCCAGGAGCAGGTGAGTAATGAGTCGATTTTTGAGTCGACTAAAAAATCGACTCATTACACACGGGGCTCCTGGAGCAGGTGAGGCTAGGGAAGGGAGGGAGCATGCAGGCCGAGCTGACTTCCCTCCCCTCCCCTCTCCTCTACTCCTCCCCTTTCTCCTTCCCCTCTTCCCTTCCCGTCTGGTGCAATCCGTGCTGATAGCAGCAGCGGGGGTGGGTGGGGGAGCCCTATGGCCCCAGTGGCAGGCACTCCCTGCTCTCCTTGCCGCAGCCGTGTTTGAGACCATAGGCGAGCTTACTTCCCTCCCCTCCCCTCCCCTCCCCTCCCCTTCCCTCTTCCCCTCCCCTTTGTCTCCCCCCTCTTCCCTTCCCTTTAGGTACAATCTGTGCTGATAGCAGCAGCAGGGGTGGGCGGAGGGCCCTTATGGCCGCAGTGGCAGGCACTCCCTGCTCTCCTTGCCGCAGCCGTGTTTGAGACCATAGACGAGCTCAAGAGCACGCTGACAGACGTGGGCGGGTTCACCCCAGCTGCTCAACCCTCGCCTGTGGCCCCTAAGAAGAAGCTGCTTAGCAGGTTCGTGTCTGGAAGACTGCTTCTGTGCTTGTTTGAGACCATAGAAAGGTTAGTGTCAGGAGGAGCCGTGTTTGAAACCATAGACGAGCTCAAGAGCACGCTGACAAACGTGGGTGGGTTCACCCCAGCTGATCTGCCCGCGCCTGTGGCTCCCAAGAAGAAACTCCTCAGCGGGTAAGCCCTGGCAATCCGTGCTTGAGTCTATTACTCAATTTGTGTTTGAATTGAGACGAAAGGCGAGCTCAAGAGCACGCTGACAGATGTGGGTGGGTTCACCCCAGCTGATCAACCCTTGCCTGTGGCCCCTAAGAAGAAACTCCTCAGCGGGTACGTGTCTGGCAATTTGTGCCTGAGACAGATGTGGGCGGGTTCACCCCGGCTGCTCAGCTCGCGCCTGTGGCAGATACGTGTCTGGAAGACTGCTTCTGTGCTTGCGACTGTAGACGAGCTCAAGAGCGGCGGTGTTTGCACCTTGTTTGGCAGATGTGGGCGGGTTCTCTTCTCTCCTGCGGGCTCTCTTCTCTCCTGCAGGCTCTCTTCTCTCCTGCGGGCTCTCTTCTCTCCTGCTCCTCAACCCTTGCACAACGCACCATAGAGCACCCACCCCTCCTCCCCAACACCTCATAGAGCACCCACCCCTCCTCCCCAACACCTCATAGAGCACCCACGCCTCCTCCCCAACACCTCATAGAGCACCCACTCCTCCCAAACACCTCATAGAGCACCCACGCCTCCTCCCCCCTACCACTCCCCAAACTTGTCTTTCCTCACATTCCATTCTCGCAGGATAATTTCCTGGAAGGCGCAGGAGGTTAAGAGCCAGAGCGGGGATGACGTGGACGTGTCGGTGCATGCGGTTACCAGCTATGTGGTTAACTACATAGGGCAGCTGCTGGACAGGTACGGACGGCTTTTTATTTTTTGTTTCGTCAAGTACGAATGTGCAGTTACCAGCCCGAACCATTTTCAACCCCTCCCTCTCTCCTCCTTTCACGCCCTCCCCCTCTCCCTCCCTCCCTCCTCCCACCTCTCTCTCTCATTACCCTTTGCATAAATTCCTGAGCCCACTATTCTGGTGTGCTGCGCTGGAGGATATTTACTGGGCCGTGAGGATGGGGAGGTGACCGATTCAACCCCTCCCTCCCTCACTCCCCCTCTCACTCCCTCGCCCCCTCCCTCACTCCCCCTCTCACTCCCTCGTCCCCTCCCTCCCTCCCTCCCTCCCTCACTCCCTCACTCCGCCTCTCACTCCCTCGTCCCCTCCCTCCCTCCACCACCCCTCTCACTGCGTTTTGCAGAACCTCCCACGCGAGCTGCTGTGCGGTGCTGGAGGATATCTACAAACAAGAGCCATGGGGCAGAATCTTTTCATTTCAACCTCTCCCACCCTCCCTCCCTCCCCCCCTTCCCCTCTGCCCTCCCCCCCTTCCCCTCTGCCCTCCCTCCCTCCCCCCCCCCCTGCCCTCCTGCCCTTCAGAACCTCCCGAGCCAACTACTGTGCGGTGCTGGAGGATATCTACAAGTGCCATGGGGCGGACCATCTAAGAGGCAGCACCCACCATCCGGAGCAGGCGCTCCACATGGTGCAGAGAGCAGGGATGCCGAAAGCAGCAGCAGCAGCAGCAGCGGTAGAAGCACCGCTGGTATGTGAGGGGAGTGAAGAGGCGAAAGAAAAGCAGAGGGAGGGGAAAGGGCGCGGAATGGACCCTCCTCCTTCCTCCCCTGCATCGCCCCCTAGAACCCCTAGTCTCCCTTCCACCGCCGCTCATACCGCCCTAGATCCTACCCGCCCTCCTGCTGCTGCTGCTGCTGCTGCTGCTTCTGCTGGTGGTGGCAGTGGTGGTTTAAACTCCACCCCTGCGACTCCAAAAGAGAACACGCGGGAGGCCCAGGGCTCTCATTCACAGCAGCATCAGGAGCAGCAGCTAGGCAGCATCAGCAACAGCAAAAGTGGCGGCAGCGGCGGTGGTAGTGGCAGCAAGCAGGCCAGGGGGAGCGTGAGGCAGAGGAAGCGGCAGCTAGGGGCGGACATGGAGGCGCTGCTGGATGCTCTTTATCTCAACATGGAGGCGCGAGGGCGGACTATCGCGGACGGACCTTTATCCGCGCTCTTTGTGCTCAATAATGCCAACTACATCGCTTCCTCCATGTGAGTACAATCAGTTTCTCCTTGGAATGTGCTGAGAAGCTGCAGTGGGACATTGAGTGAGGCAGAGGAAGCGACAGCTAGGGGCGGACATGGAGGCGCTGCTGGATGCTCTTTATCTCAACATGGAGGCGCAAGGAAGGACTATCGCGGATGGGCCCCTCTCCGCGCTCTTCGTGCTCAACAACGCCAACTACATCGCTTCGTCCATGTGAGTTCATTTCGAGTCTACCACAGACTCGAATTGAGTGGTTGTGATGTGAGGCAGAGGAAGCTCGAAATGAGTGGTTGTGGACTGTAGTGAGTGGTTGTGAGGGTACGAAGGCAGAGGAAGCAGCAGCTAGGAGCAGTCATGGCGGCGGCGCTGCTGGATGACTTTTGAGTCGACTCAAAAGTCATCTCGAAGGCAGAGGAAGCTAGGAGCAGTCATGGCGGCGGCACTGCTGGGCAACTCTCTCTCTCTGTGCTCTTCATCCTCAACAACGCCTACTACATCGCGTCCTCTGTGTGAGTTATTAGGTCACGCGTCATTGATGTGAGTTGTCCGGTACTTTAGCCCGGTGCAACAGGCTGATGGAATCGTGCTATTCCTCACCCTCCCCTTCCTTTACCCCCCCTCCTCCCCCCCGCCCCCTCCTCCACTTCTCCTCTGCTTCTCCTCCGCTTCTCCTCCACTTCTCCTCCACTTCTCCTCCGCTTCTCCTCCACTTCTCCTCCACTTCTCCTCCACTTCTCCTCCGCTTCTCCTCCACTTCTCCTCCACTTCTCCTCCACTTCTCCTCCGCTTCTCCTCCACTTCTCCTCCACTTCTCCTCCACTTCTCCTCCGCTTCTCCTCCACTTCTCCTCCGCTTCTCCTCCGCTTCTCCTCCGCTTCTCCTCCGCTTCTCCTCCACTTCTCCTCCACTTCTCCTCCACTTCTCCTCCACTTCTCCTCCACTTCTCCTCCACTTCTCCTCCACTTCTCCTCCGCTTCTCCTCCACTTCTCCTCCACTTCTCCTCCGCTTCTCCTCCGCTTCTCCTCCGCTTCTCCTCCACTTCTCCTCCACTTCTCCTCCACTTCTCCTCAACTTCTCCTTCCTTGTCCTTTCAGCTGCTCTAGTGGCATGCACGACGCCATCTGCCATTTTGACACGAGGCTGTGTTGTGCAGCATACTGGTATGTGAAGTCGTTCTAAATGTCTTCCCTCTCTCTCTGCCCCCCTCTCCCTTGTGTTTCTCCTCCTCCCAGCTCCTCTGGGCGAATGCGTGACGCCATCCGCCATTCCGATCGCCTTGCAGACTACGAGGCAGCCTTCGAACAGGCAGCACTATGCAAGGTACGGTGCATTGCACTGGGGGCAAGGTACAGTGCATTGCACCTGGTGCAAGGTACGGTGCATGGCACCGGTTGCAAGGTACGGTAATAAGAGTCTAGTTTTGAGGCGCCTCAAATACAGTGCATGGCACTGGGTGTGCATGGCACCGGGTGTGCATGGCACCGGGTGCAAGGTACGATGGTCTGGTGGCATGCGTGACACCATCCGCCAGTCCGACCACCTTGTGGACTAAGATGCGGCTTTTGAACGGGCAGCGCTGTGCAAGGTATGGATGGTGTGTGGGAGCACTGTGAAAGGGTATGGTGCAAAGTACGTTGCTCTGGCTGACTGCATGATGCCATCTGCCATTCCGACCGCCTGGCAAACTATGATGCAGCCTTTGAACAGGCAGCGCTGTGCAAGGTATTGTGCTTTGGCAAGAGCAAATCTAGTTATTCTTTTAGTTATCATGGAAAGTGTACGGTAGAGTGTCTTAGTGCAACCCCTCGTGCATGGAACGTTTTGTTTTTCGTCTAGTTATCATGGAAAGTGTAGAGTGTCTTAGTGCAACCCCTGCATGGTTTTCCATACCATCGTAGTCCATCCCATCCATCCCATTCATCCCTACCCCTCAGCTGCTGGCATGCTTGGAGCCATTGGAAGTGAGTGCCAAGATGAGTGCGGATGGCATCAAGCAAAGGTGAGCTCACATGCATGCATGCATGCATGCTTCATGTTGTTGTGCGCACGTGTTGAGCTGCATCATTCGTTTAAAGTGAGCGCCAAGATGACTGCAGCTGTCAGCATCAAACAAAGGTGAGCTTACATGCATGCTTACATGCATGCTTCATGCTGTTCTCCTCTCTTCTTTCCGCAAGCAGGTTGAAGCGGTTCAATGCGGTATTCGAGGAAGTAGCCCTGGAGCAGCGCCGGTGGCTGGTGCTGAGTGACAGCTGCCGCAAGGCCATGCGCGTGCGGTTTGCCAAGGTCATCAAGGGGTCATACATGGACTTTCTGACACCTCATAGGTGAGTGTACAGTGAAAGTTTTCCTCTTTCTAGTTAATATTCTTATTTTCTTTTGTGCTCGTAGGTGAGTTAAATTTGGTACGTCAAACTCAGTGGTGAGTCTGCGGAAAAGGCGCTTGCCTGACAAATAAGGTCTGGCGAGGGAGATCAGCTGACTCATTGATTTCCTCTCATTCAATAGACTGGAGAAAGCATACTACATCCGTCCACTCATTTGGGGGTTAAAAGATATGCCTTCGTGAAAGCTTGCTTCGTGTGACCAAGCAGGACACTGTGTTCTCCTATGTATATTGCTTATGCTCCATACCATATGCCCCCTTCTGTGCTGACTCACAGGGAGATTATATCAGACATTCCAACATACCATTGGTCCCCGGATGGAGTGGAAAGAATTATTCTGAAGAGCTTCTTCCTCGGTCGAAGCCTCCCTTGCGTCATGTCTGCTTGAGAATACTTAATCATGATCATGCTAGCGGCATACATTACCCTAAAACCGCAATGTATTGTTAGGGCATCGTTTAACATCTCACTAACATCCTTCAAATGTGGGTTCATCTAACAAGTAGGTAAAGCAATACCGCATCTTATGAGCTACCCTTGGGATGTCTTATAAATTATGTTAGTATGCCACACAATGATTAACCTAATTAGCTTGGTCCATTTTCGTACACTTCAATATCCTTACTGGAGCTCCCTCTGACGAAGATTCACCCCCTTTCCTCCCTCAATTCTACCGCTTTCCCTCCAAAAATAGCTCTCCAGCAACCAGACACCTCCCGCCGCCTTCCACGCTCGTCCCCGCCCAGTGTCCCCGGTGTCCCGCAGTTGCTGCGCCGTACTTCCGCTCCGCCCGGTTCTCCGCTGCGCCGATCCCCCGTTTCCCCGCTTCCGCTCGTTCCGCCCGCTATGTCATCCGCCAAGGCCGCCGGATCTCTGCTCCGCTTCATCCCGCCGTCGTACCTTCCGCAGCGGATGGACGCGCGGAGCGCCGTCACGTGGGGGACGACTGGAGTAATCGGCGCGCTGTGGCTGGTTCAGGTGCGACGGTCACGTCCGCGTTACAGGCATCACCGCATTATTCTGGTGTATAGTGTTGCGACGTTTGCCGTCGCATGGGGGTCGCCTGGAGTCATCGACGACGATCACTGGCTGGTAGAGGGGCGACAACTGCAGCCCGATCGTGACCGTCGAGTGCTAATAGATATTGCTGCACGATCTGCGATCCAGATTAACTCCGCGAGCGGCGGCGGAGATCCCGAATCTATCCTCCGCCAGTGATCCACCTATTGTTGTGAACGATTTAGGGATCCCGAAGCTTCCCTCCTATGCTGTCGCCTTCCTCACGAGTCGACTCGAAGGCCTTTCACGCTGTCTATCCCTGTATGCTTCCCTCCTATGCTGTCTCCTTCCCTCCTACGCTGCAGGACAATGTTAGCTCCTTAATCACGGTTCGCGCGGCTACAGTGCCTGTGGTTCCGGTCTGCTTTTCCTTGAGCACCAACCAGCACCGAGCACCACCGAGCACTTTTCTTAAGGAGTCATTCTGGCCTCTCCTCCCATCCCATATCCCCGCCCCTGCCTCTATCCCCCCATACCCCCGCCCTTGCCTCTATCCCCCCATACCCCCCCTCCCTGCCTCCATCCCCCCATACCCCCCCTCCCTGCCTCCATCCCCCCATACCCCCGCCCTTGCCTCTATCCCCCTATAACCCCCCTCCCTGCCTCCATCCCCCCATACCCCCGCCCTTGCCTCTATCCCCCTATAACCCCCCTCCCTGCCTCCATCCCCCCATACCCCCCTCCCTGCCTCCATCCCCCATACCCCCGCCCTTGCCTCTATCCCCCTATAACCCCCCTCCCTGCCTCCATCCCCCATACCCCCGCCCTTGCCTCTATCCCCCTATAACCCCCCTCCCTGCCTCCATCCCCCCATACCCCCCCTCCCTGCCTCCATCCCCCCATACCCCCGCCCTTGCCTCTATCCCCCTATAACCCCCCTCCCTGCCTCCATCCCCCCATACCCCCCCTCCCTGCCTCCATCCCCCCATACCCCCGCCCTTGCCTCTATCCCCCTATACCCCCCCTCCCTGCCTCCATCCCCCCATACCCCCCCTCCCTGCCTCCATCCCCCCATACCCCCGCCCTTGCCTCTATCCCCCTATAACCCCCCTCCCTGCCTCCATCCCCCCATACCCCCCCTCCCTGCCTCCATCCCCCCATACCCCCCCTCCCTGCCTCCATCCCCCCATACCCCCCTCCCTGCCTCTATCCCCCTATACCCCCCCTCCCTGCCTCCATCCCCCCATACCCCCCCTCCCTGCCTCCATCCCCCCATACCCCCGCCCTTGCCTCTATCCCCCTATAACCCCCCTCCCTGCCTCCATCCCCCCATACCCCCCCTCCCTGCCTCCATCCCCCCATACCCCCGCCCTTGCCTCTATCCCCCTATAACCCCCCTCCCTGCCTCCATCCCCCCATACCCCCCTCCCTGCCTCCATCCCCCCATACCCCCGCCCTTGCCTCTATCCCCCTATAACCCCCCTCCCTGCCTCCATCCCCCCATACCCCCCCTCCCTGCCTCCATCCCCCCATACCCCCCCTCCCTGCCTCTATCCCCCTATACCCCCCCTCCCTGCCTCCATCCCCCCATACCCCCCCTCCCTGCCTCCATCCCCCCATACCCCCGCCCTTGCCTCTATCCCCCTATAACCCCCCTCCCTGCCTCCATCTCCCCATACCCCCCCTCCCTGCCTCTATCCCCCTATACCCCCCTCCCTGCCTCCATCCCCCCATACCCCCCCTCCCTGCCTCCATCCCCCCATACCCCCGCCCTTGCCTCTATCCCCCTATAACCCCCCTCCCTGCCTCCATCCCCCCATACCCCCCCTCCCTGCCTCTATCCCCCTATACCCCCCCTCCCTGCCTCCATCCCCCCATACCCCCCCCTCCCTGCCTCCATCCCCCCATACCCCCCCTCCCTGCCTCCATCCCCCCATACCCCCCCTCCCTGCCTCCATCCCTTCTCTGCATGCAGCCCTTTGGTTGGCTCAAGGACCAGGTCTTTCCTCCCAGGGAGCCGTCCTCCTAGACTGCAGTCTTTCCCTTATTTCGACCCACTAACGTTGCCCTTCTCCTCCCCTGCCCCCTCCCCTGCCCCCTCCCCTGCATGCAGCCCTTTGGTTGGCTCAAGGACCAGGTCTTTCCTCCCAAGGAGACCTCCTCCTAGACTGCTACAGCTTCTGGAAATCTGGGTCAATCGAGAGCATTTCCTAGCACACCCCGCACCAAGATTGTTGAAGGCTGTTCGAAGACTCACCTATGCATTCCTGACGATGAAGTGGATACACTCTACTGTATCGAATCTCTACAGCCGCGCAGCTAATGGTATCAATTCCCAACCACTAGTGTACTGATACTCGGTCTACCAGAAAAAAAAATGCTCATAAGGGTTGTGATTTATCTAGCAATTGTCTGCAAGTCTTGCTTCGCAAGGAAAGGTTGTTACAGTGCAGCATTGCACGTTCAAAGTTGCCCAGCCACTTGATCCGGTTAACAGTCGCAGTGGCGAAGCCCCAAACCAATTATCGCCTGTTTAATCATTACACTTCCTAAATGAACATCCAGGCAGTCAGAAGAGTAAACCCCAAACCCTAGAGCATGCTGGAGAGGCTTCGGCCTGCCTTTCTCAGCGTGGAGGGGATCCGGTTCAGCGTAGGGTTGGGTGGGCTGTCCACTGCACACACCCATTGTCTACCACACCCACCCACACACCCAGTGCCCTGCAGGGTGGTCGACTCTTGAAACCTGGGGTGGCTTCTGCCTGGCTTGCTTTCTCAGCATGGAGGTGGTTTGGTTCAGCGCAGGGGTTGGTTGGGCTGTCCACTGCACACACCCATTGTCTACACTAGAGCATGCTGGAGTGGCTTCGGCCTGCCTTTCTCAGCATGGAGGTGATCCGGTGCAGGGTTGGGGAGTCCACGGCACACCCACTGTCTTGCAACTCCCTGCGATCAGAGATGGTGGGTGGAGGAGAGTGGACGGAGGGGAATGGGTGTTGTAAAAATAAACATATATATATATATATACAACATGCATGCCTAGATTAGGTGTAGTCATTATATTTATTGGGGGTTTGTTGGTTGGGTTGACCAACCCTACATTTGGGTTCTACATTAGGGTTGGTCAAGACTGGATTTGGTCCTAGACATTTGGTTGGCACTATTCCAACCAAATGGTCCTAAGAACCAACCAATCATCGAGCACCACACTTTGTGAGTGCTTGCCCTCCAAGCAACCTCTCCCATTGGTCCACATTGTGGCCAATAGGAGAGCTTCTCTTTCACCTCTTCCTTCCTCCTTGTTTGTACAATAGAGCCTCTTGGCTCCTTCCTCAATTATTCGCTTCTCCTCAAAGCTAGTTCCTTCAATGGGTATCTTGAGTTAAGCTCACCCCATGGCAGCATTGGGGTGATTCAGTGGAGGGTTGGGCTGTCCATGGCACACTCACAGTCTTGTTGCCTCCCTAAGGTGATTTTGAGAATTCTAAAAAACCCATGGCAAACTCACAGCCCTGTAGCCTCCCTAAGGTCTCCCAACTGCAAGTGCATGTCAGTCAGAATGATGCGCAACAAGTGGTAGGGCATCACCGCTGTGAGTCACCCACCTGAACAGCCTAATGGCCTCCCTAACTTGTAGCTATCCTTCGATCCCCTGACTGCACGTGCGAAACTTATGTTCAGCTTCACACTCTGATAGTCACAGAAGAGACCTGAACAGAGGGTGATGCCAAACGCTCACCTGAACAGCCGTGTGGCCTCCCTCACCGTCCTCATCTTTCTGAACAGCGCAGCAGCGTTGTTCACCATGCCCCATGTGCTGGCGCACCATGTGCTGGCGCACCATGCGCTGGCGCACCATGTGCTGGCGCACCATGCGCTGGCGCACCATGCGCTGTCGCACCATGCGCTGTCGCACCATGCGCTGGCGCACCATGCGCTGGCGCACCACGCGCTGGCGCACCACGCGCTGGCGCACCATGCGCTGGCGCACCATCTGCTGTCGCACCATGTGCTGTCGCTCCCAACCCCGTCGCTCCCTGTGCTGTCGATCCCAACCCACCTTAACAACCGTGTAGCCTCCCTCAGGTCTCCCGACTGCACGTATGTATCGATCAGAATCGCATACGACGCGTATATCTGCGTCACCCCTTCCGTCCTCATCCGTCTAAACGGCGCAGCAGCGTCATTCGCCATGCCCCATGTGCAGTTTCTCCATATGCTGGTTTTATGTGAATTCCAAAAACCAACTTACAGCATGCGCAGTTTCTCCCCTATGTTACCACCCTTTAACTCACCTGAACAGGCATGCCGATGCTCTCAAGTCCCCTGACTGCGGGTGCATGTGGATCGGAATCACGTATGCAACATGGTTGGGCTTGGGCGTCTATTTTTTAGGAGCCTAAAAAATAGGCTTCTCACCTTAGGCATGACCCCTTTTGAGTCGACTCTAAAGTCAGCCCCTTCCGTCCGGATCTGTCTAAACAGCACCGCAACATCGTGCACCATGCCCCATGTGCTTTTGAGGCGCCTCAAAAGCATGACCCCTTCCGTCCCGTCCGTATCCGTCTAAACAGCACCGCAGCATCGTGCACCATGCCCCATGTGTGTAGTGTCTCTCTCCCCTATTCTCCAACAACATTGTGCTCACCTGAACAGTCTGGTAGCCTCCCTCAAATCCCCCGACTGCGCATGCGTACGACTCGGAATGGCATACGACACATGGTCAGGCATCACCCTTGGTGAGTCCCATTAGAGACCTCATATCACCCAACGCTCACCTGAACAGCCTCGTAGCCTCCCTCAAATCCCCCGACTGCGCATGCGTACGACTCGGAATGGCATACGACACTTGGTCAGGCATCACCCTTGGTGAGTCCCGTTAGAGACCTCATATCACCCAACGCTCACCTGAACAGCCTCGTAGCCTCCCTCAGATCCCCCGATTGAGCATGCGTGTGGATCAGAATGGCATACGACACGTGATTCGGCATCACCCCCTCCGTCTTCATGCGTCTAAACAGTGCCGCAGCGTCGTTGACCATGCCCGCTCGCCGGTAAGCCGCTAGCATGGAGTTGAATGTCACTATGGAAGGCTTGAGTCCCGACGCCAGCATGCGGGCGAATGTTGTTGATGCGTCTAAGATACGCTCTGCCTTTCCATACCTGATTGCGGGAGGGGGGAGGGGAGGGGGGGAGGGGAGAAGAGGGTAAGAGAGGGATCATCAGCGAGCATGGCATTGACAGCGCAAGAGGCAGCCAGCATCGTTCACCGCGCCGGCATGCCTGTACACTGCTAGTATGGAGTTGAATGTCAGTATGGGCGGCTTGACGCCCGACGCCAGCATGCGGGCAAATGGGGTTGAGGCGTCGAGAATCCGCTCGGCCTTGCCGTAGCTGCATGGTGGGGGAAACAAGAGGGGAGGAAAAGAGAAAGAGGGGAGGAAAGGGAAAGAGGGGAGGAAAGGGATCAAAGGGGGCATGGGGTTGAAGGTCACATCACTATGGACGGTTTGAGCCCCGATGCCAGCATGCGAGCGAACATGGTTGAAGCATCGAAAATACGCCCGGCTTTGCCATAGCTAATTGGGTGCATGTGGGGGGGAGAGAGGGGGGGGGGGGGGGAAGGTAAGAGGGGAGGAGAGGGATGAACAGCGAGCATGGAGTTGAAGGTCACTATGGATGGCCTGTGACTGGATGAGTACAGTCACCCATCCATAGACCCCCCTCCCTTGACATCCTCATCCGCACTTTATGGTATAACCACTCACGTGTCTATCACGTTGGAGTAGGAGAGCACAGTAGGCGCTGGCCCGCACTGCACTTCTGCATCGCGGCAAACAGCGCCCCAGCCTCGTACGCCCCCCCCCCCCTCGATAATCGAATTCTCTACACCAACTCACGCGTCGATCACGTTGGAGTGGGAGTACACAGCAGGCGCTGGCCGGCACTGTACTGCTGCATCACAGCAAATAGCAGCGCTCTCATTTGCTACCGTCAAGTGCTCTCAGTAGGCGCTGGCCCGCACTGCTGCATTTCAGCAAGAAGTGACTACTCAACCTCACTTCCATATAATCACTCCTTCCCAGTCACTCCACTAGAGCCACTCACGCGTCGATCATGATGGAGTAGGAGTAGACGGTGGGCACCGGCCCGCACTGCTGCATCGCTGCAAACAGCCCTCCAGCCTCGTCCACACGCCCATTCTTCTCCAGGGCACTCGTTTCCGGACTCTCTTTAGTGATATCATTACTCACGCATCGATCATGATGGAGTATGAGTACACGGTGGGCACCGGCCCGCACTGCTGCATCTCCTCGAACAGTGCACCAGCTTCGTCCACCCGCCCGTTCTTCCCCAGGGCGCTCAGCATTGCGTTCCAGATCACCGCGTCTAGTCCCCTGCCCGACCCGCGCAGGCTGGTGAATAGCAGCTGAAGTAGGGGAGAGGAAGGAGAGGGGGGAGAGGAGGGAGAGGGGGGAGGAGTTGGGGGGAAGGAGAGGGGGGAGGCAGGGGGTGGAGCAAACAGCTCCCCAGCCTCGTCCACCCGCCCGTCTTCCCCAGGGCGCTCAGCATGGCTTTCCAGATCACCGCGTCCAGGCCTCTCCCTGACCCTCGCAGGCTGGTGAATAGAAGCTGATGAAAGAAGAGAGGACAGAGGGAGAGTACAAGGGTATGTCAAGGTGCGTCTTCCCCAGGGCGCTCAGCATTGCGTTCCAGATCACTGCGTCAAGTCCCCTGCCCGACCCGCGCAGGCTTGTGAAGAGCAGCTCATGTGGGGTTTGGGTTGGGAAAGGGGGGGGGAAGGAGGGGAGTGGAGGCGGGGGAGGGGAAGAAGAGCAGATTATTGTACCCGGTGATCATCGTGGTGTGGGCTTTCATGCTACTACCCTCCCTTCCTTACATCCCCTCCCCCCCCCCCCCCCCAAACTACACCCTCCCTCCCTTCCCCCTCCTTTTCTCTCACCTTTTCCTTATCCTCGAGCCCGTGCTTCCCATACACGCTGATCATCGCGGGCTTTCATGCTGTGGGCTTTGACTATCTCTCTTTCCTCCCTCCCCGTCCAACCTATCCCCCCTCCTGCCCTCTCTCGCCTCGGCCGTATCCACGAGCCCATGCTTCCCATACACACTGATCATAGTCGTGTGGGCGGGCTTATGACCTTCCCTTCCCCCCCCTCGCCATTACACTGGAAACACCTTCACAATCCTCCCTCTCCTCCCTCCCTCCCTCTCACCTTGGCCTTATCCACGAGCCCATGCTTCCCATACACGCTGATCATAGTCGTGTGCGCTGCCAGATCCGCAATGCTGCCAGACTCGTCCGCCTGGAGGGGTGCGTGCGTATGGGGCAAGTGTGGGGTGAGGTGGGGCGGGGTGTTGGGGCAGGAAGGAAGTACAGGCTGCAATCTGCTGTGCTTCCCATCCACACTGATCATAGCGGTGTGTGCTGCTAGATCCGCAATGTTGCAAGACTCATCAGTCTGGAGCGGGGGAGGTGTGGCGGAGGACAAACGTTGGGTGACATGCGGAATGCAGAAGGGGCCCATACATACCCATGCCCACCCACCAATACCCTCCACTGCATCGCCCTTCGGTGTCCAGGGGAATCATGCTATCCCGTACCCACTCACCAGTATCTCAGCAAACAGTGCCTCAGCAGCGTCCAGCTGCCCGGCCTTGCTGTAGGCGTCCATCATGGTGCTCAGCAGCACGGCATCCACTCTCCCCCCTCGCCTCCTCCCCCGGCTCCTCCCCCTGTGCCGCCTCTTGGGGGATGTCCCCCCTGCTGCTGCTGCTCCTGCTGCTGCCCCTGCTTCCGCTCCTGCTCCTGCTCCTGCTCCTGATCCCTCTGCTGCTGCTGCTGCTGTTCCTTCCACCTCCGCTTCCGCTTCTGCTCCTGCTGCTAGTACTTCCCTTCCCTCACCAGTGCCACTGCTGCTGCTGCTTCTGCTCCAAGTGCTGTTGCTTCTGCTCCAGCTGCTGACAGTATTTTCGCCGATGCTGCCCGGCTGAATCTGCCCGCTGCCCATGCCTCGGGCAGCCCGAAAGATTCTCACAGCGTCCCCAAGCCGGCCCTGCTTGGAGAAGAGCGAGATGATGGCGCTGGCGATCACGGGGTCTAGATGCCCGCTTCCTTGGGACTGGGGGGGGGAGAAGGAATTTGGGGGAGAAGGGTGGAATGGGAGGGAAGGGGGTTACTAGAGGCGAGACACAAAGGACGGAGAAGAGGGAGATGATGGCGCTGGCAATGACAGGATCCAGATGCCCGCTTCCCTGGGACTGGTGATGTGAGGAGACAGAGAGAGGAGGATTGGGAATGGAGGGGAGGGAAGCGTTTTGAGACATCTCAAAACGCGTCTATTATACCATGGGAAATGGAGGGGAGAGAAGCGGATGAGTCAATTTTTTAGTCGACTCAAAAATCGACTCATTACACACATCTATTATACCACGGCAAATGGAGGGGAGAGAAGCGGATGAGTCGATTTTTGAGTCGACTCAAAAATCGACTCATTACACACATCTATTAAACCACGGGAAATGGAGGGGAGAGAAGCGGATGAGTCGATTTTTGAGTCGACTAAAAAATCGACTCATTACACACATCTATTATACCACGGCAAATGGAGGGGAGAGAAGCGGATGAGAGGAAGGAGATGGTGGCACTGGCAACTACGGGGCCTAGATCGCGGGGGGGGGGCCAGCGGATGGTACAATAGACGCATCTTGAGACATCTCAAGACTATATAAACACACAAGGGGAGAGACGCGGATGAGAAGGGGGGGTTGCTGGTTGGCGCTGGCAGCAACGGGGCCTAGATGGCCGCGCAGCAGAGGAAGATTCCTCCAGCAGTCCCAGTCAGTGCTACACGCCAATCATGGACGTCAGCACTGGCATGCCCACTGCACATCCCAGGTGTTATCTGGCACTGTGCGGCACCGCACAACACCGCACACTACCTCAGCATCACACAGCACACCTACTCGCACCACTTACAATTGCATCCATGGCAGCAGCAGACGCCTCCTCTAGCAGTCCCAGGCGGTGGTAAACACCAATCATGGACGTCAGCACGGGCATGTCCAATGCACATCCCAGGTGCTACCACGGCACCGTGCGGCACCGCACAACACCACACACTACCGCACAGCATCTACTCACGCCACTTACGATCACATCCATGGCAGCAGCAGACGCCTCCTCCAGCAGTCCCAGGCGGTGGTACATGCCAATCATGGACGTCAGCACTAGCATGTCCACTGCACATCCCAGGTGGGACCTGGCACCGCACGGCACCGCACAATACCTCTCACTGCTGCACAGTACCGCACAGCACCTACTCACACCACTTACTATCGCATCCATGGCAGCAGCAGAGGCTTCTTCCAGCAGCCCCAGGCGGTGGTAAACGCCGATCATGGACGTCAGCACTGGCATGTCCACTGCGCACCCAGCTGCCTTCATTTCCTGGAAGGTTCTCAGCGCTTGCTCCAGCTTGCCGTGCCGAGCGAACATGGCAATCATGGCACTGAACACGTGCGAATCAGGCTGGAAAGGAGGGGGTGGTGGGGGAGGGAGGGGGTAAGGGGATGGGGTCTGTTTCTAAGAGGGCACCTCTATGCTCCAGCTTCCGTGCCGTGCAAACATGGCGATCATTCCACTGAACACGAGAAATCCGGCTGGAAAGGAAGGGGGAGGGGGAAAAGAGAAGGGAGGCAGGTGGGAACTAGACTTGCCGTGCTGCCGAGCGCACATGGGAATCATTGCACTGAATACGTGTATATCAAGCAGAGAAATGTGGGGATTGAGGTGCGTGGGGGGTGGTTACGAGAGGGGGATGGGGGGGAAGGTGAGATGTAGAAGGGAAGAGGGACCACAAGACTGAACTGGAGGTAACATCAGGCCGATTAGGAAAGAGGAAGTGGTGGAGGGAGGAAAGCAGAAGAGAAAAGGGATATGCAAACAACTCCCCCCCCCCCTCCCACTCCCTCCACCCCTTCACACACACTCACCTGGACACCCTGATCTTTCATTCTTTCAAACAGCCCGACGGCTTCTTCAACCTGCCCGGAGCGGCTGAGCAGGCCAATGAGAGAGCAGCATGAGTACACGTCGAGAGGCACGTCCATATCGAGCATGAGGGCGTGCAGTCGGCGGGCGGCAGAGAGGGAGGAGGAGGAGGAAGGCAGGGAGGCGTAGAGCGAAAAGAGAGTGTTGAATGTGACGGTGGAGGGGTAGAAGCCCCGAGTCATGAGACGCTGTGGGCAACAGGAAAGGAGGGAGAGGGAAGCGATCGAAGAGGGAGGGAGGACACGGGGTTAGCAAGGCAGGGCGGAAACGATAGGTAGAAGGGAGTGTGTGTGTGTGTCGACGGTCACTATCGAGCATGAGGGCGTGCAGGCGGCGGGCGGCAGAGAGGGAGGAGGAGGAGAAAGGCAGCGAGGCGTAGAGCGGAAGAGAGTGTTGAATGTGACGGTGGAGGGGTAGTAGGAACCCCCGGTTAGAGCTTAGGGCGTGGAAACTGAGTTCTTAAAATGAGTACTAAGGCGGATTTAACAGTGTTCAGCCACTCATGGATTTGAGGCCACTCATGGATTTGAGGCCACTCATGGTTTTGCCCAAGTGTTCAAATCCCTCGTCCATACATCCCTCGTCTCTACTCTCGCCCATGTTCGAATCACGCCCATGAAACTCAAGCATACTTTGAAGGTGTGCTCTGCCTTGTCCACATCCCCTTCGCCGCTGCTTGAGGAGTCCTATTTTTGAGGCGCTTCAAGAATAGACTCCTCTCGCCCATCTTCAAATCGTGCTCCCAAGACTCAACCATACCTTGAGGGTGTGCCCTGCCTTTACCACACACGCATTCGCCATCGCCGCAGCCCAGCCGCCGCCACCGCCGCTTTGGCATGCGCAACGAGTAGTATTGTATCCCCTTTGCCATGTACCCCTTGTCTCTGCTCCCGCACACCTTTACTCCACGTACGTATCGGGCCTACCTTGAAAGTCTGCTCTGCCTTGTCAATGTCCCCCGCCTTGGCATACGCGTTCAGCAGCGAGTTGTACGCATTCAGAGTCGGGCCAAACCGCGGCGGCGACTGCCCCCGGCTCGTTCCCTCCACCAGCGACCCACTCCCTCCCCTCTCCCTTCCTCTTCCTCCCCCCTCTCTCCCTCGTCCACTTCTTGTTTCCTCTCTCCCCCTTCCCCATACCCCCCTGCTGCTGCTCCCCTCAGGCGGCCTTTCTCCTCTCCTTGTCCGCTGAAGCTCCCTCCTTTGAATCTCCAGGTCTATCTCATCCTCTTCCTCCTCCAAGCTTCCTTCACCTCCCTCTGTTCCCAGATCACCTGAGGAATCACCTGATGTTTCACCTGAAGCGGTACGACTGCTCACTCGCTCTCTGCTACCCAGCATATTAGTGGCAACGGACAACCTTTCCGCCGTGCCTTCTTCATAGTCACTCTCTTCTATTGCATCTGATGATACCAAAACGGATTTGCTGCTGCCACTGTTTTTTCCATCCCTGCTGCTGGTGCTGCTGCTGCTATGGCTGCTGCTGCTGCTGCTATGGCTGCTGCTGCTGCTGCTATGGCTGCTGCTGCTAACAGTGGCAGGGGCGGGGGTTGGCCTTCTCAGTACAGCACCACCACCACTGATACCAGCAGCACCACCAGTGAAAACAGCACCACCGTCACCACTACCACGACTCTTGTCCACATTCCCGCCACTGTTACCGTCATTGTGACTGCTGCTGCTGCTGCCGCTGCTGCTGCCGCTGCCACTGCCACTGCCACTGCCTCCTCCCTTTTGCGCCCTTGCCATTGCAGCTACAGCCAAAGCTCCAGACGCTGCTACTATTCCCTCCCGAACCTCACTCCGAACCTCACTCTGCAGCATCTCACGCCGAACCTCATTCTGAGCCTCACTCCAAACCGCCAACGGATGCTCGGAACGCGCCGAGCCTGTGTCTGCACTGCTGAGAGTGGCTAGGCGAAGAGAGGGCGGATGAAGGGCGGGCTCTACCGAAGCATGGACGGTTTCTGGCCGAAGTTTGAAGGGCCGACTAACAGTCTCAGGCCCACCCTCTTCAGATGCATCCGCTGTGACTAGCATGGCCACATCTCTGTTGTCCACTGATGCCACATCTCTGTTGGCCTTTTGAGTTGAATCAAAAACATCTCTGTTGGCCCTACTGCTGCTGCATCCCTCGTGACCAGCCCTGTTTTGAGCCGCATTGAGGCTCTCCAAATCGCCCACATCACCAGCAAGAGAACTGCTACCCTGAACCCGCCCCTCGTCTCCGGATCTTCGTGCGTTCCCTATACCGTTCACTCCACCTCCTGCCTCATGCCCTAACTCTTGCACCACCTCTTGCGCTTCTAGAATCTCCCTCCCTGCATCAACCACACCACCACCCAACACGCTCCCCCCTTCTGCCTTCTCACCCCCTTTCCCCGCCTTTACTTCTGGTGATTCTGGTGTCGGCTCTAATGCCGTGCCTTCTGCCGATAAACTTTCCCCATCCACTTCCACGCTTCCCCATTCCGAGCCTATCACCCCCCCGTCCGCCTCTATACCCACCCTTTCCCCCCCATCTGCCTGAGCTTCCATCTGCAGCAGCAGCTCCTCTGCCTCCCGCACCTTGCCCGCCCGGCCATACGCTGCCACCATGGCGTTCCACACCACCACGTCCCACTCCCCTGGTGGGGTCGCATCGCGTGCCGACTCAAATACCTGGCAAGAGGGGAGGGGGAGAGGGGGTGTTGGGGGTGGGGGGGGTGGGGCGGGGGGGAAGGGGAGGGTTGTTTATGAGGAGAGCAATGCACCTTCCCCGCCCGCCCATACGCTGCCACCATGGCGTTCCACACCACCACGTCCCACTCCCCTGGGGGGGTCGCATCCTGTGCCGACTCAAACACCTGGTAAGAAGGGAGGGGGAGAGGGGGTGTGGGGGGGGGTGGGGAGGGAGGAGGAGGGTTGTTTATAAGGATAGCAAGCAACGCACCTTCCCTGCCCGCCCATACGCTGCCACCATGGCGTTCCACACCACCACGTCCCACTCCCCTGGGGGGGTGGCGTCTCGTGCCGACTCAAACACCTGCGAAAGGTGAGGGGGGAAAGAGAGGGAAACATACTTGCAGTGACAGTGTACTGCCCATACGCTGCCACCATCTCGTTCCACGCCACCACGTCCCACTCCCCTGGGGGGGTCGCATCGCGTGCCGACTCAACACCTGGAATGGGAGAGGAGGGGGAGGAATGAGGGCAGCTAACAAGGACCGCCACACCACACGCCTGCATTGCTGACCATACACACGCTGTCCCCACCGCCACACTCTGTGATAAGTTTTTGAGAATTCTCTAAAACCTATCACCGCCGCGGACCATACGCACACGGTCACCACCACCCTCCCTCCAGGGGGGGCTACTCGAGCCAGTTCAAAAACCTCCTGAGCCATTTCCAGATCGCCCGCGCTGTTGTAAGCAGCGACTAGCATGCATATTGTCAGTCTGGAGCTTCTGTTTCTCTTCTCCTCATCTCCCATACCTCCTGAGCCATTTAAATATCCCCCATGCTGTTGCATTGCACGCAGCAATGAGCTTGCAGTTCGTCTTGGAGTCACTGTACTGTACCTCTCGCCCTAACCTGCCCTAACCTGCCCTAATCTGCCCTAATCTCTGTACCTCCTGAGCCATCTAAATATCCCCCATGCTGTTGCATTGCACGCAGCAATGAGCTTGCAGTTCGTCTTGGAGTCACTGTACTGTACCTCTCGCCCTAACCTGCCCTAACCTGCCCTAATCTGCCCTAATCTCTGTACCTCCTGCGCCATCTAAATATCCCCCATGCTGTTGCATTGCACACAGCAATGAGCTTGCAGTTCGTCTTGGAGTCACTGTACTGTACCTCTTGCCCTAACCTGCCCTAACCTGCCCTAATCTACCCTAATCTCTGTACCTCCTGCGCCATCTAAATATCCCCCACGCTGTTGCATTGCACGCAGCAATGAGCTTGCAGTTCGTCTTGGAGTCACTGTACCGTACCTCTTGCCCTAACCTGCCCTAACCTGCCCTGATCTGCCCTAATCGCTGTACCTCCTGCGCCATCTAAATATCCCCCATGCTGTTGCTTTGCACGCAGCAATGAGCTTGCAGTTCGTCTTGGAGTCACTGTACTGTACCTCTCGCCCTAACCTGCCCTAACCTGCCCTAATCTGCCCTAATCTCTGTACCTCCTGCGCCATCTAAATATCCCCCATGCTGCATCTTTGCACGCAGCAATGAGCTTGCAGTTCGTCTTGGAGTCACTGTACTGTACCTCTCGCCCTAACATGCCCTAACCTGCCCTAATCTGCCCTAATCTCTGTACCTCCTGCGCCATCTAAATATCCCCCATGCTGTTGCTTTGCACGCAGCAATGAGCACATGGATCGTTCTGCAGCCTCTGTGCATCTTGCCCTAATCTCCCCCCCCCATCTCCCATACCTCCTGCGCTATCTTCAGATCGCCCGTGCTGTTGCATTGCACGCAGCAATGAGCTTGCACTTCGTCATGTCTATTTTTGAGGCGTGTGTAATGAGTCGATTTTTTAGTCGACTCAAAAATCGACTCATTACACACGGACTTGCACTTCGTCATGTCTATTTTTTAGGCGCCTCAAAAATTGACTCCTCGGCTTGCACTTCGTCATGGAGTCACTGCACTGTACCTCTTGCTCTTACCTGCCCTAACCTGCCCCAACCTGCCCTAATCTGCCCTAACCTGACCTAACCTGCCCTAACCTGCCCTAACCTGCCCTAACCTGCCCTAATCTGCCTTAACCTGCCCTAACCTGCCCTAACCTGCCCTGACATGCCCTAATCTCCCATACCTCCTGCGCCATCTTCAGATCCCCCATGCTGTTGTAAGCAGCGATCAGCGCGCAGATCGTCTTGGAGTCCAGCCGAAACAAGCCATCCGCCCTGCCGCCCTCCTCTCGCAACAGGGCGGCGATGCGTGCCACGCCATCTGTCCTGCCAGCCCGTGCAAATAGCTTCATCACTGTCGTGTACACCACCTGGGGAAGTTGGGGGGGGGAGGGGGGGAGGAGGAGGAGAGAGAGAAGAGAACAAGGGAGCATGTCACTTTGAGAGCAATGCAATGGAGCAATGCGTGCCACGCCATCCGTCCTGCTCGCCCTTGCAAAAAGCTTCATCACTGTCGTGTACACCACCTGGGGTAGGTGGGGGGTGGGGGGGGTGGGGGGTGTGGGGAAGACAACAAGGAAGTGTGATAGTCTGAGCAATGCGGCCGGCCACGCCATCCGCCCTGCCCGTTCTTGCAAACAGCTTCATCACTGTCGTGTACACCACCTGGAGTGGGGAGGCGGAAAGGCACGGGGGAGGGAAGCCGGGATGGGGGACAGGGATGGGGATGATGGATTGCAGCCATGTGCGGGAAGGGAGTGGGGAAGAGAGGAAGGGGGAGCAGGGATAAAAACCGCGTGATAGGAGTCTAGTTTTGAGGCGCCTCAAAAACCGCGTGATAGGAGTCTAATTTTGAGGTGCCTCAAAAACCGCGTGATAGGAGTCTAGATTTGAGGCGCCTCAAAACCGGATGGGGGACAGGGATGGGGAGGATGGATTGCAGGTATGTGCGGGAAGGGAGTGGGGAAGAGAGGAAGGGGGAGCAGGGATGGAGGACGATAAAAAAAGCTAGAAATTTCCTCACCTGGTTGGGCATGCAACCCGCCTGCTCCATCCGCTCAAACCACCCCAGGGCGTCGTTGAAGCAGCTGGATTTGAGGAGGGTCCCTCTCTCCCACGCTCGTGCTCTCTATACTGCATCTATTCTCCCGCACCATCTCACCTGGTTGGGCATGCACCCCGCCTGCTCCATGCGCTCGAACCACCCCAGGCCGTCGTTGAACCGGCTAAATTCGAGGTGCATCCCTCTCTCCAACGCGCAATCTCTCTCCCACGCTCGTGCTCTCTATACTGCATCTAGTCTCCCGCACCAACTCACCTGGTTGGGCATGCACCCCGCCTGCTCCATCCATGCGCTCAAACCACCCCAGGGCAGCGCTGAAGCAGCTGGATTCGAGGCGCATCCCTCTCTCCAACGCGCAATCACTCTCCCACGCTCGTGCTCTCTATACCGCATCCACCACTCACACTCTCTCACCTGGTTGGGGGCATGCATGCACCCTGCATTCTCCATGCGCTCAAGCGTGAGGAGTCTATTTTTGAGGCACCTCAAAAATAGACACCTGGTTGGGGGCATGCATGCACCCCGCATACTCCATCCATGCGCTCAAACCACCCCAGGTAGTCGTTGACGAACAGGCACGCACCTCCCTCTCTCTCGCCACGTGAAGCTGAGCCACAATCACAGTCATGCATCCCCCTCTCCCCCTCTCACTCTCTCGCCCTCTCACTCTCTCGCCCTCTCACTCTCTCGCCCTCTCACCTGGTTGGGCATGCTCCCCGCCTGCTCCATGCGCTCAAACCACCCCAGGGCGTCGTTGAACCAGGTGGGGTGAACATGTCTCCCACGCCTTTGCTCTCACTCTCTCACCTGGTTGGGCATGCACCCAGCCTTCTCCTCCCGATCTCTCGCACGCTCGCTCTTCACGTGAAGCTGAGGCATGCCCAATAACAGTCACTATCCCTCTCTCGCCCCCTCACCTGGTTGGGCATGCACCCAGCCTGCTCCATGCGCTCAAACCACCCCAGGGCGTCGTTGAACCGGCCAGCATTGGAGTAAGCGACTATGAGCGTGTTGTAGACGTACTCGTCCATGGGGACGCCTGGGGGGAGGGGGAGAGAGGGAGAGGAGAGGGGGGGGGGAGAGGGATGGGGGGTGAAAGAGGGGGAGGGGGGAAGGGGGGGGGGGGTTGGAAAAGGAGGACAGGGGGAACTAGGGGGACAAGCGAGAGGCCCTGCCAGGGACAAGGGGACGTTGAAGCGGCTAGCACTGGAGTACGCGACTATGAGCGTGCTGTAGTACACGTGCTCATCCATGGGCACTCCTGGGGGGAAGGAGAGGGGGAGAGGAAGGAAGAGAGGGGGGGAGATAGCGAGGGAGGAAGGCGAGCGGGTAAGCCAAGCAGCATTGGAATAAGCCACTATTAGCGTGTTGTAGTACACGTGCTCGTCCATGGGCACTCCTGGGGGGAAAGGGGACGGAGCACGGGGGAAAGGGGACGGAGCACGGGGGAAAGGGGACGGAGCACGGGGGAAAGGGGACGGAGCAAGGGGGAAAGGGGACGGAGCACGGGGGAAAGGGGACGGAGCACGGGGGAAAGGGGACGGAGCAAGGGGGAAAGGGGACGGAGCACGGGGGAAAGGGGACGGAGCAAGGGGGAGAGAGCAAGGGAGAGGACGACGGCAACACTTTCTATTTGGAACAAACGCGCATGTAAGGCAACTGGCATTGGAGTCGGCGGCAATGAGTGTGGTGTACACGTACTCGTCTATGCGGACTTAGTAGGTGGGGGGGGGCGATGGAAAAAAAAAAAAAAAAAAAAAAAAACAGCTCTCGGACCTTAATCTTCGCTCCCTTCCTTCCTTCCCTCCCTACCTAGCCTTGTCATATCATAAAGAACGGACTGCAGGTGATTCCACTGCGCCTCCCCACCAGGCGTGAGAGCACCACCGTGTACACGTGGATGCTGCCGGGAACTCCCTGCTCTCAGTGATCCCCGCCAGCTCTCCCTGGTCCTGTAATCGTGGCCCCACAGCACCTACCTAGCCGTGTTATGTCATCGAGGACGGACTGCAGGTGGTTCCACTGCGCCCCGTGCCCCAGGCACGAGAGCACCACCGTGTACACGTGGATGCTGTGCGGAATGCCCGGCACTCAGATTCCCTCACCCCTCCCACCCACCCTTCCCTCCCTCCCTACCTAGCCTTGTCATATCATCCAGTACAGATTGCAGGTGGTTCCACTGCGCCCCCCGCCCCAGGCACGAGAGCACCACCGTGTACACGTGGATGCTGCGCGGAATGCCCTGCGCTGCCATCCAATCGTAGAGCGCCAGCACAACGCGCCAGTCCGCCTCTTGCTGGGAATCGCAAAAGGGAGCAAATGGGAGAATTACGGCAGCAGAGCAGGGGAGGGGGAGACGGGGAAGGAGAGAGACCGGTCTCTTTTGCACTGCTATCCAAACGGGCGGTGGATGGAGCACGGAATGCCCTGCACCGCCATCCAATCGTAGAGCGCCAGCACAACACGCCAGGCCACCTCTTGCTGGCAGATGAGAAGTTGATGGGGGAAAGGGGGGAGAGGGTCGTGGGAAGGGAGGGGTTGGGGGGGGGGGGGAAGGGGGAGGGAAGGTAGGGGCAGCATTGAACCGTTCGTTTTGGACTGGGTTGGCTCCACCATGCTATGCACAGACTCCTTCCCTTCCATCCATCACGTTGTTTGAGGCGCCTCAAAAGTCAGTTTTGAGGCGCCTCAAAACTAGACTCCTCAAAACTAGGCGCCTCAAAAGTCATCATGCTATGCACAGACTCCTTCCCTTCCATCCACTACGTTGCTCTCATGATAATTGTGATAATCTTTTCGGAAGCCTCTCTGCATCAGAGTGTTCTACACCTTTCACAGCTACAGTTCCTTTGGTGATTTTTGAGTCGACTCAAAAATCATCAGAGTGTTCTACACCCTTTCTCAGCTACAGTTCCTTTGGTGATTTTTGAGTCGACTCAAAAATCATCAGAGTGTTCTACACCCTTTCTCAGCTACAGTTCCTTTGGTGATTTTTGAGTCGACTCAAAAATCATCAGAGTGTTCTACACCCCTTCTCAGCTACAGTTCCTTCCTTCCCCGGTTATCTCTCAAATCCTCCAATTCCAAAACCCATGACTTCCTTGGCCCTCCTGTTTCCTTGATAGCACAATCTGTTTTTGAGGCGCCTAAAAAGTAGATTTGTTTTTTAGGCGCCTCAAAAGTATGTATGTTTTTGAGGCGCCTCAAAAATCCTCCTGTTTCCTTGATAGCACAATCTGTTGTCTTTCTTCAATTTCTCTCACATCTCCCGTCGCCCATCTCCTATCGCACCTGTTCCATGATGCTGCTGAGGGCCCACACGAGTCCAGCCTATCAGCAAACGGCGTCAGCACCGACGCCCGCCAGCTGTCGCTGGAGCACAGAGTGGGGAGAATCCCGAAGAGAATCCCCAAGAGAATCCCCAAGAGAATCCCCAAGAGAATCCCCAAGAGAATCCCCAAGAGAATCCCCAAGAGAATCCCCAAGAGAATCCCCAAGAGAATCCCCAAGAGAATCCCCAAGAGAATCCCCAAGAGAATCCCCAAGAGAATCCCCAAGAGAATCCCCAAGAGAATCCCCAAGAGAATCCCCAAGAGAATCCCCAAGAGAATCCCCAAGAGAATCCCCAAGGAGAGGATCCTCTCTGACCCTATCGCACCTGTTTCATGATGCTGCTGAGAGCTCGCGAGTCCAGCCTGTCAGCAAACGGCGTCAGCACGGACGCCAGTTGCCGCTGCAGCACTGAGAGGGGCGTCCCCGGTGGCGCCTGCTTCACCGCCGCTAGGGCTCGCTGCACGCCCTCCTGAACTTCCCCCGGGGTCTCCTGTGGGGGGAGATGGAGGGGGAAAGGAGGCATGTCCAGAGTAGTCGCTGCAGCACTGACAGCGGCGTCCCCCGTGGCGCCTGCTTCACCGCCGCTAGCGTTCGCTGCACTCCTTCCTGCACCTCCCCGGGGGTCTCCTGGGGGGGATTGGGGGGACGAATAGGGGGGGGGCGAAAAGGGGGGGGAAGGAAGTTCTTCTAGAGCTGTCGCTGCAGCACTGACAGCGGCGTCCCTTGCAGTGCCTGCTTCGCCGCCGCTAGTGCGCGCTGCACTCCCTCCTGCACCTCTCCGGGAGTTTCCCGGGAGCATGGGGAGGGGAAGGGGAGAGCTTGTGAAGGGAGCTCTTCAAAAGACTTTGTCGCTGCACTGGGGAAGGGGAGAGCTTGAACAGCCAAAGGCACTAGAGGCAATCGCAACACTGGCATCCCCCTCAAACGAATTCCAACGCGACTCCGCAACAAAAATCACGGGCAACATTCTGCTGGAAAACTTTATTGTGAACATTCGCGTCACGTCTCGAACGAATCACGTTCACGTATACTCACGTGCAATCCTCTGCTGAAGGACTCGCCGCGTCGCCCGCCGTCGCCGCCGTCGCTCTCATCGTCGCAATAGATATCATCCCCCTTCTGCGATCCCTTATTCCCACTGGTCGTGCGACCGCCTGCGACAGATTTGCGACCTGTGCGACTCAGCTGTCTGACTGGCTCGCGAGCAGCCACGGTCCTTCGGTCCGTGTTTGCTGACGTCACGTCGTCGTCATCGTCATCTTCCCATGACTCCGCAGCGGCGGGTAAAGGCGCGGTGGACGATGACGTGGCAACGGCGCGCAGCAGCGGACCGCGGAGATCCCGTCTGCTCTGGCTGCTAGAGACGCTAGGTCTAGAGCAATGCGAGTCACCATGTGATGCGCCGTGTGACGCGGGGGAGGCTAGGGAGTGAGACGCTGACGTGGCACGTGACGAGGCACCGGGGGCTGACACGTGTGAGCCGCCTGAGGGTGACAAATTCGAGGATACCTGATGGCAGCTTCTAGAGGAAGAGATGGATCTTAACGAGTCAGACACTGCATTTAACGAGGATAACGAGGATATTGTACTCGCTGACGGTAACGCGCCGCTTGACGTTTTCTGGTTGGTATAAGCGAAGCCGGAACAAGAAGAGTGCGAAGACGAGTATACTGAGCCGGCTGAGAGTTGCTTCTGGCTACCAGGCACGAGGCCGGAACTGAACGAATTCGACGGCGACGATGCGATCGCCAGCGGCTGCGACGCCTTATGGGAGGAAAAGGAAGGTCCTGCTGCTGTTGCTGCTGCTGAAGCGGTGGTGGATGGCAGAGCAGCCGTCCATTGAGCCATCCAGCCAGACAGGCTATGTCCTAGAATGTGCGTTCCAGGCGCAAAGCCTATGTCAGAAAATGGTTCTGAGATCAACAGTTGGCTACGAAATCAGCACGTCGTGGCCGAGTAGCTGGTACGGCAAATATGGGATCTGAAACAAGGAGGATCTCCGTTTTAGCTGTTTCGTTATTAGTCACGAGAAGCGCATCTCGTTCCTGGCGACGTACAGACGAAGCATGGCCGGCCTAAGAGCTTCAGCACTGGAATCTCAGTCTTCAAGGCCGCTGAGTCGCTGACATACATGCCCTCTCATCATCCCATTCGAAAGGCTCTGGCCACGATGTGATGTGAGAAACGTTGCCTGCCGTAATCCGACGATCTCTAGAGTCTATGTAGACCGACAGAGAGACTACGAGATTGATAGACCTTGACTGTTGTGATTGGGGGTGTGCAGGCACTGGTGAGGGGGGAGCGCGCAGAGCGCGGGGAAGCGGGAAAGAGGGAGAGCCGCGCGCGCAGCTGGATAGAACGGAAGTGGCTAGGGGATGCGGAGAGAGACGCGGGGAAGGGTGGCTAGCGAGAGAGCAAAAATTCCCAGCCTCCCGCCCGCCGCCTTGAGATCTGGGTTATCGGCGCAGGCGGCGGGCGGAGGGTTGCTGCCCCGGTGACTCCGATCGTACACGTAGGCAGAAGTGTTTATTGAACGACATGTGGATAGCTCGTGAGAACCTGTAATTGGTTGAGAGCTTGAAATGCCAGGGTGGTGGGAATGTGGATGATGTGCTGAGATGTGTGATGACGTGGTGACACATGATGATGACTCTAAAACGAAACAAATGCTGTTCATGAAAAGATATAATTCAGATTCCATGTTGCAGAGTGACGGAGCACCCCAGTATCGAGGACGCCTAAATTCTAGGGGCAGGAAGTGGAGGTAGGTGGAAGAAAACGTCGACTGGCCAGACAGTATTTTCGGTCCTCGCTGCAAGCACATCCTTCATTTCTAGAACGGAACATTTTCCTTTGACCTGCCCCGATCACCCAAGCCTCAGACGTGTTCTATCACGACAGCAGGATCTAGCCGTCCATCGATTTCATCAAAGAAGCTACGCCGCCACGTCCGAAGCGCCATGACGGATCGCGAATACAACCTGTACATTCACAGTGCTGCTGTGGCCGTTCCGTTGCTTTGTGTGACGTGCCAGCACAGGTTTTTTTGTGGTTTCGCCCACGTCTCCCTCCCCCTTCTGTTGGTCTCGATGTACCGTGTTGCACCACTCCCACTCCCACTTCACTCCTCCTCATCCTTGACTCCCCTCCCTCTTTCCTGAGTCTGACCTACCCACTGTACCTTCCCTGGATCACTTGGCTCGTGTGCATTAGGGCGTGACACGCCCTTACCTTCCCTCCCAACTTTGTCTGTTGCTATGGCAGCCAATGACCCCACTTCACTTGCATGGGCCTCGGTTTTCTGACCAGCGAGAGTAGTTCTTCACGAAAAATGTCAGCGCGGGTATAAAATAAATATGACTGCATGCCACATGAAATAAGCGACTTCCACCATCACTGGCCAGTCACCTGTTCCATCCAAATGCCACGAGCGCCAGCACGTGCACGAAACTATCTAGCGCAGCGACGATTTCCAGCGCTACGTATTTAGCCATTAACGTATAGACAAACACAAGGTTGCTTTCCTTTGACATCGACGCGCTAAATAGCAGTGAAGAGCAACGTCTAACTAGTATGAAGAGGCGAGGAGGAAATCGCCGCGCCGCAATAGCAGTCCTAGCCCTACTCCTATTAGGACTCTCCACGTGTCGATCGCAGCCGGGCGACGCGCTGACAGGCCAGCCCGCGGCTCTGTCCGTAGAAGCTGAAAGCGTCGAAACTTCGAGCGGCGGAAACGGCGGGAGCGGCGGAAGCGGCGGGGATCCGTACTCGGACGACTGGGAGGATCCGATCCCCGGAGACCACCCTAGCGGGGATGACACGATAGTTGACACGTCAGATGACGTCGAAGCGGATGATCCGCCGGGAAATGCGGCGGTGCGTGGTGTTATTCCTGGCGACCGCAAGCCGGGGGATTTAGTACCGGGGGAGGAGGACGGGGTGGATGGGGGAGCGGAAGCCGGGGGAGCGGAGACGTGGGAAGCGCAGGAGGAAGCGGCGGAGGAGGAGCCGGAAAATCCATGGGCGGAACCGGGGAGAGCGGAAGGTTCTTCCGCTGCTGTGGCGCAAGCGCAGGACTACCAGCCCGGCGAGGGGAAAGGGTTCGCGGAAGGGCCGAGCGGAAAGGGGAGGGCGGAAGAGGAGCCGGGCACTGATTGGCCGACGGGGGAAGCGGGGGAAAGCGCGGAAGAGGAGGTAGGGGACGAGAGCGGGAGAGCGACTGCCCAGGAAGCTACTAACGCGGATGGCGGCACTGGCGGAACAGATGAGCGGAACTTTCGAGCGCAAGGGGATGGGGAGGCGGAACAACCCGCGCAAGGGGACGCGTGGAGCTTCGCGGAAGATCAACCTGCGGACGGCGCGGAACAAGGGGGAGAGATGGGAGACCAGGGGGGACAGGGGGAAGGGGAAGGGGAAGGGGGAGCGGGAGCAGAGACGGGAGACAATAGCGAATATTTTTTCCACGGCCAGGACCCAGAGGCGGACGAATGGCAGAAGCGGAAACACGGATGGCAGGATGAGGATTCTGGTAGTGGCTCTAACGACGCTAACGACGCTAACGACGCTAACCAGGCCAATGACTCTAACGAGTCGAGTGACTATAACGAAGCAGAGCAGACTCAAACGTCTGGGAGCCCCACTGATGCAAGCCCTACCGATGCAAACCCTACAGAAGGAAACCCTGGTGAGGGGGATCCTAATGCCGAACTATTTTCTGACAACAATCCCTTTTATCAAGACACGGCTGCAGCAAAGATGGCTGACGCAGCTACCACCGAACCTGACTCCGGAGCAGGTTCGGAAGGATCCGTACCTGCCACTCCGGCGAGTGGCAGTTTCTCGGAGGGTTATGAGAAGATGGCGGGGGGGAAGATTGGCGCGGAGGGCATCATTGGGATCGTGCTGGGTGAGTGGGGCAGTCTGGCTGCGGGCTGTGGGCTGGGCATGGTACTGGGTGAATGCATGGGCATGGGCATGGGCATGGGCATGGGCATGGGCATGGGCATGGGCATGGGCATGGGCATGGGCATGGGCATGGGCATGGGCATGGGCATGGGCTGGGCATGGTACTGGGTGTGATTGCGGTCATAGGGATTGGCGCGGAGGGCATCATAGGGATCGTGCTGGGTGAGTGGGGCAGTCTGGCTGTGGGCTGGGCATGGTACTCGGTGTGATTGACGAAGAGTATTGCATTCCTAGGGATTGGCGTGGAGAGTACCATTGGCATTGTGCTCGCTGAGAATTGGCGTAGTGCAAACCGGCGTTATAATTGTTAGCTTGGCACCGGCATTCCTCATTCAAATGTCTCCATTTTGCCTCTCCCCACATCATCCCCCCACCACCCCCCCTTCCCCTCCCCTTCCCCTTCCTCCCCCTTCCTCCCAGGAGTGACCCTGGGAGCTGGCCTGTGTCTGCTTGTGGTGTGTGTGTGCTGGGTCCGGCAACGCAACATCAACCGAGCCAAGGAGTACGTGTCTTCGTCCCGTTTCCCTTGCACTTTAGACTGTTGCTGAAACCAGTATATCGCATCACACATGTGTACTGTCCCTTAAACAGGGTGTACCCCTTCCCCTTGGCTGGCACAGCAGAACCATTTCCCTTCCCCACCATAGAACCCTTTCCTTCACCACTTCCTTCCTGTACATTATGCCACCTTTCCCCCCACCCTACTCAGTTTCCCGTGCTTTTCTGCCCTTCCCGTAGTACTGATGAGTACCACTCCCCCCCCCCCCCCCCCCGCCCATTCTTCTCTCCTGTTCTCCTTTCCCTTAGGTCCGAAGCCATGGCAGCTTATGCAGATGATAACAGCGAGGATGAGGACGAGGAAGGGCTAGAGGAAGCTGCAGAAACAGCACTGATGGGGGGAATAGTAGGCACACACAGGGCCTTGGATATTGAGGCACAGCAGGCATTGAAATCGTCTAAGCGATGATGAGGATGAGGAAGGGCTTGGGGAAGCAGCAGAAACGGCGCTGATGGGGGGGATAGTAGGGACGCACAGGGCCTTGGATATCGAAGCACAGCAGGCATTGAAGTCGTCCAAGCGATGAAGATAACAGCGAGGATGAGGACGAGGAAGGGCTTGAAGAAGCAGCAGAAACAGCACTGATGGGGGGAATTGTAGGGATGCACACACAGGGCCTTGGATATCAAAGCACAGCAGGCATTGAAATCGTCCAAGCGTTGACACTACCTGATGGGCCGGCTCTTCTGGTAGTGGGTTGGGTTGTCAGTAGGCCTCTCTCCCATGTACACTGGTACGGTAGAGTAGAAGCAATAATGGAATGGTTAGCATTGGTCACAGGAGCATTAGCTCTCAGGTGATTTGCGTCTTCGGTCATTAATTGTTCTTTTAGCAAGAAGGAATAAGGCAATGTGCGGTGTTGGGTGCAGTTCATGTGGTTGTGCCGCACGAATGATAATGTGTGAGCATTATTATATTTGCACCCAATCAGAGGCAGTTTTCTCTAGTAAGAACGTCCAAATGATCCACAAGAAACTTGCCCTTAGCAAATGTCTTGGACATGTGCCTATCTGTACGTTCTAGATTGTAATGAAGTCCTATTGACACTGAGTACAGATTGAAGTACCGTAAATCAAGATTCAGGACAGGACAACTCTATGGAATTTATGATATGCACAAGCACTGGATTTATCATCCAGAAGATCCATTCACATCACAATAAAACAGCGCCATGTCTTGCCAAGACCAGTATTCTGCCGTATAAACAACCAGCTACAGTAAATCAACATTTAGACCGGACCCACCCATCCCCATTTCATCTTCAAATGACGGAAAGAGGGTACTTATACTGCTTCGAGCTAACACCAGCCAGCAGCCGCTTGTCAACGATCCACGAGTGCACATGCTCCAGAAATGTCTTCCCTTCGGGCCTGAATTTCCGCGGAACGTAGGTCGCTGCAGCGTTGGCGTCGTAGCTCTCAATCGGCCGCGCCATGGCCAGCCCTGGCGTGTGCGCGAGCCCCGCGAAATACGCTTCCGCCATGAACGCCACTGGCTCTTCCGCTCCGTCGTTCTCCTGCTTCAGATTGTCAAACCTGTCGCCGAGATTCGCGGCGTATTTCTCGCTCATGACCAGATTCGAAAGCTCCAACGGACAGCGCATGTAGTGTCCGCGGTCCGTCCCTTCGAGCACATCTAGCGCAGCAACCGCTTTCGAATTCACCTCATATACTTCCCCTAGGACCCTGTGACCGCTGCCAGGCAGATGCAGCAGGAACGGCACCTGAAACGGACCGCAAACGAGCGGATAATTCTGGAGCGTTCGAGCGGTTCCGATTTTGATCGCATCGCCGTCGGCCATGAGTTTCTGCATGAGCCAGTGGTTCCCGAATCCCTTCTTCAGCGTGCCGTACACGAAGGCTAGCGAATAGCCTTCGCGAGGAAACGGCAGATCACCTGTCACTTCTTCGGTTTCGCCGAAGTCGAGGGGAATCGCCGGCGACGTCGCAGGGAGGTACGCGCTCCTGCCTGCGACTTCCAGGTCAGTGTGCGACTGGCTGTGCGACAAGGTTGACGAGGACAGGCAGGCGGTCAGGCAAGGAGAAGACGACGAGGTACGCAGCTGCGCGGATGACGTCATCCGGACAGGAGAAGCAAAAAACGACGTTTTCTCCTGAAGGGAGATGACAGGGCTCGATGATACACGGCTGGATGATGCTGCAGCCGAGCAGGCAGAGATAGTGGCCATCCCAATCCAACAACGAATCTGCAAGGAGATTTGCGAGTAGGGGGAAGAGAAGTTTGAACTATTAGGAGTACGAAGATATCTTGTACGAGCTACATCAAGAAGTAGACAGTTGGACGAAAATCTGCGAGAGTCTAGGGAGCCCGAAGATACTATCCGTAAAATACAGCAGTCTCGCAGCGGAGGGGAAAGCGGGGTGGGGGGGAACCGTTCTGGCTATCGGATGAACAAGACTTCGACAGGACAAAGAGCGACAACCAACCTGCTCAACGGGGAAACTGCGTCAGCGCTTGAGGAGGCACGAGAGCACAAACCCCGGCAGAGCTGGGGACGGGCACTCACGCCTCACGAGAAGCAGCAGAGCAGAAGACGCAGAGGAAACTAAGGTAAGTTATTGAGTGGATTGGATGACAAATTTACAGATACTGAACCAGAGCATTTGTATGAGCGGGGGAGAACAGGAGAGATGGTGGGGGAGAGAGAGGGGGAGAGAGGGGGAAAGAGGGGGGGAGAGAGGGAGAGCGCGGGAGCACAAGAAGGCGCACAAGAGGGAGACGGGGGGGAACGTCAGGGGAGAAACGGAAACAACTCGGATTTATTGGGGGGACAATGTCCAGGCCAGGCCAGACTCCAAACCAAATCACTTGCGAACTACTGTACAGTACACGAGGCGGAGAAAAACGTACCAGGGGGAGTGAAAGGCGGAATTCGAGGAAGGGGGAAAGGAGAGGGGGAGGGGGAGGGGGAGGGGGAGGGGGAGGGGGAGGCTTGCGCCAGTGCCGGGTTTGGCGAGGGGAAGGCAGTGGGGTTCGGTGGGCTGAAGCGGTGCGCTCTAGAGTATCAGTTCGATAGGTACACCTGTACCGCACGCTGTACTGTACCTTATGGTTTCTGGAAGCCCCGTCATGTCAGCGGAGTTGTTGAACACGAGAGGCGGGAAATCAGGAACAGATAGTGCACGAATCAGCTTCGCACCAATTGCGGCTCTTGGATAAACGATGGAGTCAGCTTGGCCTCGCTAGCCAAGGAATAGCTGCATGATATCGGGCACTGCGTGGCGCCACATCAGCAGCGGCTGTGAGCACCGCCAAACCGAATGGGAGCCCCATATTGAACAGGCTGAAATGGCCCACGTGCCTGCCACATCCGTCACCCCAACCAGTGCTCTTTCGGCTTGACGTAAGTGTGACGCAAGGGGAACCCTACCAAAGAACGCGTTACATATGTACCAAGGCTCCACCACCGCGTGGAACCACTCTGAAGCTCTTGCATACATTCTTGCATCGTATCCTAAACAGAAACATTTTGACAACCCAAAATATACGACCTGCTTCAAAGAAAACTCACTACCAACTCTTGCTTTCTTCTTTAACATATTATATAAAACCAATAGTGCAAAACAATCACTCTGTACGTCTAGGGTAACTAGTTGTATGGTATGGATCAAAGATGGCTAGCAAGCAGGGCCTACTTTTGGATTTTTACTACTTTGGTATTGGGGAGTGGCATTTTGCATTACTCTGAAAATCAGAGTGCATCCTCACAGTTTCTCTGATTTGCCAGGGCTTTTTTCCATTTTGAAAATTTTACACTGATAGTGCAGAGGGGAAATTTCCACAACTCTGTTCTGCTGTTGTGCACCCCGACAAAGGTTGAGGGGATTTTGTGGTTGGTCCGATCCGATAGACGTACGTTTCATTTCAAATACACATACATACATTAGTCACCATGCTCACCACCCTCTGAGGCACTCTCACAAGAGCCACTGTCTTCCTCTGACTCATCATGCTCCTTGCCCTTGGCAGCATCGCTGCTCCTCTCATAAGCCACTACTATTGCCTGTCTGCGGTTCTTCTGGCGTCTCCATATCAAAAATTGAGAGTTGAATGTAAGATAGAAAGAGAGTACACAAGTATATACCTCAGGGTCGTACCCTCTAAGAGACTACCCTATACAGTCTATACAAACATGACAAGTATACATGTTTGACACACCCCCTAGACTGCATAGGGGAATGTCCTAAACAAGCAGCTCAGGGCGGCACTACTAGTCCAACCTCTGAGACAAGGGTCTAAGAGACCAGTCAGAAGGAGTACAAACAAGGCAAGAGCAAGAGCAGGGCGGCACTACTAGTCCAGCCACTGGGAGAGGACACAAGTCCAGTCTGAGTATACATATAAAGGACAATACAAAGTCAAGGTCCTAGCAAGTGAGAGGCTACAGGAACTAGACCAAGCTGTACACAGTGCCGCTGATGATCTTTAGGCGCAAGCGCCTTCGTAAAGATATCAGCTGTGTTGGCACCTGAGGCCAAGTGTACTACGCGAGCCTGACGTCGCTGCTGTAGCTCACGCAGGAGGAAGTACCGCAGCTGAATGTGCTTCGCTCTGCCCTCGAGTCGAGGCTCCTGACACAGGAGGATCATGGCCCTGTTGTCAGCGAACAGGACCGGGGCAGAGCTAGGCCGCTCACCTAAGTCAGTGAGCAAGAAGGTCAGCCAGCGGAGCTCCTGTGCCGCCATGGCACCAGCGTAGATCTCACCCTCACAGCTGGACTGCGCCACAGACGAGGAGCGGGTAGCTCTCCACGAGACGGCACCTGAGCCAAGGCTGAAGCAGTAGCCCTGGGTAGACCTGAGTGTCTCGGCGTCGTCTGCCCACGAAGCGTCTGTGTGTCCAGTAAGGACCACTGGCCTGCGTCCTCCTAGCACTAACCCCATGCCCAATGTACTAGCAAGATAACGCAGAACCCTCTTAGCGGCAGACCAGTGCTGCGGTCGGTGTCTGCCTGTGGCCACAAAACGAGCCAGGATGCTGAGAGGGTATGCGAGATCTGGGCGAGTGCAAGTCATCAGGTACATGAGGCAACCCACCAGCTCTGCGTAGGGGCCGCTGGGCTCTACCAACTCCTCAGACACTGGAGCGGAGAGCCTGTGGTCTACAGGCAGAGGGGTGGGCTGTGCAGAGGAGAACTGAAGGCTGAACCTCTGAAGGACCTGGCGCACCAAGTGTGACTGAGTCAGGGTGATGGTGCGCGCAGCTCTGTCCCTCGAGATCTGCAAACCAAGGTAACGGCGCAGTTCTCCAAGGTCAGTGCAGGTGTGTCTCTTCAGCAGCTCTCCCTTCACGGAGGCCAGTGCGTCCCTGTCTGCTGTGGCAAAGACCAGGTCGTCGACGTAAACAAGGATGTAGAACGGGGTCTGACCAGCACGAACGAAGAGTGAAGGGTCTGCGGAAGACGGAAAGAACTGCAGGTCAGCAAGCGTAGCACGGAGAGTGTCGTGCCACTCACGGGGAGCCTGGCGCAGGCCGTAGACGGGGCGTCGCAGGAGCCACTGGGTCCAAGGAGGGAAGGTGCCAGTAAAGCCCGGAGGGCGACGTAGGTAGACCTGCTCGTGTAGGCTGCCCTGAAGGAAGGCAGTGGAGAAGTCGAGGGACTGAAGCTCGTAGTCACGCTGAGCAGCTAGGTGTAACAGAACCCGAAGAGTAGTCATCTTCGGGGTCGGAGCGAAGGTCTGGAAGAAGTCCACCCCCTCGCGCTGACTGAAGCCTCTAGCCACATAGCGCGCCTTGAAGACAGGCGGCTCTCCAGGAGGGCGCTTCACCTTGAAGAGCCAGCGGCCATCGACTACGTTCACCCCAGGCGGGGGAACTGCGTCGACGAAGGTGCCGGTGGATCTCCAAGATGCCATCTCCTGCTCCATGGCAGCTATCCACTGCGAGGCCCAGGGTCCCGAGGTCGCCTCAGCGTAAGTGCGAGGGGTCGGGATGTCGAAAGCGTCTGGGTCACCCTCAGGGACTAGCAGCATGGAACAGAGATGGGGAGCAGCCTCGGAGAGGAAAGCAAGCTCGAACTGGCGGTCCTCCAGGACGTCACTGCCAAGGGCAGCAGCACCCCCGACAGACGGAGGACAGGCAGGGTTAGAGACCCGAGCTGTGGCGTAGTCAAGGCGGCGGGTAGAGGCGAAGTCAGCGACAGCAGCGACAAGAGCGTCAAGGCACGAGGACGGAACAGACGGGTCGGTAACGAGAGAGGCAAGGACCCGAGGAACAAGGGGACGAGCGGCACGAAGGTAGTCAGACAGCGGGGGGGGTGCAACAACAAGGGAGGATGGAGGAGGCGACGGCAGAAGGGGAGGACGAGACGCGTGGGAACGAAGCAACATAGGGTGGGAGCGCAAGACAGGCGAGGCAGGACGAGCACGGGGGGGACGGTGAGACCAGACGTGCGACGGAGGAGTCGGGTCAGGAGACAGAGGAGGGGACACAGGAGGGGAACGAGGGGGGAGACGTGCCGGGGACGAGTCCGGTGGAGGGAAAACAGGGCCGTAGACAGGAAGAGGAGGAGACGGCAGGAGAGGAACAGACGCAGGGTCGGGGGACGGAAGGCCGAGCAGACGAAGGGCGGACACCGGCGGGGACTGCTGCTGGGGCGGCACAACGGCGACACCTGGACCGCAAGCTGCGCCTCGGCTACCACCGGCACTCTCCAAACCAGCACCCCCAGAGGGACCACCCCCAGTGCTACAGGGACGAGCACCCCCAGAGTCAGCGAACGGGTGCTGCGACGGCGGCGGCGGCGGCAACGACGGCTGCAGCGGCGGCAGCGGCGGTGGAGGGGGGGACTGGGGAGGGGACGCCAGGGGAGGGGCGGCTGACGAGGACTGCACAGGAGGGCCACCAGAGTCAGAAGACTCCTCAACCGGGTCCACCGACGGAAGGGGGGTGACGTGGGACACACCAGAGGGGGCGGGACGGGGAGGAGGAGGAGGAGGGGCAGGGACTACCGGGGAAGGAGGGACCAGGAACAGGGGGGGGGTAACCGGGGGACCACGGTGGGGGAAGCGACGGTAGTAGGAGACGGACTCGTCAAAGGTGACGTCACGAGAGTGAAAGAAGCGGTGAGACGGCGGGTGGTAAAAGTGCCAGTCGGACGCGTCAAGGGGAAAACCAAGGAAGACGCAGGGAAGGGTGCGGGCAGTGAGCTTGTCCGTGCCGGAGGCACGGACGTGAGCAAGGCAGCCCCAGACGTGGAACGTAGACGCGTCACCAGGAGACCCAGTCCACAGACGGGTCGGCGAAACCTGCGGCTGCTGAGGGTGCGGCCACAAGTTAAGCTGGTGAGAAGCGTAGCGTACAGCGAACGGCCACAGAAAATAGGGTGCACCGGCATGGACCATGGAGGTGCGGGCCACCTCCATGACCAAACCGATGCGTCGCTCAGCGACCCCATTCTGCTGTGGGGAGTCCGGTAGGGTGAACGTCTGGGTGATGCCCTCCGCACGACAAAAGCGACCAAGGACACCTGAGGCAAACTCGCCACCACGGTCTGAGTGCAGTCGCAAGACAGGGAGACCGCGGTGGACACGCGCAGAGACGAGCCAGGGGATGAGAGCGCCAGGCACGTCGGC